GAGCCGCCGCGGGTGCAGCGGGGCCCGGTGCGCTCCCGGTGCTGCTGTGGGTGGCGGCAGGGGCCAGCCTGGGCCGCTGCGCTCCCCGCGGGCTGGCTCCGGGGCCGCCCGTCCCGTCCCGTCCAGACGGGGAGAGCGAAGCCCCCGGGCGGGCGGGGCCGGCGCTGGGCCCCGCCTTGGTGTGCCCCGGGCAACAGCGGCTCCGCCCGCAAACACGGCGGGTCCCGGCGCGATGGAAGCGGCGGAGGAGCCCCCCGCGAGCCCGGAGCCGGTCCCGGAGCCTGCCCCCGACCCCGCGGTGTCGCGGCTGGAGCGGTGCGCGGCGCTGGCGCTGGGCCCGGGGCCGGGGCTGGGGGCCGGGGCCCCGGCGCTGAGGTCGTTCCTGAGCGGGGCCGCGGGCCCGGCGCTGCTGGCCTGGCGCGGGCCCGGGGGGGAGCTGGAGCTGGAGCTGGGCCCCCCCCCGCCGCCCTCCGCCCGCCGCAAGGCGCTTTTCTTCCTGCGCCCGCCCGGCCCCGGGCCGCTGCTGTGCGGGGACCTCCCCGCAGAGCCCCTGCCGCACTTCGCCGCCCTCGTGGAGGAGGTAAGGCCCGGGCAGCCTCCAGCGCTGGGAGCGGGCTGCGGGGCTGCTCCTGCTCCTGCTGCGGCTGGAGCCGCTCTGACCCCGCTACGAGAGAGACATTGAGGTGCTGGAGCGGGGCCAGAGAAGGGAATGGAGCTGGTGCAGGGCCTGGAGCACAGGGGTGATGGGGAAGGGCTGAGGGACCTGGGGGGTTCAGATGGGGAAGAGACGGCTCAGGGGGGACCTGATGGCTCCCTACAAGTGCCTGAGAGGAGGATGGAGCCAGGAGGGGCTGGGCTCTGCTCCCAAGGAACAAGGGATGGGACAAGAGGAAACGGCCTCAAGCTGCACCAGGGCAGGTTTAGATGGAGCTGAGGAACAATTCCTGCCCCAGAGGGTGCTCAGGCATTGGAACAGGCTGCCCAGGGCAGGGCTGCAGTCACCGTCCCTGCAAGTGTTCACACCCCGTGGGGACGAGGCCACAGTGCCATGGGTTAGGGGTGGCCTTGGCAGGGCTGGGGTAAGGGTTGGACTGGGTGAGCTTAAAGGGCTTTTCCAGGGGAGTTGATTCCATGATTCACAGCACCTCCTCCTGCTTCATGGGGGTCTTTCAGTTAAACCTCCTCAGTCCTGACCCACATCAGCTCTGGGCCTGTCTAATGCTGCTGTCCTTGTGGGACACAAATCACAAGCTGGAAAGTGCTGGAGGGGACACCTCGATGTCCCCTGGTCCAAGCCTTGTTAAAGCAGAGTCACCCAGAGCCAGGTGCCCAGGGCCATGCCCATGTGGCTTCTAAGTCTCTGTGAGGATGCAGATGAGATGCCGCAAGAACCCCAGCAGCCTCATGCCAGTGCTCGGTTACTCTCGTGTGGAAAAGCCTTTCCTGGTGGTCAGAGGGAGCCTCCTGTAGCCTGAGTGTAACAAAGTGTTGCAGGAATAGGAGCAGCCCTGGTCTGTGTGCATCACATCTCGGTCCAGTGCTGGGTTCTGCTCTGGGCTCTCCTTGTCCATTATTGGGTTGTTTTTACAGGTGGGCTGTAAACTCCTTCACATCTCTCTGGTTTCTGCCCCTTGGTATCCATGCAGCTCCTTTATCTTCCAAGAGCTAAGCACGGGTGCACAGCCCAAGGCTCCAGAAACCAGCTCCAAGCTGGGCAAAGCCACCCAGTGACAAGAACTCAGCTAAAGGAATTCAGCCCCACTGAACTCAGTTCACACACCCCGGGAGGCTGATGTTTGCCCAGAGGGATCTTCAAGGTCCTTGCTCCTTCCTGTGCTGGCAGCCAGAAGCAGCGCTGTCCCCAGCTATTCCTGATGGCCCCTCACCTGGAGAAGTCTCAGCAGCAAGGCTGCAATGGGGAATAGAGGAGCTGCTTGATTGGAGATGCTCTTGGTGGACTGATGGTGATGGATAGGCTGGATTCCAAGAGCAGCCTCGCAGAGCGGTTATCCCACTTTGGTGGGATAACAATTATGTACGTGGGCAGCTCTGGTTTTGAGGGCCTTGAGCCCCATGGTCTTGGTGACTCTGCCCAGACAGGGGTTTGCATTTGGGGTTGATGTGTACGTGGTGGCACAGGCCAGGAACACTCCAGCAGATCCCGGTAGATCCTGTTTCCGGGCTGCCTTCAGCAGGTGGGATGGTGCATCCTGATGGTCATTCCCAGGCTTTCCTCTCCCCATGCAGGGTTGCTGCCGAGCAGGTTCTGCCCGGGCTTGGTCCCACTTTCAGACGTCACTTGTGGGACACAGTGATGGGGCTGTGCTGGAGTGGAAGGGTCTCTGGTCCTTGAACAGAGGGGTTTAGGGCAGCCTTAGGAGAATTTGTCAGTGAAACAGTTTGTGTCCATCTCACTGTGGGTGTTTTAGGATGTCAGGAACAGACACACCACAACTGTGTGTGCATTCAGTGAGAAAGCAACCTTGTCTGCCTGGCAGGAGGAGTGCGCCTCTGCTCTGTGGAGCTGGGGGCTCCTGGGGAGCCCAACAATGGGTTTAACAACCAAGAAGAAAATGAGCAGCTCTCATTGACTGGTTACAACATCACTGGCATTCTCAGTCCATGGTTTCACAGAATCCCAGACTAGTTTATGTTGGAAACGACCTTAAAGCTCCAACCCCCTGCCGCAGGCAGGGACACCTTCCACTAGAGCAACTTGCTCCAAACCCCTGTGTCCAACCTGGCCTTGAACACTGCCAGGGATGGGGCAGCCACAGTTTGTTCCTTGGGGTTGTGCTCGCCCTCCCCACAGCTCCCTGAGCATGACGGTTGCTGGTGCCAGGTCTGCAGTGCCAGCTGGAGTTACAGAGATGGGGCAGCACCAGGGCAGGCCTGGCTGCTGGACTCCTTTGCACTTTTGTATTTATTCCTTTTCAGTGTATTTGTAGCTATATATCCCTTTCCCCTCAGCCAAGGCCATTGTTTGTCACCAGGGACAACCAGGCTTTGTCGGGCTGTTGCTGCAGGCTGGTGCCAGCCTGGAGCCACCCTGGGAGAGCCTGTGCCCTGAAAGGTGGAGCAAGCACCAGGATGTTCTGTGAAGGCAAGGGGAGAAGGACCCATGGTGCTGTCTCTAGATGTAGGGCTGAGGGAGGCTGAAGATGGGGCTGCTCACTTTGCTGCTTTCCAACTTACTCAGCCTCTTGGATTCAGGGGAAGGGATGTACAAGTGCACAGAGTGGGCCTATACACGGGTTTGATGAGGTCTGTTCATCATCATCTGCCCTTGTTTCATGTAGCAGGGAAATGCTTGAGGCAGCACTGAGTGTGCAGGCTTGGCCAAGCAAGGACCTAGGAGCAGGGTGGCCTGTCTGTCTCCTGCAGCACTTGTTTCTCACTGCTCTCTCATGACTCCTGCTGTAGGTGATCGTGCCCATCCTGACAAACCAGAAGAACCATCAGGGCTGGCCACGAGTGGTGTCCCAAGACCTTATACGTCATGTCCACAACCTGAAAAGCACTGTTTTCAAGATTGTTGGCCAAGTAAAGGGCAAGACCTTGCTGCCTCTTCCAGCTGGTTCAGAGGGAATCGAGGACATTGATCTGGACAATGAGAAATGGTGAGTACAACCTCACTGATGCATGTGCTGGGTCCTCTGGGGAGCCTCTCCCCAGAAGCAATGAACTGCTCGGATCAATGATGATAAAACCCAAACCCAGGAGACGTTTTACCCTGTTTCATAGAGGTCCATGCTGCCTGCTTGGGCAGGACTATTTTGCCTCCTTTCAAACGTGGATTTATCACGTATGGGAAAAGTCACCTAAAACTTCCTGCAAGCAAGCTCCTAAACTGCTCCTGGTCCCATAGAGAGATATAGAACCTGTTGCATCTGTTCTCCTGGAGAAGCAGGGTGGCTTCCACACACCCACTGCCTTTCTCTTCAACACCCACTGTGTTTCTCTTCAGTAAAGACTTTGATAATTTGGGTTCTCTCCAGTCATAGGTGGACCTTCCTGGTAGCAATCCTGATTCTGAAGTTCTCTTACAGCCCTGAGGGCCAGTCCCCAGGAAAGCCACCCCAGGTTTTCACTAGTTATAACCATGGAACAGAACCATGGAAACTTTCAGGTTGGAAAAGACCTTTAAGACCATCAAGTCCAACTGTTCCCCAGCACTGCCAAGGCCACCACTAACCCATGGCACTGAGGCTTATTGAACCACATACAACTGGCCACAGCCCATCACTCCAGCCTGTCCAGATCCCTCTGCAGACCCTTTCTACCCTCAAGCAGATCAGCACTCCTGCCCAGCTTGAGGTGCACTGGATCTCCTTGTCCAGATCACTGGGCAGCCATGGGAGGCTGAGGCCCCTGTGTAGCCAGGCATTATCCGGCAGCTGAGGACCCCTCATCCTTTGCTAGCTGATCATGTCATTGCAGCTGCAGGAACTTCCACCCTGGTCCTCCCAAGAAGCCAAGCTGGTGCCAGAGGCTGCGGAGGGCAAGGATTTTGACTGTGGCAGTGCTGTGAGCCTGGCCCAATCCACAGTAACTAAGTCTGGAAGGTCCATAGAGCAGATGTGTTTGCACATCTCCCGAGGTCCCCGAGCAAAAGCATGTGGCCCAGACATGGGCTACAGCTCACTCTGTGCAGTTTCTCTCTGAACTGAGTTAATGGCTGTGGGGAGGTGGAATGTATTCAGGGAGAACAGTACAGGGAGAGATAATGCTGCTGGAGGTTTGGCTCTCCAGGTCAGCCCCTGAACCCGAATGGATCTGATGCCACAGTGACTGGCTGTGCAGAGAGGTGGCAACCGCCTTTTGGGTTTCCATTGTTCTGGGGTGTTGAAAGGTGAAGCTAGACTGCAATGTGTAAACTCCAGCCATCCGTGGGGTCATTTGAAGTAGATCCGGTCGAGCATTGCCCATCAACAAGAGGAAAGCAAAGTTAACCTCGTGGTCTGTTTTCTGCAGCTTGGAGCTGATAGATAAATCTCTGGTCTATGCCACTGAGTCGTCCATCATAGACTGGAGCTACCAGATCCAGGAAGCACTGAAGAAAGAGTCTTCAGAGCCTCTCCTGCAAGGCAGCAACCCCAACCCAAAGGTGGAACTGGAGTTCTGGGAGAACAGGTACCCTGGGGGGCCAGCCCAGGGCATGGTGGTCACTGGCTCTGGTTTTGGGTGGAGGGAGAGTGCTGGAGACACACAGAGCTGCTGCTTCTATGGCTTGAGAAGAGCAAGGCCTGCAGAGAGTCAGGGAGGTCACTGGGCCCTGGGCTGTGTTTTAACTTGCCCCCAGCACAGGGGCTGCACCTCGAGGGAGTTCTGTCACTGTTCACTAGAAACCAGCCACAGGAGGAAGTGATGATGTGGTGTAGTGTTCTGTAGTGTGTAGTGTTCTGTAGTGCCTCCTAGAAGCAGTGCTGCTCTTCATCTGTCTGTGCCAGAGGGGTTTTAGAGGCTCAAGAGCCTGGGAATGGTATTTCCTTCTGCCCTTTGCACTCTCGAGCTGTGTCAGTCCATCATTTAAAGCCCTTCCTGCAGGAGAGCTGTTACTGATGTCTGCAGAAGCTCGTCGTGGCTTCCTTCAGAAGTGTTCTGGCAGTGCAGAGCTGTGATAATGCTGAACCCCTGCACTGTTTGTCCTGTGGGGTTTGTCTGTGTCTTCTTCCCATTTCTTTTCACTCAGCCCATGTGGAGCTGAAGGAAATCCTGAATCAGGGGCAAGGGAGATGCGTGGTGTGAGGGGGCAGCTGTAATCTGTCTTGGTTGTTGCAGGTGTGAGAACCTGGAATGTATTTACAACCAGCTGAGAACCAAGAAGGTCAGCAACATGATAGAGGTGCTGAAGAGAGCTGGGAGCAGTTACATCCCAACCTTCAACACTATGCTCATGGATGTTGAGACAGGTGAGGTGCTGGGGCAACTTCACCATAGTGCTGGTTTCTGGCCTTTGTCCCTAGCCTGATGGTACTGGTCCCAAGCCCAGTGTGGCTGTAGTGGCCCTGGTCATTCAGTTTGCTGTGACTGAGGGGACTGCAGCCTTGTGTCTGGCCCTGTCTGGTTCACGGAGTGCAGCTGGGCTGCTTGTGCTTGATCTGTTGCTTTTTTTTACAGGCTGGGACAAGCCTGATCCCTGGTCTGTTGAGCCAGATCCTTCCCGAAGGTCTGAGTGAGGGGATCTGGGAACTCTCTGATGAAATAAAGCTTTCAGGCTGAGAGAGCTGGGCTTGTCCAGCGTGGAGAAGAGAAGGCTCCTTAAGGGGAGACCTCAGAGCAGCTCCAGTGCATAAAGGGGCTCCAGGAAACCTGGAGAGGGGCTTGGGACAAGGGCCTGTAGGGACAGACCAAGGGGAATGGCTTTAACCTGCCAGAGGGGAGACTGAGATGAGCTCTTGGGCAGAAGCTCTTCCCTGTGAGGGTGCTGAGGCGCTGGCACAGGGTGCCCAGAGAAGCTGTGGCTGCCCCATCCCTGGCAGTGTTGAAGGGCAGGTTGGACACAGGGGCTTGGAGCAAGCTGCTCTAGTGGAAGGGGTCCCTGCCCGTGGCAGGGGTTGGAGCTGGAGGAGCTTTAAGGTCCTTTCAACACAAACCAGGCTGGGATCCTGTGATTCACATGAGTGCAGCAGGATTTACCCCAGCTTTTGCATTGTGGTTGGAGGCCTGGTAGCCGTGAAGCGGCTGCAGCATGGTGTGAGCATGGCCCATGTGTCTGCCCACATCCCCACCCAGTAATGTCCTCCTGAATGCAAGGTCCGGCCTGCCCAGCTTTCCTGGCCTTCTTGATAGGGAGATGGTTGCAAGGATGCTGTGGGGCAGGTGACCTGTAGATGGTGATGTGCATCAGCAAATCTGCCTTCTCCCGTATTTTTCCAGTCTGGCACACTGCAGTGAGACGAGAGCTGGGAGCAAGAAAACAAGATTGCATTTCCCAGTTGAGGGAACTAAAGACTTACAAGGAAAATCACCCAGGCTTTTCTAGCTAAGTGCATGCTGACAGGTTACTCTGTTCTTCACCCCTTCCCATAGAAACAGTCTACTAGGGATCTGTGTCATACTCTATGCTGTGCAGTTTATATACAGGCTCGAGAAAACCCTCTTCTGTAAGGAGCCAAGAGTTCCTTGTCACACTAATCCTATGGTTCTGTAATGAAAGCTTTAAGGATCTAATCAAAATACACCAAATATATGGGTTTAACCCAGTTACAGCAACACTCCCCCTGACTGCAACATTTCAGTTGGGATTTGTTTTCACCTGCCTTTGCCTTTGCCCCTCTCCCTTTTGTTGTGCCCTTCAGTGAAGGTGGGTCATGGGGAGCTTCTCCTCACCCAGCACCCCCAGGTCCTTCTCCTGAGGCTGCTCTGAATCACTTCTCTGCCCAAACTGTGTCTGTGCCTGGGGTTGCCCCAGCCCAGAGGCAGGACCTTGCACTTGGCTTGGTTGAACTTCATCAGGTTCGCACTGTCCCACCTCTCAAGCGTGTCCAGGTCCCTCTGGTTCCCATCCTTTCCCTCCTGTGTGGTGACTGCACCACACAGGTTGCTGTGCACAACATTTAGCAGTTGTGCACAGAGCCCTGTCCCAGCTCCCTGTTGCTCAGCTTCATGTCAGTGTGCATCCTGTTGTGGTGAGCAGTGTTCATGGGTGAGCACTCTCCAGCACACAGGTAGGTGAGTGTGCTCCATGACTCCTGGTTTTCCCAGGTACCTTTCATCCACCTTATAGCCCACCACAGCTTGGTTCAGTCTCGCCACTTCTCCCATCTCTTACCACAGCTTTGGCCGAAGCTCAGGACATTCACCTGCACCTGATGCCCCTCAAGCGCCACTTGGAGGACATCGAGAAGGTTGAGTTCAATGAGGTGAAGCCTTTCCTGGTCCCTCTGCTCCATGTGGTGTGTTTGATCTGGGTCACCTCCAAGCACTACAACATGCCTGCAAGGATAGTAGTGCTGCTCCAGGAAATCTGCAACCTCCTTATCCAGCGGGTGCGTGGCCATGCTGCCTGTGTTTGCCAAGGGGGGTTCTTTCATGCAAGTCCCTTCTCTCCTTCTATTCCCCATCCTTCCCTGGCAAAGGGATTCTTAATGTGAGAGGTGAGATCAGACATGTTCACTGCAAGAAGTCCTTGTTCTCTGTGGCAGCAGAAGTGACCTCTCAAATTTTGCTTTTCTAGGCCACGGTGTACCTGTGTCCAGAAGATCTTCTGAAAGGAGAGATGGAAGAGAGCCTGGGCAAGGTGCAGCTGGTGCTCAGCATCCTGAATGCATTCAAAGAGGCGTTTGAGGAGAGAAGGGAAAGACTGCACACATATTATGGACCAGGCCAGGAAGTGAGGGAGTGGAAATTCCCTGCTGTGATGGTGTTTGCAAGGCTGGACAGCTTCCTGGAGAGACTGGAGATGGTGGAGGTGAGACTCTGGTCTTGAAAACTATTGCAAGCCTTCAGGAGAGGTCTGTAGCCATGAACTCACTTGCTGGCATCTTCCTTTCCTGTCGCTTCACCTGATACCAGGGCATGAGGCACTTCTTTGCTGTTAGGTCTGTTACAGCAAGGCTGGGACTTTGTTTTACTATGTCCTGCTTGCTGCATGTGTAAGGTGCAGCTGTGTCCTGCTCAGGTTGGTCAATGTGGTGTTGTTTCCAAAGAGTCCTGCTGGACTCCTTGCTCCTCTTGGGCAGGGGAATGGCAGTTACTGGAGACTGTGCATTTCACAGCTGTAAATAAGGCTCTACAGTCTGCCAGTCCTCCTGTTGCCATCAGAGACACCCCAGAGCTGCAGAGCCCACGTGCTCCCCTTGAGCGTGGCCACATGGGCCTGGGGAGGAGCAGGGAAATGTTCCTCACCAGCTCATCGCTTTGATACCAGGTTTCAGTGACACCTTCACACCCTGATGGTCTGTCTGCTGGGATGCTGTGGTTGAGGGGTGCCCCTGTTTGTCACTGCTTGTGAGATGCTCATCCAAGACAGGGACATGTGGAGTCATGAGTCCCCTCATCCCTCAGCTCCCAGGGTGGCCAAGGGCCCCTCGGGCTGGGGGTGATGTTCTGCAGAGAGCAGGTCTGAGTGTGTTGGGGCAGCCCCGTGCTGTCTGGAGTGGAAGGTGTCCCTGCCCATTGCAGAGATGAGCTGAGCAGGGACAGTGACACCCACTTGGAGACAGGGAGGTCTGGGCAGGAGCTGTGAACCTGTAAACATCAGAAGTCTCTTGGTCAATACCTCTAACATTGGGATTGTGAGGTCTGTGCATGACAGACCAGGGTCTGCTTTGGACCTGTCCTTTAAACATCCTTAAAGCAGTTTAGAGTTGTAGTATTTCTGGTGGTAGCAGCAGGTCCCCCTAGGGAGGGCCATGTTCTGAGCAGCTGCTGGTGACCAGGACAGGCAGCATCTAGCTTCCCCCTGTCGTGGTTGTGCCACTCGGCTTGGGGACACCCTTGGAATGGCAGCAAGTACGGCCATCAACAGCAACCACTGTTGCCATCTTTTGTCGATACATTAACTTGTGTCCTCCATTGACTTTGAAGGATCTTCTGGCAACTGCCTTGGACCTGATGAAGCTGGAAAAGATGGAGTTCAGTGGGATTAAAGGGAAGGCCCTGGGCCAGCAGGTGCTGGACATGTATGAGAACTTCCAGGAGGCGTACAAGGTGTTGACAGAGCACTCCTATGACTGCCTTGACCTGACCAACACGGTAGGTGGGACCAGCTTGTGGTAACTCCAGCAATGTGTGTGTTGGTAAACAACAGCTTCCTCTGCCATGGAGCCCTGGCTCATATGCAGTCCTGCTGGCCTCTTCCCAGCTCAGGACTTGACACCAGTGCAGCTGGGAAACAGGGATTTCCATGCCCTTTATGCAGGCTTTCCCTCTATGTGGTACTTGCTGGTGTGGTTGAGCTGCACCAACATCCCTGTTTCTTTGCTTTCCTGCTCTTGGTGTCCAGCTTGTGTGATGAGGGCCAGCTCAGGTAACCTCTGGGGATGTGTTTGCTCTTGTCTAGATGAACACATTGGCATCTGGTGCTCCTGGAATTTAAAGGCTCCATGCTGTGTTATCAGTAGTGCTTTAATGAATCTTGCCAGCCCTCTGGGTCATGGCTCAGTGGCTGTCCGGATCACAGGTGTTCACAGCAGCATGTGTCATGCAAGCAGGGCAAAGCAACTGTGCCTTGGGCCTCCTTACTGCCTGTTCACAAACTCCTGCTCTTGGTCTTGACACTGAGCAGCGTGGCCTGGGGGTGAGCTGTGAAGGAAGGGTGAGGATGGGGTTTCTGAAGGGGTCCCATCTGGGTCCTGTGGTTGTGGCTGATCTGAGAGGAGCTTTGATTTCTTCTGCTGCTTGTCCCATTTGCTTTAGGCTCAGCTCGCTGTGCCTCAGGAGCAGGACATGGTCAGGCCTGTCCCAGGGCTAAAACTGGAGTGGCCATAGGGCAGCTCCATGGTGAGGAGCTCCAGTCTCACTGCTGTGACACACATCCAAGTGGAAGGTGATCCTGGGGCAAAGCCCTGGCTCCTGCAGGCTTCTGCCTTGCTCCCTGCTGTGCTGGGGTGGAAGGTGTCAGGGCTGGCAGTGGAACACGGGGCTGCTGTGCCTTGCTTTCAGGTGTTGGGACTTTGCTGTGGGGATGGCTGCTTGTGCTTTGCCTCCTGCAGTTCCCAGCACATCTCTGCAGTGCTGGCTTGTCCCCAGTGCTGCCTGGGGGATCTTACTGCTCCGTGTCCCCCCTGCTTCAGGAGGGAGGGCACAGGAGGAAGGGTGACGTTGGCTCTGCGGGAGCTGGCTGGGGTTCACTGACCCCATGGCCTTTGTGTGATTGAGTTGTGCTTGTTCTTTCAGTGCTTATGTTTTGCAGCCCCTGATACTTTCTAGAGCCTGTTTTGTAGCTAAACCAGGGCACATGGCTCTGCTGGAGCTCGGCAGTGGCAGAAGCTGTTGTCTTATGACACAGAAAACAGACATATTTAGAGGCTTAATTTTTAGTGGCTTTGTCCAAGCCAGGACAGGAAGACTGATGTCTCCCACTTTGTCAAGTTGAGGCTTTGATTTGGGCTCTTACCTGTAGGAAAACAAACCTGGGTTTTACACTTGAATTTGAAAGGATTTATTACAACTGGAGCTGAAGAAGCAGTGCAGGAAGAGGATGGATGTTACAGAAACACAGACCTGGTGAGGTTAGAAAGGACCTCTGGAAATCACCTCCTCCACCTTCCCTGCTCAAAGCAAGCTCAGCCAGAGCAAGGCTGTGAGCAGGCAGGTTAACCTTCTCCAAGGTCGAATATGTCCAAGGGTAGAGACTCCACAACCTCTCTGGGCAACCGGTGCCAGTGTTACGACCTGCCTTTATTGTTGTCCCATTTGCAGCCAATTCAAGCTGAAAACCACAGGCTTGTTTTGCCTTGGAACTACCTGGATTTGGACCCAGCAGGTTCATCTGCGGGTTGGCTGGATGGCGGTGTAGCCTTCAGCTCAAGTGGTTTAATGCCTGATGAATAGGAAAGATCCCTGGATGAGGAGGATGCAGGTACCTTCCAGGTGCCCTTCCACAGGCTCACAGCTGCTGTTCTGTCTTCCCACAGGAATTTGTGCAAAACGCCTTGGAATTCCAGCAGAAAGTAGAAGACATCGACCGCCGGTTGGGCACTGTTTTCATCCAGGCTTTTGATGACGCCTCAGACTTGGAGCATGCCTTTAAGGTTTGTTGGTCATGGTCCTTGTCTTCTGGAGAGGGGAAATTGGGCACCTGTGGTTTGCATGGGTGGGAATACCCCCGAGCTGGGATCCTGGGCAGTGCTGTAGCTACAGGCCCACGGGAATGGAGAGTGGCACAATGAGAACAGACAGGAGGAGCAGTCACGTTATGCACATCAGGCTCTCAGGCGTTTGATTTGTGTCTCTGCGTGCTGGGGGAACTTCTGCTTTTTGTAAGATTTCCTGGTGGGAACTGCCGTTCAACCTGTGGGGATGGTTGTTATCAATTTGTTCATATTGATAATAGCTGGATGGATTTTAGGTGTGGAAACGGGGGTTTTCCAGGAACCAGGCTGCTGTGTTCATCTTGCAGGAAAAAGAAATGGGATTATATGACCAATTTCAAAACCAGTGTCTGTAGAGAAGCCCATGGGAAGTGAGAGCAATTCCCTTTGGAAGGGTTTGGAAAAAACAGCAGATTTTGAAACATTTGAAGAATGCCAGTTGGAATATGGTTCCAAAGTCACTGCAGGAGAGACACTGAGGTGCTGGAGCGGGGCCAGAGAAGGGCAATGGAGCTGGTGCAGGGCCTGGAGCACAAGTGTGATGGGGAAGGGCTGAGGGACCTGGGGGGTTCAGTCTGGAGAAGAGAAGGCTCAGGGCGGACCTGATGGCTCCCTACAAGTGCCTGACAGGAGGATGGAGCCAGGAGGGGCTGGGCTCTGCTCCCAAGGAACAAGGGATGGGACAAGAGGAAACGGCCTCAAGCTGCCCCAGGGCAGGTTTAGATGGAGCTGAGGAACAATTCCTTCCCCAGAGGGTGCTCAGGCATTGGAACAGGCTGCCCAGGGCAGGGCTGCAGTCACCGTCCCTGCAAGTGTTCACACAGCGTGGGGACGAGGCCTCAGTGCCATGGGTTAGGGGTGGCCTTGGCAGGGCTGGGGAACGGTTGGACTGGATGAGCTTGAAGGGCTTTTCCAGTCTGGTTGCTTCTATGATCCCATGATCTCTCTAACAAAGGGAAGGGACTACTTGGAAAAGCAGGGTAAAGGAATTCCCTTGTCCACAGCACCCACTGGTGCAGACATTTGGGCTGGTGAGAAGGATGATGTGGGCTGGGGAAGGAGATCCCAGTGGATCTCCGCTGAAGTCTGCATTGTGAATTTCTCCCCTGTTCTTTTCCTGCTTCTTCCCCTCTGCAGTTGCTGGACATGTTTGGGAGCCTCTTGGAGCGACCAGTGATCGCTGCAGATGCTGCTGACAAATACTTTGTCCTCATCAGCATGTTCCACAGTGCTGTGGCCCATGCAAGGCTCATCTACGCCAGGCACATCCAGGCAGAGCTGGAGCTTGGTGGGTGGCTGATGCTGAGTACAACAGATTCTACAGGGAATGGGGTTTAGGTTCTTATTTTTTATTATTATTTATTATTATATTATTATATATTATAATATTATTATTACAATATTGTATTTTTTATTATTATTAATAATTATGATTTATTTAGACTCATTTCATGGGGAACAATTTCCTTTCTTCTAAGGAGAGCAAGACTTGCCCTGTTACAAATGGTTTGAGCCTCTGTAGCTCCTGGTGGCAATGGAAGTGCCTGGGAAAGCTGTTCTTAGTATTCAAGCAAATGATCTAGTGGGGGGAAAAGACCATGGTTTAAATGTGTGTCCGTGGGATGTGACTGGGAATGAGCTTTACCCCAGCAAGGTTCTAACAGGGGGTTTCTCTCCACACTTATGCCCTGCCTTGGACACCCCATGGGCCTTGCTCATGTGCTCCTCAGTATGAAGTTCTTGTGTTTCCACTGTCATGCTGTAAATGTAAGTGGGACTTTAACAAGGCTTTAATCAACCTTTCCAGGTTTATCCTGGCCCGGGAAGGTTGGTGCAGCAGGACATGGGTCAGACTCCAGTCAGGCTATGAGGACAAGAGTGTGTCCTGTTGAACAGCACCCAGGTCCCTTGCCTCAGGAAGGCTGTACTGGAGCCAGGCAAGTCTGGGAGAGGCAGCACTGCTGGAACCAGTGTGGGTTAACAGAGGGAACAGAGAGATTGGTGGATACTTGCCCTGGTCACAGACCTCCCCCAGTGTATCACATGTTCGATGTAAGGCAGGAAGCTGGGAAACGAGAGCAGTTTTGTGCAGATGAGCTGCTGGTGGTGTATCTTTTGAGGTTACAAGTACCGCGTTCAACCAAATGCTGTTTCAATGTGCCCTCCCCAGGATCCCCTGCTGTGCACAAGAACATGCCCCCCGTGGCTGGAGCGCTGGGCTGGGCTCGGGAGCTGCGCACACGGATCCAGGGGCCGTTTGGTCACTTGAGGCGCATCCCACATGCGTGCGTGTCCTTGCCAGCTGAGTTGGTCTTGTTAATCACTGTTTGTCTTTCTGTTGAACATTATCCAATGGTCATGGATGCAGTCATTCCCAGTTGGAGGGGGGAAGGTTCTGCCCAGGTTCTGGCATCATCCAAGCTGTGGGTGGCAGAGGGGTGCTGCATTGGACTCATCTAAGATGTGTTGATTGGGGCTGAGTCTCGAGGTTGAAAAGATGAGGACTTTGGGCACTGGCAGAACTTTCTCAGCATTAAACAAAGGAGCAATCTCCCAAGATCAAGGAAAGAGAGTTCCGGAATACTCATCACCCAGATGCTTGTTGTTATGGGTGGTCTTGAATAAGTGGTGCCCTGTGCTCTCAGCTGCCGTGTCTCATGGCATGAGACAGCATTTAAGAGCCCTGCAAGCAGCAGCATTGGACACAGGATAATAGAAAGTGCTTCAGGAGCTGCAGCTTGTGGTCACAGGAACAGTTTGGCTTGTGCTGGGTAGGATTTGGAGTACCTGGATCCACATATGTGCTTGGGCAAAATAAGTCATCTCCATAACAGCTGGGCTGCACCCCCAGAGCGTGAGCAGCACCTCAGGGAGGGGATCCTGCCCCTCTGCTGTGCTCTGGGGAGACCCCCCCTGCAGTCCTGATCCAGCTCTGCGGCAGCAGCACAAGAGGGACATGGAGCTGTTGGAGCGAGGGCAGAGGAGGCCATGGAGCTGCTGCGAGGGCTGGAGCAGCTCTGCTCTGGAGCCAGGCTGAGAGAGCTGGGCTGGGGCAGCCTGGAGAAGAGAAGGCTCCTGAAGGGGAGACCTGAGAGCAGCTCCAGTGCCTGAAGGGGCTGCAGGAAACCTGGAGAGGGGCTTGGGACAAGGGATGCAGGGACAGGCCAAGGGGAATGGCTTTAACCTGCCCGAGGGGAGACTGAGCTGAGCTCTTAGGCAGAAGCTCTTCCCTGTGAGGGTGCTGAGGCGCTGGCACAGGGTGCCCAGAGAAGCTGTGGCTGCCCCATCCCTGGCAGTGTTCAAGGGCAGGTTGGACACAGGGGCTTGGAGCAAGCTGCTCTAATGGAAGGTGTCCCTGCCCGTGGCAGGGGTTGGAGCTGGAGGAGCTTTAAGGTCCCTTCAACCCAAACTATTCTAGGGTTCTCACTGGGCAGTATCAGTAGCCTTCTCTCAATGTGTACTGCATTAAGGAAGGGTTTACGTGCACTGTTATAAAGACATGAGTGCAATGTAACAAGATCTTGGAGCATTCCCAGCACAGTTCTCACGCCTGGTTTTAATCTGGGTGGGAAATTCAAGGAACCATGCAGAAGAAGCCAGATCTACATTCTGCATTGATTTTGTTTCCTTGGTTTAGATCACTTCAAGCCATGCCCCGCAGAAGGGGGGGGGAGTGATGCTGTGTCCTGCATGCAGCTTGAAAGGGAGAAAGGAGTCAATAGGAAAACCAAAGATGCTTTTGCTGGGGGTTGCTGGGAGGACCTGTTTACTTGCAGAAGGTTTAAGCAGCACTTGCCCAGTGGTGACAGCTCAGGTTTTGATGAAGTTCATTCAGGTTTTGTCAAAACAGCCTCTAAAATCAACAGTTGTGTTCAGGAAAACTGGAATATTGTACATAAAACAGTGGGGAAAAGGTGGAATTCCTCTGCCTGCCTGGGCTTGGAGGTGCAGCCCCACAGCTCTGGGATGCCTTTGCCCTTCCCTGTTTGAGGGGCACAGATTTGGCACCACAAAGAGCTGCATCTCCCAGGAGCCAAGTGCTGCTTCCTTCTGAGCCTGTTAGACCTTGGGAAGTGCTGGCTGGTGAGCAGAGGCTGCCATGCTCTGTGCAAATAGTGTGGAACTGGGAGCATCAGGTATGTCAGAGACCGGTATTCCTCCAGCAGCACTGAGCCCCCTTTCCCACCAGGGATTGAATCTGTCAGCAGATTGACAGCCTGTTGTGCAGGCTGTCAAGCACACACCAGATAAAGGGCACACTAAGGGTTGAATAGCCTTTGGATAACCTTTGATAGCTTTTGTGCCTTGTTTTGGGTGATGTGGTGGGGATGAAATCCACAGTCCCCAGTCAGAACCTGCCTTCAAAGTGGTGGCTGCTCTTGGGAAGGGTAGGTGCAGATTTAGGGCAGAGCTACACATAATGCTGAGCTTGTCTCCTGTGCTCCCAGCTACTTGGATTCTGCTGAAGGAAGGAGGGTGATGGAGAAGTATGAAGAAATGATCCAGCTGCTCGACAGGTAGGTGGTGGCTCAGGCAAGGCTGGGGCTGTGTGTGCCGCCTTCTAGCACATTTGGAAGCCCAGGCCCTGGGAATGTCTCTTTCTAAGCCAGAGGGAATCACCTGGTGAGAGAGGAGGAGGTGTCTATGCCACAACCTTTCCCATCTTGAAATTCGAAGTTTCCATGGGAGGAACAGATTCATTGCCCATGACTTAGTATCATGATGTTTGATGTTCCATCTGAACTGGTTTCTCCGGGACTTCCCTTTGGGAAGAGCCACCTCCCCAGGAAGGAGATACCCCTTCAGGGCCTGCTCTCCATCAGCAGTGAAGGGAGCTGAGACATCTGGCTGCTGGGTACCACAGGGTGGTTGGATGGAGACCAACTCTTCCTGTTTCTGACTGCCAGAACAGGGGCTGAGTGTTCCTGGTTCAGCCTTCCAGAAGGAAGCAGGCACCAGAGGATCCCGGGTGCCCTCAACAGAGGTGGTGTTTGCTGGGTGCTGTTCCCAAGGTGCTCAGGTGACAGCAGGGTTCAGAAGACACTGGTGCTTGGGTGCTGGGACTCTCCATGGCACGTGGGATACCAGGGCCCCAGGTCAGGTCTCTGCATTTCCATCCCCAGCGGTGGTGCTGAGCTCTTCAAGAGCTCAATACCCCTAAGGCTGATGGGCTCTGTAGTGCACCCATCCTGCTCAGACACTCTGGAAATGCCCAGCAGCTGCTTCTCTGTTACTCTAGATTGAATGCTTTTGAAAATCATGCTTGAGAGAGCTTTGCCCTCCTGACTTGATGCTGACACTGGTTTTGGGTGCTTGTGTTTGAAGCCATGTTGCTCATGGAGATGACGTAGATGGGGTTTTAATATTCCTTCATGTTCTTCATCCTCAGGGCTGGCCTTGGCTCTCCTTTGGTGCTATACATCGCTCTGGTGGGCTGGTAGCTGTATGATGGATCTTTGGGGTTTTCTTCTGCAGGTATCAGGAAAAGCTCTATGTGAACTGGTCCCAAACAGTGTCTGAGCGATCCCAGTACAACCTGGCCCAGCCGCTCATCCAGCGGGACCCAGACACCAAACTCATCACAGTCAACTTTGATCCCCAGGTAAAAACTGCTGCCGAGGAGCTTGCCTGGGCTTATCCAGTGTATGCAGGGGGTCTGGTGAACTTGGTACTGCATCTGTGCTGCTGAGTCTGCGGAACCCCTTTCTGTGATGGCTGACATGGATTTACCATCATGGAACAGTCAGGGTTGGAAAGGACCATCCTTTTTGCAGGCTTTAATTCCAATTTAACCAGAGCACATCCTGGTTAAAGGCAGACATAAAGTCCCAGAGTAGCCAGTGAATGGGTGTCAGCATCTCCAGACCAGAGTTGTACTGGTGGGGGTGTTGGGGCATCACCTGCAGAGTTTGTGTTACATGTACCTGAAGTCTGAGCTTCCTGAAAGGGTGTTAAAAGCCCAGGAAAAGTTTGGTTGTTTCCTGTTGGACTTCCTTTGTTGCAGTGCATGAGACTTAGGAGAGTTTTAAGAGCTTGTCTTTATCCCCTAGAGCCCCTCTAAAGCATGCCTCCAGCACAGGGAGGACTGACCATCCACCTTGCCCAAAGGAGAAGCAGGGATCCAAGCCAGCAGTGTGTGGAGATGGAGTGGAAGCTTCTGTAAAAGCTGCTTCTTCAATTGTAGAAATGTCATTTGCTGGAGGTGCTGCATGGCAGGGGCCTGGGCAGCACTGGAATCCAACACATCCCCTGCTCCCTGGGACGTGCTCCTGTTAGGGAAGTCTTTGGGGTTTAGAGCTCAGTCAAGGTTGGTCCCTCAGTCAAAGGATTTGTCCATCTCCTTGGAAGCTCCTTGCTAATGTGGGAGTCAAATAGCCACAGGGGATGTTTTCCACCCTTCATCCTGGTGGCATCCTGTGGTGTGCTGAGCATGCACCATCTTGTCTTTGGCTTAGATAACTGCTAAACTGTGCTTGCAGGCACAGGGCTGCTGAAAGACTACTGATGAGGGTAGCTGAGAGAGCCAGAGATTATCGTGGCTTTGGCTGGCTGGGTAGTTAACAGAGCTGTCTTTGGCTGGGACGAAAACCAGGGGCAAAGATCAATGGGAGACAGATGGAATGGAGTCGGGGGTGTCCAGGCTCTTTCCAGAGCATTCTGCTTTGGGAATAAAGCAGCAGCAGATCCCTAAGATGCTCAGAAAGTCACTGGGTGGGATTGTCCCATGCTCAGCTCTCTGCCTTCTCTCTGCAGCTGGTGTCGGTGCTGAGGGAGGTGAGCTACCTGTCCAGCAGCCAGATGGGAGCCATCCCAGCTGTGGCAGCAGAAATCTATTCCTCCAGGGAATCCTTCCGGCAGATGGTGGCCAACTTGGAGCTGATGGTGAACAGATACAACAGGGTCCTGAAGACAGTCCTGGAGGTTGAATACCCTCTAATACAGGGGCAGCTGCAGGACATTGACTTGAAGCTGAAAGAGGCAGAAGAAACACTGAACTGGAAGGTGGAAGGTGAGCTGCCTCTGCAGGGGGAAAGAGCACATCCATGTGGGTCTCATGGGACTTGCCCACGTGCCAAACCTCCATCACCTGGTTCCCAACTGCAACTCCCAGCAGAGCCAGCACTGGGGTGAGGAATGGCAGCTCCCATCTTGCCACATTCCTTTCATGTGCTGGGGCTGTGGAAAGGATCCTGCTCCCTTCAGGATCAGCCGGGCTTTTGGGGAGGAGAGGCTGCCCTGTGAGCAGTGCCATCAAGGAGATGGCAAGGCTGGGCAGTGGGATGGAGCCAGGCCCACCTTGTCTTTTCCTGAAGGATGGAATACTGCAGCTGGGGTGGGATTGTGCACCTTGGCTGTAGGCTGATTGAAGCAGTTTCTTGCTTTACCAGTTTGAACTGTGGAGCAGAGGAAGTTTGTTTCCTCTTGGTGAAAGTGAACTGCTCACGGGTGGAATATGCATTTCTGTCATCAGGCTTGTGGTGTGAACAGGAACCTTGTCCTCCCTTGGGTACCTGCAGAGCAGAAGTCCTCACAGTGAAAACCTCTTTCTCCATTGTGTAATAAAGATGGGTTTTCCTGCAGATGAACCCTAAGTTCCCTGCATCTCTCTGCAGCCCTCGCTGGTAGCTGGGGCTGACACAGCCCACCTGTTGAGGCCATGGGTCCCTGCTCAAGTGATGGTGGCAGAGATGCTCAGCCTGTTGTGCTCATCCTGCCCATGCTGAGCTCTCCAGTAGCTGTCAGTGGGAGATCAAACCTGAACAGAGGGAATCAGGACCTATCAGATATCCCCAGATGATGGTGCTCCTGGCAGAAGGCAGAGGCTGTGGCTGTCTGTTGGGACAGGGGGGAGCTGGAAATGGGTCTATTGGTCGAGGTGGTAAGTCTCCTGTGTCCATGATGGGTAAGAAATACATGAGACCACAGAGGGTAAGTCAGAGGCTGGTCTTAGGGAGGGTGCACAAAAGCTTGGCCGAGCAACTCTGAAAAGCCATCAACCATCTCCTGTTTATCAGGTGTCTGTGGTCACATCTCCATGGTGATGGATGGTGTCCATGACCTCGAGCGGAGGGTACAGAAAGCCAAAGACAACGTTGAGGAGATCCAGACCATCGTGCGGGCCTGGGTGTCACCCATACTGGAGAGGAAGGACTGCAAAAGGGAATCACTGCTGGTCCTAGAGGACTGTCAGGACCGTCTGGAGAAGCGTTACAGCCTGGTCCGGGAGTCAGGGCAGAGGATTCATTCCCTGCTGAAGGTGAGAGGGAACTTCCCTAGGGATTCATTGGCTCCTCATAGGCTTTGTGTCTCTGCACTGGAGGAAATGTCTGGAGCTGTTTCACCTAAAAATGAACTCCCTTAACTCCTTTGCAAGCCTCATCCAGTGTTAATGAAGGGTGGCTTTAATGAGCTGCTACGTGTGTGGTGCTGGGCACCATTGGCGCCCAGTTCAGGCTCAGCCTGGCTCCAGTCCCGGCAGTTGTGGAGCCACTAGATGGGAGTCGTGCAGCAGGAGCTGGAATTATCCTCCTCTGAAAGATGTTCCTGGCAGCAGAGAGGCTCTGCCTGCCTTTCTGCTTCAGACTTGTCCCTCTGTGAGCAAGCAGTGACGTTGCCAGTCCGGGGGTCAGCTGAGTGACAGGAGAAAAGCTGCTCCTGAAACCTTGGTGCTTTCTGGCTTTGCCAGAGCTGAGACCCCTCTTTGCAGGCCCGGAGAAAGCCCAGAGCTGAGCTCCTCCCCTGCTCGCAGTGAGGTGTTACCACACCAGGGACAGGACTTGGCCTGGAGGAAGGTAGATTTTAGGTCAAGTTTGCTCCTGAGGGTCACCATCCAGCCTTGGACACTGGAGAGAGCCTCTCTGGGACACTGAGCTCTTGTTGCTAACCTTACCTTGCTGTCTGCACTCAGCCCTGGACCAATAACCCCCTTGTCTGCACCCTGAATCCACAGTGAGAGTCTCCCATGCCCAGGTTCTGCTGTCACAGCTGTAACAGGCTCAGCCACCTCCAGCCACCACCCAAGAGACCAGGGCACTTGCTAGATTGGCCAAGGAGAATATGGGGTTGTGGTCATGGCAGGAGGGCTGGCACAACCGGTGTGGTGGCATCACCAGTGCTGCTCACAGGGGCAGCACCAACTGCAAAGCGCCACAGAGGTCCTGGGGAGGGAAGGGCATCATGGCCCCAGATGAGTGTCCCCATGCTCTGTCCTTGCTGTGCTGTTCAGACCATGGGGAGCAGCAGCAGAGGGGCCAAGAGCTGCTCTGCTGGGCTTCCCTTGGTTGTTCAAGTCCTCCTGGGGGCTGGAGGGTCCTGAGGCTGCTGAGGGGAGCACAGTGAGGATTTGGGTACTACTTTTGCATCTTTTAATTGCAGGAAAACCAGAGCCTCTTACTCGCAGACCCAGCATCTGATGTCTGGAAGGCCTATGTGGATTACGTGGATGAGATAGTCCTGGATGGATTCTTCACTGCCATTGAGTGCTCGCTCAAGTACCTCCTGGAAAACACAGGTCAGTGCTTGTTCCTTTGCCCTGGTTGTGATGGCTGCTTCAGTCTCACCAAAGGGAGGGTTCTGCCTCAAGACAGGGTCATAGAATCAGGTAGGTTGGAAAAGACCTTTAAGATCACCAAGTCCAACCTTTACCCCAGGCCTGCCAGTACCACAACTAAACCATGTCACTGAGGGCCTCATCTCCATGGTGACTCCATCTCCCAGCCAGCATTGCTTATGGGGAGGGATAGAAATGATTGTGCATCATTTGCAGGGATTAATGGACAGACAAAACTGAGGCATCATCCAAAGTCTGTGCTTGGGCATCAATCTTACACCCTCCCATGCACAAAGGGACAAGTGACACAATCTCATGTGTGGGAAGTCCCCAGAGCTGGTTGTGTCCATCTAAAGCCCATCTCCAGTAACACTTCCCCCCTGGATATGGAGGCACAGTGGGAATTGCATCTAGTTCTGCCCATCTTGTTCAAAACACGCACAGAATTTCACATGTGCATTTGGCTTCAGTTTCCAGTTGCTGAGGTTTTCATGCCCTTCTCCACTAAATTAAAGAGCCTCTTGGTTCCTGTTGTTTTTCTCCTCAGCAACTACTTGTGTGCTGTAATTGTTCAGCTCTCAGGCTCCCTTTTGATTAGCTGGAGAGCCTGGTCTCTTTAAGGCATTCTCCACAGCATTTTATTCCAGTCCTTAAATCACTTGTGTCTCATCTCCAGTATCTCCTGTGGGTACCAGACCATCAGCCTCTGTGTTGTGTGCCAGCGCAGTGTCACTGGACCCACTGAGTGGGTGTCTGTGTCCCTGTGGGGTATGTGTACATCTTGTGGTAGGATGTTAGAGGTGGCTCAAGATCATTTTTCTCCTCTTGAAGAAGATCCTGGCATCTCCGTTCTTCCGTACCAGATCCCAAGGCCGGGCTCGCTCCCCTGTTTGAGGTGCAGCTGGATTTGGTGATCCCGGATTTAATATTTCATCCCTCCGTGGACCCTGGCACAAACGATGGCTTCTACGACATGGTGGAAAGTCTTCTCAATGACATCTATGGGATCTCATCGCTGGTGCCCCGGCTGGCCGAGCACAGCGGCTTCCCCCACTACCAGGTCTGTGCTGTGGAGCTCCCTCATGGTGTGTGGTGGTGAGGAGGTTCCACGCTGCTCCCACATCTCCCCTCTCCTCTAGGCTGACATGGAGGACATGGCAGATCTGGCTGACATGCGCCACGAGCTGATGGGGCGCGTGCAGGCTGTGATGGTGGCCTGCTGCGAGTACCGCAGTGCCTTCGACCGCTACTCCTACCTCTACGGAGAGGACAGGAAGGAGTTCTGCCGCCAGTTCCTCCTCTACGGGCACATCCTCACCGCTGCAGAAGTCGAGGCCCATGCGGAGGACGGGGTCCCTGAGACTCCCCCCACACTGCAGCAGTTCAAAGAGCAGATCGACTCCTACGAGAAGATCTATGAGGAGGTGAATCGCATCGAGCCCTTCAGCATCTTCCATGGCTGGATGAAAGTGGATGCTCGGCCTTTCAAGGCATCCTTGCTGAACACCATCAAAAGGTGGAGCTTGGTGTTCAAGCAGCATCTTGTGGACCATGTCACGCACAGGTAAGAGATGTTCCTGTCTCCTCACCCTGTGCTGACCAGAGAGGATTTCTCTTGTCTGGCTGGGCTTTATCATTACACCCTGGTAACCATTAAGCTAACATAGGAGCAAGAGAAGGGGCCCATGCTGCCTGCTGAGTGTGTAGAATGGAAACCATTGCATAGGCTTGGTACCATTAACATCCCATGAGCTGATGCTCCTGGAGCATTGACAAGGAGCTGATGCTCCTGGGATCTGCTGTGTGTTGTTAGATAGGACGTCTGTTTGTCCATTCATCCTGATCCAACTGATCTAATCTCTGTTAGGGCTCTGTGCTTTGTTGAATTTGAGATTAGCCGTCAGTAAAGCTGCATGAATGCCATGAGATACTGGCTGTATTTCTAAATGCAGCACTCTTCTGAGTGCAACTCAATTTGGGTTGCCTGGCATGAGCTGTCATGGGGAGGCTTCAAGGTTACAAAAAGAAAGGAGGTTGGGATGTAAGTTTTGGATTAGCACATGTTCCCTGCTCTGAATAGCTGCTTAGTTCTCAGGTTTCTGCAGGATGATGCACCAGGTGATCCATTTGAGTAGTGGCAACTGATGGATGTCACAGGTCTTGGATGTTTACAAAGCAGTTACAGACATGTAGTAGTGAAGGTTGCTGTGAGTGGTGGATGGGATGATCTCTGGTGTTCTTTTCAGCACCGTAATTCTGTTAGCTAATTGCTGTGCAAGGACGCTTTTGTGTAGCTTAGAATGGGCATTTAGGAGCTCTTACTAAGAGTCCCTGACTCAGCAGTTTAGTTTTTATTAGGTGAAGTATTTAAGGACACATTTTGGCTCAGCAGCATGCACAGAATTTAAGTGGGCACTTAAAAAGTAAGTGTTCTGAGGAGAGGGGAAAGGTTGTGCTGGAACAGACCAGAGATCCAGGAGCCCATCGTGCCTCTGCCAGTAGTGCCCAGTAGCTGGGTGAGATTAAGAACAGGGTAAGCAGGTGGGGAAATGTCCCCCACATACTCTCCTTGTCTCTAATAATTTATAGGACTTTGAGTGCCAGGGGTAATGCTGAGCTCACAGGTCTCCAATGTATTCCTTCTCAGATACCTTTTCTCCAGCCTGAGAGGTTGTATCTCATGTATCTATTCCTTGCAGGAAGCTGATATGTTGCAGTATCACAAGTATCACATTTATGGATCCCTCAGTTGTGGTTCTGATGCCCTCAGCATGTTGTCATGCAATGGTCAGGGTTAGGCAGGCCCTTCCCCTGTCTGTGCCACTCCAGCTGCCTGGCAGACACGGATAACTCTTTCAGTGGGAGCTGCTCTCATTTTGTGCTTTCCTGCTTTATGTTCCCCAGCTTGGCTGACCTGGAGGAGTTCATCAAAACTGCTGAGCAAGGTTTGAGCAAGAAGGTTGACAAAGGTGATTATGGTGGCTTGGTGGAGGTGATGGGTCACCTCTTGGCCGTTAAAGAAAGGCAGAGTGTCACCGATGCCATGTTTGAGCCCCTGAAGCAAACCGTTGAACTGCTGAAGACCTATGAGCAACAGCTACCAGAGGAAGTCTACAAGCAGCTGGAGGTGGGTGAATGCTTGGGATGGCCACACCGCTTTGCCAAGTAGTAGATGTCAAGGAGAGAGTGAGCCTCAGAGCAGCGCAGGAACGTTTAGGACCTTACTCCCTGTCGTTAGAGGGCCTCAGTGGATAACGTTTGCTATTGCAGGATGTGCCTTTCTACATCCACATTTTGGAGTTATATTGAGATTTTTCTTTTAAAGCAGAGATTAAGGCTTTTGTTATGTCTGAAAACCAGGGAATTGCCTCCTCCAACTCCCTGCGATTGCTCTTGACAAAAATTAATGCATTTTCAACTCGATCTGTTAATTAGGGTGAATTATAATGATTTTTAAATCAGCCAGTTCTTGGCAACTGTGGAGATGGGAAAGATAATGCTGGCAGAGGAGGTGCCTTCTCACAGGGCTTTAGTCCTCCACTGGGTCTGTAACACCAAATCTGCTTGACCCAGAGAACATCACAGGGAGCAGGTTGTGAAAGTATTTTGGCACCTTTCCACATTTGGCTCTGATTAATCAGTTTGCCTTGGGGAATTCTTTTTCTTTCTGGGCAGGGGACCATGAGGTGGAGGTTAGGAAAGGTTGGAGATGGAGGTTAGGTTGTGAGGTGCCCAGCCAGCCTTGGGGGACAGGACACAAGCACTGGCCACAGCCAAGATTACAGCGGACAAGTGTGTGGCTCCATGCTAATGGATACCCTGTAGCAATGGGGTGCTGTGGGCAGAGGGATCTGGGTAGGACACAAGGTTTAAAGCAGGATCTCTGAGGGAGATGTTCCTGCCTTAGGCACCTGTGCAGCAAAGGCTCCAGTCCTCTGCTGCAGGCTGGGTGGGAGCTGAGTGGAGTCTAGCAATCTCCTGGTGTTCTGCTTGTGCAGCTATGATCCATGAGTGATGGGGTCACCAGATCTGCAGTAGGGTCCTAAAGGTGTCTTTAGGACAGTTCTTACAGACTCCCTGACAACTGAGAGAGCTGCATTGCACAGGCTGCTGCTAACGCTTCAGTTCAACATAAATCATGCTGCTGTGGGGAACCTGCTGATTCCTCTGCCTGAGAGCTCCTTGTTTGGTGCCTGTGTGTGCAGGTACATGCAAGCAATGGATTCATGTGTCTGATAAAAGGAATGAGGTATGTGGGGCTGGTCAGATGCAGGAGGGAACAGAACACTTTCTGGCAAGTGACAGCAACACATACTTGAACAATTCCTTGACTTCCATGTACAGTGGGAAAAACAGAAGTAAGTTCCTTTGAGCACTGCTCCCTCCATCGCTGTGGAGATGGCTGGGCTGGAGCTGGTAGTTTGTATGAGAAGGACGAGGAAGCAGCTCCATGGGTGCCCTGCTGTGGTCATGAACAGTGATTTCTACTGAGACTGGAATATGAAGTGCCAGAAGGAGACCCCTCAGGAGAGACTGGCCATCTCTGCTGCCTCAGAGCTGCCTCTAGGTTATTTCCCTTCTTCCCATAGCGTTGCTGGTCTCAGTCTCCCCAAGTACGTGAACTGGGATGAAAAAGGAAGCCCAGCAGGGGGTTGGAATGGGATGACCTTTAAGGTCCCTTCCAACCCAAAGCAGTCTGGGATTCTATGGAGCCCTTCCTGTAGGCTTGCACAGTACATAGGGAATGGAGCTCTCTGAGGGCAAAGCACTGGGACTTGAGGATAGCAGAGCCCTTGGCTGGTGTCAGTGTCCGGGCTGAGGATGTGGCCCGAGGAGCGTGGTGAGAAGAAATAAGATCCCTTTCTGAGGAAAACCCCAGGAAGAGGGAGCGGGTTGTCAGCAGCGCTGCACACTTGCAGCTTGGATGCAGCCCTGAGAAAGAAACCAGTTTTATTTAGTACCAGTATTATACACACAGGCTGTGGAAGCATTTGCCCACAGAGCTCTGCAGAAATCCTTCTGGTGCAACTTCTCCTGCTCTAAGAGCTGCCAGGGAATTCCCCAGGCTCTGTGCCTCAGTGAGCATCCACAGCCCATCCTCCCGCCTTCAGCTTGCTCCCAGCAGGATGGTGTTACCACCACTGCTCTCTCTCGAGCACTGAACCATCCCGGGAGCCCGGGGTCTAGCGTGGGACCCTCCCGAAGCTCCTGCGCACGGCGCGAGCAGTTCGGGGTTCTGAGCCTTGCGAACTGCGCACAAGGCTGCGGGTCTGCGCCTTGCACGGCGCCACTGCCCCTGCTCTGCCCGCAGGACCTGCCGCACACGTGGAGCCACGTGCGGAAGGCGGCGCAGGCGGTCAAGCAGCACGTGGCCCCCCTGCAGGCCAGCGAAGGGGCGGAGCTGCGCAGGCGCTGTGCGGCCTTCGAGGCCCGGCAGCGCCGCTTCCGAGAGCACTTCCGGAGAGAGGCGGCCTTCAGGTGAGGGCGTTACCGGAGCGGGGAGGCCTCGGGGGGCGGCGCCGGGCCCCGGGGGTTGCGCCGGGGTCCTTGCGGGCGGGCGAGGTGAGGTGGCCTGTGGAGACCCGTCCTGACCATGGAATGGTTTGGGTTGAAGGGACCTTAAAGCTCCTCCAGCTCCAACCCCTGCCACGGGCAGGGACACCTTCCACTGGAGCAGCTTGCTCCAAGCCCCTGTGTCCAACCTGCCCTTGAACACTGCCAGGGATGGGGTAGCCACAGCTTCTCTGGGCACCCTGTGCCAGCGCCTCAGCACCCTCACAGGGAAGAGCTTCTGCCTTATCTCCAACCTGAACTCCCCCTGTTTCAGTTTGAACCCATCACCCCTTGTCCTATCACTCCAGTCCCTAATGAAGAGTCCCTCTCCAGCATCCTTGTAGCCCCCTTCAGACACTGGAAGCTGCTCTGAGGTCTCCACGCAGCTTCTCTTCTCCAGGCTGAACAGCCCCAATGTTCTCAGCCTGTCTCCAAACAGGAGGTGCTCCAGCCCCTGATCATCCTCGTGGCCTCCTCTGGACTTCCTCCGGTTCTGTGGTTTGATGATTCCCTTCCTTCTAACATCTGTAACACCTGGGGGGTTTTGTCTCTGGAGACACAGTCCAGTGTTAACAAGAGACTGAACTTGGCTGCTGAGTGCACAGTATCACTGTAAGGTGGCATCAGATGGCTGTGCCATCAGCTTGTGCTGCAGACGTTTCCTCTGTGCTTTGTCTCTGCACACTGGTTGGTTTCTGTTTTCTTTAGAAGCTGTTGCAATCTCACTTAGCAAGAATAAATATTTCTTTCTAGGTTCGACACCAAAAAGCCTTATCAAGTGCTGGATGCAAAACACATTGAGATTAAACAACTGGAGTCAGCCATGACCTCGATTTATGAATCAGCCGGTCTGTTTGAAGTCACGGTGCCAGATTATAGACAACTGAAGCAGTGCAGGAAGGAGCTGTGTCTGCTCAAAGAGCTCTGGGATATGATCTCCCTTGTGAACAGCCGCCTTGCTGACTGGCAGACCACCAAATGGGTGGATATTAAGGTGGAAGAAATGGATCTGGAGTGCAAAAAGTTTGCAAGAGAGATTCGGAATTTGGATAAGGAAATGAGGGCCTGGGATGCTTTCAATGGGCTGGACAGCAAGGTGAAGAACATGCTCACAGCCCTGAAAGCTGTGGCAGAGCTTCAGAATCCTGCCATTAGAGAAAGGCACTGGAACCAGCTGATGCAGACGACGGGTGTGAGGTTTGTGATGGACGTGGACACCACGCTGGCTGACCTCCTGAAGCTCAACCTGCATAACTTCGAGGATGAGGTTCATGGTATTGTGGACAAAGCAGTGCGAGAGATGAGCATGGAGAAAGTCCTGAAGGAGCTGAAGATGACTTGGGGCTCCATGGAGTTTCAGTATGAGCTTCACCCCCGCACAAACATCCCGTTGGTGAGATCAGATGAGGAGCTCATTGAAACTCTAGAAGACAACCAGGTGCAGCTGCAGAACCTAATGACATCCAAGTATATCGCCTTCTTCCTGGAGGAAGTGTCTGCCTGGCAGAGGAAGCTCTCCACTGCAGACTCTGTCATCTGCCTCTGGTTTGAAGTGCAGCGTACATGGGCTCACTTGGAGAGCATATTCATAGGCTCAGAAGATATACGGGCACAGCTTCCCAAGGTAGGAAACCCCAAATCCTGCTTTTTCTGTTTGGAAAGTGTAAAAGAGCTTCCATTATACAAAATAGGGGTATTTATAATCCTAAATTGCCAGAGCCAGGGCTTTTTCTCCTCCTCCCTTGCATCTTTGGAGGCTCCCTTAGGGCTCTAGGAGTTTCCCTAGTGCTCCCCCAGGGTGATTTTGTACTGTGGGTTGTGCTTGAGTCATGCTGAGTAGCTGATTGTCTCCCTTCCACTGCTCCAGAGCAAATACAGAGCTCCCGGAGACTGAGGGGGGCTGCTGGCTTCCTTCAGTGCCACAGACATGTTCCCTCTTTCCTCAGAGGGGAGAGGAGTGGGACTTCGACACTGCAAATTATCAAACCAGGGCTGGGGCAGGCAGCTTTGGCAGCATCCCCATCCCATCCCTGCCTTCAGCACTGCTGGGCAGCTGGACTCCCGCTCCTGCTTCTGAAGATGGAGCAGGGTTGTCAGTGGTGACCTCCTCAGGGGTGTCTGTGAGTTCCTTCCCCTGCTTTGGGGAGCGCTGGGCACACCTCACTGACTGGGCCACCTCTGCCAGTGCTGATAACCAGTGAAGGCTGGCCCACGTGCCAGGAAGCTGTTAATATCCAACAGCTACCTAATGGCATGTATGAAAGCACATCAGGGTCTGAAGCTGCATCCTGCTGGGCAGCTGTTTGTATCTCAGTATCCATCTGGCACGTGGCAGGAACCAGCAGCCTCTTCCCTTCCCTAAAAGGGAGGATGAAGCTCAAAGCCTCCTGAGGCTGAATCTGCTCGGGATGCATCCAGGGCTGGGGGAGGATGTGCTGGCAGGGCAGGGGATGTGAATCCCTGAGGGTAGGGAGCTTCCTACGTGGTTTGTGTGCAGGGAGGGCTCAACCTCTTGGCCAGAGCCTTGCTACTGGGGCTGAACAGAGGTTAATGTGGAAGTTCTCAGTGGTGCCCAGTGATGGGACAAGGAGCAATGGCCATAAACGGACACACAAGTTTTGCCTCAATGTGAGGGAGAACTTGATATGGCAGAGCACTGGAACAGGCTGCCCAGGGGGGTTTCTGGAGTCTCCCTCTCTGTGATCTGCTCTGGGTGGCCCTGCCTTGGCAGGGGGTTGGACTGGATGATCTTGAGGGCCCTTCCAACCCTAATGAAAGCTTGGAGCATTTCTATTCAGTGTCCTGGCTCACTCAGGAAGGAGCAGAGACATTTTGAACATAACTTTATTCTTCATTGTTTAGCTCCAGAAATGGAGGGTCCCTGTTCAATGCAGAGCACAATTGTTAGTGTGCTCTTCTGCTGCTGGTGTGGGGTTTCCAGAGCCTTACTCAAGGCAAGGAAGGGCTCTCCTCTGCAGGAGTCACTCAGGGATGGGACTTCTGTGCTGGGGCAGGAGGGGAAGAGTGAACTCCCATGAGGTTGGTAGCCTTTCCCCATTAAGGGATTATCTCCTAATGGAAATGGCTGTGGCATCTCCTAATGGCTGTGACCAGGGAGGCTGCACACAAGAGAAGATATTCAGAGGTGAATTCAACCCCATGGGAATGGTTGGTCCTGGACACTGGCTTCTGCTCTGATCACGTTATCCACAAGCCCTTTGGCATATAGAGACAGGAAGGCAAGAGCCTGATTGGAGACTTGTTTCAAGCATGTGGTGTCAGAGCCCTTTGCAGTGGTGGAGAGGTCCCTCTGCACTGCACAGAGGGCTCTCTGCAGAGAGTTTTTCCCCTCACTCCAAAGAGATGGGATCCTTTAGCACAGGAATAGTGACTCACCATGGACATGTTCTTCCTTTTGCTTTTTAGGACTCGGAACGCTTTGAAGGGATTGATGTGGATTTCAAAGAACTGGCCTATGAAGTTCAGAAAACCCCAAATGTGGTTGAAGCCACCAATAAGCCAGGCCTGTCCCAACAACTGGAGGACATTCAGAGTAGGTGGGTAGACCTTCAGTCCCAGGAGCTTGTCAGAAACTGCCACCAGCCCTGTTTAAGCTGTGCTCCAAGGCTTTCTGCCTCCACTGTGCATTCTTTGCATTCACAAGCCACAGCATTTCTGATCTTTCTTGAGCCTTATCTGTGATCCATCACCCTGAAACCCCCAGAGGGGAGTCTGGCTCTGTGTATGTGCAAACCCTCATCCTCAGTATTGATGTATGAACCAGCATCCAGCTGATTTCGTTTTGCCACCCCATACAGGAGCCCTTCAATACCTATTGAGCAGTTCAGGCAGGGATATCTGCAGCAGAGCTGAGCCCATGTTCTTTCATTCACAAAGTTATCTCTGCCTGTATACCCTTGCCACATGGGATAACTGCACTCCCTGAGAAAGCCCTTAGTGTCCTGAGATGGATCCATATCTCGCTCAACATAGGAGCTGGTCTACCTGGAACACAAGTAAAGGTGAATGGTAGCTGCTGTCAGTAGTAACTCTCCATTTAAAGTAAAGCCTGTATTTTCTTTGTTAATCAGATAAGGCAGTTCCTCACAGAGGAGTAGCTGCGTGTTATTTATGCACTTTGTAAGCTCAGCAGCAGTTTAGCATGTGAACACTGAAACATTCATTTGAGATGGAAACAAGCAAGTTTCTTTTCAGGCTTTGCAAACACAAAAAGCTGAGTAGGGCTGAATCAGACTTTCAAATGTGGCTCATTAGAATAAAAGCAGTTATGGGAACTTTCATCCCAGTGGGAAGTCACCTGTGGCAGATAAGAGCTTGTCTAACACAGTAGGTCAGGCTGCAAACCCTTCTAGCCTCTTCTTCCACCTCTGTTGCTGCTTTTTTATGAGGCTGTTCTCACTGTTAGGCTGTTTGACCCCTGGGAGTAAAGAGAGATCTCTGAGTTACTATGAGCTTTGTAGAGGACCAGCCTATGGGCTCAGCTCCTGCCTGGCATTACACAGGGGAGGGGTGAATCTACTTGATAACTCAAACTGTAGCATGGAAGATGAAGTCCCTGCTTCATCAGGGACCATAGTGATAGGACAAGGGGCAATGGGTTCAAACTGAAACAGGGGAGGTTTATGTTGGATGTAAGGAAGCTCTTTCCTGTGAGGGTGCAGAGGCGCTGGCATAGGGTGCCCAGAGAAGCTGTGGCTGCCCCATCCCTGGCAGTGTTGAAGGGCAGGCTGGACACAGGGGCTTGGAGCAAGCTGCTCTAGTGGAAGGTGTCCCTGCCCGTGGCAGGGGTTGGAACTGGGTGAGCTTTAAGCTCCCTTCCAACCCAAACCATTCTATGATAAAGAATGCTTACTCCTTTGTCTCCGCAGGTTGTCTCTGTGTGAGAAGGCTTTAGCTGAATATTTGGACATGAAGAGGTTGGCCTTTCCCAGATTTTACTTCATTTCTTCTGCAGATTTACTGGATATTCTTTCCAATGGCACCAACCCACATCTGGTAAGCCTTGTACTGCATCCCCTTTGCATTATGTAGCTGTCAGTAATGTGAGGGTGGAAGATGCTGTCTTGGGACTCACCTGTAGCATCTTCAGTGCTTTTTCTCCCAACCTTTTACTTGGAGTAATAATGATTCTTTCACAGCTGACCCTCATCTGTCATCTTTAAAAGGCAACATGTGCCTGTGTGTTGTCTGATTAACACTGGTGATACTTGCAGATGGTTCTGAAAGTGCTGCACAGAGTAGAGCTACGCTTTTGATGCCATAAAAATAGTGGTTTTCTTTCTGCTGGGATACAGTGAGGTTGGAGGAAACCATCTTTCTTGAGGGGCTCAGCCGAAACTTCTTGCTGACCTTGAGTCCCCAACCTGGGGTGCCACCAAAGAGCATCTGCTGTTGAAACAGCCACAGACTGGTCATTCACATATGGCAGTGTTGACAGCTGGTGGCTTGGAGAGGTCCCTTGTTTTAGCAGAAGAGGCATTTACAAATCACCTGCTTCTTCCTTCCACCATGCAAAGGTCTTTGGAAATGTCCTGATTATAGGGGAAGAGAAGAGCACAGCCTGAAAAAGGTAACACAGCTGGTGGACAGACAGTCGCTATGGCCAAGGCAAGCAAGGAGGTCACCTCCGTTGCCATCCATCCCTGCACAGCTCCAGGGTCAGGCCTGCACCTTCTTCTACTCTGCAGGCTGGGTTTCTGGGGGTGGTGCCTGAATGCCAGGTATGGGGAAATGATCCAAATACACCATTCCTCCTGTTGGCTTTGATGGGTTTTTGGACCCTCCTGTGGAGGAACTTGTGGTGCCCTTGCTGGTTTAGGAAGTGGTTTCTCTGCTCTTCCTTAGTCCCTCTGTCAGCAGTGAGTAATCTCACCTACTTTAAGCTTTTCATCATTTTCAGCATTCATGTGAACACCTTTAACTGCTTATATCTGTTTCTGCTGCTGGGTGATTTAAGCCTGCAGGGTATCATAAATACATATTGATTGATATTTAAAATGGAGAGGAAAAAAACCCCAGGAAGCAAACAGAAGATGCTGTGTTGCAGTGCTCCATGGAGGAAGACGAAATTCGTGGTGCTTTCTGTTATTCAAAACTGTTTGCAGTAAAATCAAAGCAAATGTCAAGTGGGATCACACACGGATTCGCTTTCAGCCTTTCCACTGTAGTTTCAAAGTGGTAATTCCTAAAGAAGGATTAATGTTATTATCCTCTTCAACTGGATATTGAACTTGTACAGATTCAGGTGTAGTCAGGGTGCTGGTGGCAGGGTTGCACCAAGGACCGAGTGCAGCCAGTGTCCTGCAGCCAGGGCAGAGGCTGGGAATGTACAGTGGGGATTTGGGAGTGGGACCTCGGAGGTGTAAGAAAAGGTTTCTATGGTTTACTCTAATCATATCTCCATTAAAATCTTATCTGAGGGAAGCTGGGTGCCCATTGCTTCTCCTTTCCACCTTCTGGGATTTAGCCCTGCTTAGACACCAGTAAGAAGCTGTCCTCACCTGCAGGACAGCTTGTGAGAGGCAGTGTTGTAATCCTTTGTGAGTCACTGAGGAGGAATTAAATGGACAAGCCCACCCATTTGTCTCTGAAAGCACCAGGCGTCACAGGCTCTGCTTGTTTCTCATCCTACCCATGGGAGTGTGTCCATCTCCTCTCTCTGTCCTCAGAGGGAGACAGCTTTGTGAGCTGACCCTTGCTGTGGGGACATCCGTGCTGGGAGGAGCCTGTGGCAGTGTGACACAGTGTTTTAGTTGTGTTTAGTGATCTAGAAGCAGCGTTGGTGACCTGCTCGGCTGATGTTGAGAGCCTGCAGCAGGGGTGCTAACATCAACCTGCTGGCTTTTCACATTCATCTGGGTGTGAACAGGACATGAGGGAATTACTCTTTTCCTCGAGTGGTTTTGTCCAAGAAGGGAGTAGTTTTGTAGGTCTGGGTTGTTGAGCATTTTATCGTGGTTCTTGGCCAGAAATAAAAAGGTCTTTCTTCTCCACAGAGGAGAAGTCAGGGCTTTTCATTGGTGCAAAATTTTCTAGTACTGAAAACCCAGAAGGGTTCATAGTGAAGAAAACTCGGCAGCATGCTGAGAATAGGATGAGGTGGAGAGAGGTTAAGAGACCTCTCGTGTAGGGAAACGGAGGCTAGGAGGCCCTGCAGTGTTTGAACTTTTGCTGTGCTTTTGCTCCACGTGAGATGTTTTCCCAGTGGGAAATACGGTTCATTAAGCCCGTCTGATGCAGAAACAGGTGAAAGCATCGGGAGAGACAGCAAGAGGCTTGTGGTGGCAGTATCCTGGCCTTGTGTGAGAAGATGCGGTGCTACCAAGATGTCCACGAGCATGCTTTCTGAACAGAATTGCTCCTGTGACATGAATGGTGATCTCTATTCTCCTTGTCCTACCTCAGTTGCTTTACTTATCCAAGTCCTTTTGCAGGTGCAGCATCATCTTCCCAAGCTTTTTGACAGCTTGGCCCACATTAAATTCCAGCTGGATTCTGAGCAAAAGGCGACCAAAGTTGGCCTGGGAATGTACAGCAGAGAGGTGGAATATGTCGGCTTCAGTGAGCCCTGTGACTGCAGCGGGCAGGTGAGAGGGAGGCCCTTGTCTATCAGAACTATCAGTGGAGTCTGCTCTCCTGGCCTTGTGTAGGCATCTCCTGCCAAGACATTGCAAAGCTTCACTGCTCTTCCTTTATGCATGAGAAAGGCTGGAAGAGATGGTGTGTAATTTAATTCCTCCTTACACCACAGCTTTTGGTCCCACTCTAGAAAGGTCCTCACTGTCTTCACTGATTACCAAAGGCACTTAAGAAGAGCAAATGTGTTACTGTCATTTAATCTGTCCTCCAGGTTGAGGTCTGGCTGAATCATGTCCTGGACAGCATGAGAGCTACTGTGAGAGATGAGATGACGGAAGCTGTTGTGGCTTATGAGGAGAAGCCAAGGGAGCAGTGGCTCTTTGACTACCCTGCCCAGGTATCTGCACTGCTCCTCATCTCCACTCAGGTTGGCATGTGGGAAAGGCAGTGCTTGGTTTCCCTTCAGTCCTGCCTTTCCCTTCTTTAAGTAGTGGCCTCTAGCAGTGGATGTGGAAGTTTCTGGCCTCCACTTTGCCGTGCAGCAGGGAGGATGGGTTGTCCTTTATCCTGTTAAGGACATGGAGCTGTGGGAGCAAGTCCAGAGGAGGCCACAAGGATGATCAGAGGCTGCAGCATATCCCGTATAGAGACAGGCTGAGAACATTGGGGCTGTTCAGCCTGGAGAAGAGAAGTTGTGTGGAGACCTCAGAGCAGCTTCTGAAGGGGGCTACAAGGATGCTGGAGAGGGACTCTTCATTAGGGACTGGAGTGACAGGGCAAGGAGTGATGGGTTCAAAATGAAAGAGGAAGTTCAGGTTAGATCTAAGGCAGAAGCTCTTCCCTGTGAGGGTGCTGAGGCGCTGGCCCAGGGTGCCCAGAGAAGCTGTGGCTGCCCCATCCCTGGCAGTGTTGAAGGGCAGGTTGGACACAGGGCCTTGGAGCAAGCTGCTCTAGTGGAAGGTGTCCCTGCTCGTGGCAGGGTTTGGAGCTGGGTGAGCTTTAAGGGCTCTTCCAATCCCAACCAGCCTGGGGTTCTGTGATCCCGGCAATCTCCTGATGGAGTTTCCAGGCTGAGCTCCATTCTCTGACAGGGACTCCAGGCAAGATATGCTCTTGGCTGGGTTACAGAGCCTGGGAGTTTGGGCAATGCCTGCTGCACCCTGTGGATCTATACACCCAGAGAGCCAGAGGTGCAGCAGGACAACCAAGTGGTAAGGTCTAGTGAGAAAAGAGCCCATCAGATGCGTCTCTGACAGCTTTGTGGTCTTCAGCTCTTCCTCCTCTGCTGTGTCAAGCATGTGAAAGGTGCTGATTTACTAATAAGTAGCTGCTAAATGTGTCTGCCACCGATAGGGTGTTTGAAATGAATGTCACGGGGCAGATCCCCATTGTCCTGTCTGCTGTGACTGCTGTATGACAGAACACTTAATTTCATGTCACGGTTACTTCATCCTTGATCTCCCTGGGGATCAGACACTCTGGCAGGTAAGGAAGCCTTGGTTTTATCATGGTACTGAGCCAGTCCTTTTCCATAGGTGGCTCTTACCTGCACCCAGATCTGGTGGACAACCGAGGTTGGAATTGCCTTTGCCAGGGTGGAGGAAGGCTACGAGAACGCGATGAAGGAGTATCACAAGAAGCAAGTGGCCCAGCTGAACGCCCTCGTGACCATGCTCATTGGGCAGCTCTCCAAGGGTGACAGGCAGAAAATCATGACCATATGCACCATCGACGTGCACGCTCGGGATGTGGTGTCAAAGATGATAGCGCAGAAGGTTTGTGTTTGCAGCTCAGCATGGACCTCTCATGGGACTTGGGGCAGGGGTTGCAGGAGTGAGAGACCAGCCCCAGGCCATCCAGTGGGAGGTGAATCACTAAACGTACTTCTGCACTGTTTGCAGTAAGGGGGCAGAAAGCCACTGTAAACAGAGCTGTTCTGGATCGTGGCCATGCAACACCAAAGGGCTTGTTGCACTTGCCACGTTCCCACCATGGGCAAGAGTGTGGCCCCACGTTGGTGGATGACAACAATGTGTTGGGAGGCTGCTGGATGCAGCCCACTCAGTCTGGTGTGGGGCCACAGGGACTGCTTTGGGACTCCTTTGTCCTGCATGCCTTTCCCACAGCACTCTCCTGTCCTTCATCTTGTGTCAAGTGTCCAGGCCTGGGGGTGGGTGGGAAGGTGCTCTGTGCTGGGTTGTGGCTTTATCCTTTATCTGTTTAAACTCATCACCCCTTGTCCTGTCACTACAGTCCCTGATGGACAGTCCCGTCTTGTGCTGCTCTTTCTGGTTTTGGTTATGTGCTTTTTCCTCTCCCACCAAGGTCATTGCTAACTTGGTTCCTACCCTCTCCTGATGGGAGATGGGGAGATGACCTTCCCCACCACACCTGCCTTGTCAGTGAGAACCAGTCCACCCCCAGTGAACCCTTCATTGCAGTCATCCTTTTGGTGCTTTGGCTCTGTGTGCCCGGCATTCCTGGCCTTCCCATGATGGTGCTTGTGGGTGTGTTCCAGGTGGACAATGCCCAGGCGTTCATTTGGCTGTCGCAGCTCCGGCACCGATGGTCGGATGAGGAGCGGCACTGCTTTGCCAACATCTGTGATGCTCAGTTCCTCTACTCCTATGAGTACCTTGGGAATACCCCACGGCTCGTCATCACTCCACTGACTGACAGGTAAGTCCCTGGGAAGCACCATCACAGCTGGGCTTTGCCATGCACTGAGACAAAGAGCTGCCAGCCAAAGAGGTTGTTCTTGCTCCATGTTGGAACATCTGGTGGCCGAGCTCTAACTCTTCCCTGGTTTGTGATTTGATGGTGTTACTCCTTGGAGTATCTGTGCCTCAGATCACAAGGTGGGATTTAGCTCACAGATTTTGCTCGCTTGTGGATGTCTGCCTGTGCACAGGATGTGCCCACTCCATGGAGTTTGTGAGTCTAGAATGCTTTCATCCCATCTTGGAGTAGACATCAGTTGTCTCAGTAGAGACACGTAGGTTGACTTGAGATGCTCTGTGTTGTTGCACCTGGCTTCCAGCAGCCAGTCCAGAAGTGTGCAAGTCTCCTGTGGATCCTTTGTCAAATCTTTCCACCCTATGTTGTATTTCAGTAGCTAGGAGCATCTGGGTGGCTCTAGTCACCCATGTTAGCCAGCTGAGCCAGTCTCTCCCTGCATTATCAGCTTTTGTTGGCTCTATTGACTACTGTTCTGTGGCTTATACAGGGAGTATGGACACCCACATGTGGGCATCTCCCTGGTGTCCGTCATCAGCATGATGGAGAAGCTTTTGAGCTTGCTGCAGTGTTGAGTGGCATCATAGGCCATCAGAGCAGGTTTCTCTCAATGGTGGGGAATGGGATCTTTTGGGATGAAGAGCAGTGGGAAAACAAGAGGAAGGTCTTTCAGAAAAGCTGCCCTTTTCTCATATTATGTGGGACATGCCCAGTGTCAATGAGTCATACCCAATGGTGTCAGGATCCAGAGAGTGCCCTGCCTGATGTGAAGAGGTTGGACAGACCTTAGTGGAAGATGAGTATCTCTTGAAGAAAACACAGGTGGCCAGAGGTGGTAAGTAATGCCCAAGAGGACTTTCAGCTTAGACATAGAGTCATAGAATAGTTTGGTTTGAAAAGGACCTTCAAAGCTCATCTAGTCCAACCCTCCTGCAATGAGCAGGGACATCTTGAACTAGATCAGGTTGCCCATTATGTCCTGCTTATGTGCAGCTTTCCAGAAGAAAGGCTCTCCTGAGTGCCTTGCCCTAGTGCTGTTTCTCTGCAGCCCAGCAGTGACCTGTTGGACCAAGGCTCAGTCTCTTTCCTTTGTTCCTTCATCCTTCACTCTGGAAGATGTTACATCACCCTGACCCAGTCGCTGCACTTGACCATGAGCGGAGCACCTGCGGGCCCTGCAGGCACCGGCAAGACGGAGACTACGAAGGATTTGGGGCGAGCCCTGGGCATCATGGTGTATGTGTTCAACTGCTCTGAGCAGATGGACTACAAGGTACTACTTCCACCTCGGCCGTGGTATCGTCACATGGGGCTGGGGTGCTCAGGGCCTGATGGGACATGAAGGATAGGAGTATTCCATTGCTTTGATCCACCACCTCTCCTTAAATCTCTGCTATGTTCCTTTCTGCAGAACACCTCTTCCTCCTCACTTTTCTACTTGTACAAGGTTTTCTACTTGTACAAGGTTGTTCAAGAGGCAGAGACCCGAACTGTGTTCTCTGCCTCGTTACACTTTCCCATTCCCTTATGGAGGTAGACTCCTTGTGAAATGTTTCCTAAACTGTGGCCTATTCAGATGAGATGGAGGCTGTGCTGGTATTTTGGTGCTGGTCATTTCTTATAGAATACAGACTGGTTTGTGTTGGAAGGGACCTTAAAGTTCATCCAGTTCCAACCCCCTGCCACGGGCAGGGACACCTTCCACTAGAGCAGCTTGCTCCAAGCCCCTGTGTCCAACCTGGCCTTGAACACTGCCAGGGATGGGGCAGCCACAGCTTCTCTGGGTACCCTGTGCCAGCACCTCAGCACCCTCACAGGAAAGAGCTTCTGCCTTCTTTACTATTCCTGTGTTGAACTGGCATGGGAAGGAACCTGTCCTGCTTTTCTCAGGATCCTCTCCTATAACAAGTCCAAAACGTGCCAAACCTTCGGCCACTGCAGAAAGCTGAACTGTTGGGCCAAGTCTTGCTTTGCTACAGGCTTTTTGGGAGCCAAGGATCACTCAGCCCAGGTAACCTTTAAATGAAAGCAGTGCACAGAGCTGTTAAAGTGCAATTAGCAAATCAAGTGACAAGCAGCAGAGCTATAAATATTATAATTGACTTGTGCCTGCTGGTTCCATACCCACAATAGGCTGCAAATGTAAATAAACAGGCAGGGAAATCACATCCTTGATTCCGTTTGGGATTTCATTTGTGTCATTTTCCTTTTCTCTTCCAGTCTTGTGGGAATATTTACAAAGGCCTTTCCCAGACAGGAGCCTGGGGCTGCTTTGATGAGTTTAACAGGATCTCAGTTGAAGTCCTCTCTGTGGTTGCTGTACAGGTAAGTGGAGAAACGCTTGTGAATAAATACAAACAAGGCACAGCTGTGGTGCAGCCTTTGAAGCCAGGGTAAAGATGGAAAGTGCCTGTTTCCAGTTTCAGTTCCACGTGTAGGCAGGTGAGGAATTACATCCCAAGATTAAGCACCTGCATATCACAGCACTGATGAAATGTGGCATTTTTATCTCTCCTTTTCTCTCTGCAGTTGCAGCATTTGTGTCGAGGCAATTCTTTACAGCATCTCCCAGACCAGTGCACACTATGGCTCTGTACCTGAGGAAGACACTGGTGTCTGTGAGATAACTGCAGCATATCATTTCAGGGAGGAGAGCTGCCTTGGCAGGCTGAGTAGCCTTAAGTCATGTAGGGAATAATTTTCATGGAGGAAAAGAGGGGTGCTTGGGGCAGATCCATGTCCAGGCTTGCGGAGGTTACTTATTGCCTCAGTCAGGTGCAAGTTATGTGTCATATTCAACAAGTAGGATTATATTCAAGATTAATGGTGACTTTGGACAAGGGCCTGTAGTGACAGGCCAAGGGGAATGGCTTTAACCTGCCAGAGGGGAGACTGAGATGAGCTCTTAGGCAGAAGCTCTTCCCTGTGAGGGTGCTGAGGCGCTGGCACAGGGTGCCCAGAGAAGCTGTGGCTGCCCCATCCCTGGCAGTGTTGAAGGGCAGGTTGGACACAGGGGCTTGGAGCAAGCTGCTCTAGTGGAAGGTGTCCCTGCCCGTGGCAGGGGTTGGATCTGGACGAGCTTTATGGTCCCTTCCAACACAAACCATTCTATGAATCTGGGTGGATTTGAGGTGCCAGTGCCTCATCACCCGCACAGGAAACTTCTTCCTAGTTAAGTTTAAACCCGTTCCCCTTTGTCCTATCACGACAATCCCTGATGAAGAGAACTGCTGGAGAGTCTTGTTCTCTTGTGCTTATACATAATCTGGCACATTCCCTTCATTTCACTGACCCACAAGGAAATCTGGAGGTGTTTTACACAGGGCAAAGGACTGCAGGAGGAGAGATGGTCCATACCCTGCTCCTGTCTGCCCCAGGGATGGTGAGGAGGCACCCAGGGTAAGTGCTGTGTGTGCGAATCCTTATGGCAGGAGCTGAAATCCTGGGGCAGCAGTGAGAGCAGGCCATGCTCCCGCTTCTGGCTCTTGCTTTGTAGGAGTGCTCTATCTGTTTGTTCTCCAGAGCCTAAATCTCAGTAGTATCCTCTGGAAGTGCCAGTTAATTTCAGCTGCCAGGGGAGTTTGAGCAAAGGGCAGATGCTCAACTGCACTGTCCAGACCAAGACAGCTGTTACAAGGGTAGAACTGAAAGTGCTGAGCCTTGGTGGACTTCAAATTGAAGTATCCAAAGTATCGAGTTCTTCTGGACCCAGCTGTAGCTGAGTGCAGGTTTTAGGATCCCAGTGTCTGAGTAAGGTGCTGAATTCTTCCTAGGCCCCCTTTTGGGTTTGGTATTGCAGAAAGAAGGATCGAGAGCCCAGAAGTTTCTACACTTTTGTGAATGTTTCAGTCAAAGACTTTGTTCTGAACCCCTCCATGAACTCCTCGCTCTTTTCATCTCTCTTTCACTTGTAATTGGTACCTGACATGATGTCCCAGAGAAGCCCCAGGCAGGAACAGGGGTTTATGTATCGTTCCCTCTCAATTTCTTTTCCATCAGGATCTAGTTGAAAGTTGCCATTGGGAAAAAAAGTCTTTGAGGATCTTAAAATGAAAAAGGAAGCTGAACAAAAGCAGCCCTGATATGACTCAACTGCTAATGATTCCCTCGCTCCTGGCTGGAGCGCAGCATCTGAAGGAAGCAGCCTGGCTGTCATTCCATCATCATGTTTCCTGGCTGCTATTAGGAGCTGTAACCATGGTGATGTTTAATTGGCTGTCTTAGTCATGCAGCTAATGTCGATATAGTTCCTTCCAGAGAAAGAATCGATTAATTGCTTAACTTTAAGATGGCAAAGAGCAGTAGGGTTAGAGGAGTGAATAGAGAATTTCTCCCTCACTGGAGTGCTGTGATCTGGCTTTAATAAACTTCCTCTCCTTGGAAAGAGGGGTTTTTTGTCTTTTGCAATCAGGCAAATACACAAGACAATACATTAGTGAGTGGAGGTGTCAGGGGAGGTCTTACAGCCTCTTCCTTGTGGGTTTGCTTTTAAATTAAGCATCTGATGTCCCCAAGTCTTTAAAAGCAATATCGAGTGTTCAATTTACAATTGAGCTGACGCCAAGCTTATGGGAAATGTTGCTCCTTTTCTGGGCCCAGTCAGGGTCTGGAGCAGGCACAGGAGGGTTTTGGGTTGTCATGAAGAGCAGTGGTGTGGGGGGAGTGAAGATGGGAGAAGGGAGTCAGTGACCTGCACTGTGTCATTGGGGCTGCATTTTGGTGCTGGCTGCATTGTGGATGTTTGGCCAGTCCCGAATCTCATCTCAGGCATCTGGCCTCCTGCTGGCTTGGGAAGTTCAGAGATGATTCAGCTTTTGGTGGTGGTTTTGTTGTGAGATGTGCTGAGAAGTGTCCCAGAGGTGATGTCAACAGCCAAGGTGAGATGTGGGCAGCTTTGGAGGCATTTACTTCTCCTCAGCTGCTCTTCCTTAGCCACGTCCATCATTGTCTTCTCAGCCAATGTTGCAAATTCTTGCAACTCCTTTGCTCTTTGGCCAGTCTCTCCAGCCTTCTTTTCTGCTTTGTCAAAGCCTGATTATGATGGGACATTGATGCTGCCACACAGATCTCCAAACAATGTACAAAGCTTGGTATGGTCACTAAAAAGCCAAAGCAAAGCAGGGATAAGCCCCTAAGATGGAGCCAAGTGTAAGGAAAGCAGCACTGTTGTCTGGTTCATAACACCAATACTATAACTCTGTCTTGGTTCCTAGGTGAAGTGTGTGCAGGATGCAATAAGGGAAAAGAAGAAATCCTTCAATTTTCTTGGAGAAGACATTAACTTAGTTCCCACAGTAGGCATTTTCATCACCATGAACCCTGGCTATGCAGGGCGAACTGAGCTACCTGAGAACTTAAAAGCTCTTTTCAGGTGAGTCCAGGTCAGGGTTTGTGACCTGTATTATAACAATGGCAGAAATTGTCTTTTGGAACATGCAGGCTTGATTTCATTTCCTTGAGGAATTCACTTGTATTGGGGATTTGCAGATGGTTTCAGCCTTGTGCAACCACTGGGCTCTGCAATCTTTTCTTGTCTGTCTCTTTAGGCCCTGTGCAATGGTTGTGCCAGACTTCGAGCTGATCTGTGAGATCATGTTGGTGGCTGAGGGGTTCATCGAGGCCCGGGCACTGGCCAGGAAGTTCATCACCCTGTACCAGCTCTGCAGAGAGCTCCTGTCCAAGCAGGTGAGCCCCTTCTGTGGCTGGATGGTGCAATGAATCTGTTGATCTCCAAAATCAGCAGGAACGTGGCACTCTGCCACTCATCTCCATGGCGAAAGCTTCACAGCTGCTGTTGAACTATTGCAGCAGCTTCTGGCAGAGGAGAAGGTTTGTCATCATCAGAGCAATGACATTTTTGAACTGCTTTACTTTAAAGAATCTGCCAGGACAAAAGCATTTGGCCAGCGGCATTAATGGGAGAGATTTTCCAATGGGCTCAAATGACACCGTGTTTGAAGTAGTATCCAGTGACCCTTTGCTTTCCAGTCTCTTGCTTCCTATTGATTCTCTTGTCTGTAAGGAGTTTCTGATGTCCATTCCATCTGTGAGCGAGTTCCCTGTCATGTCAGGTAGGGTCACTTCCAGTGCAAAGCTCTAATTCATCAGATTTTCCCTTGTCATCATTTGCATAACTCAGAGCTGGCTCCAGAGAAGAGTTGAAAGAGGACTCCAGGTGAAAAACCTGATCTTGGCTGTTCCAGCGTGAGGCTGGGTGGACGATGCTTGTCACAGAAGGTTTGTGCTGTGTTTTAGAGGTCTTGATGGAAGCCATGGTCTCCCATACAAAGCAGTCAACTGTTGAGCTGTGCTCTGGAGGGTCTTAACAGAGCAGAAATATGAAGAGTTGTACTCTGTAAGCACAAACTCATCCCTCCTTTTGTTTTCCTTCTTTGCTTTTTCCCCTGTTGAGGATCACTACGACTGGGGCTTACGTGCGATCAAGTCAGTGCTGGTTGTCGCCGGCTCCCTCAAGCGAGGTGACCCAGGGCGACCCGAAGAGCAGGTTCTGATGCGCTCACTTCGTGACTTCAACATCCCCAAGATTGTGACTGATGATGTGCCGGTGTTCATGGGGCTCATTGGGGACCTTTTCCCTGCTCTGGATGTACCTCGGAAGCGTGACCTGAACTTTGAGTCGTTGGTGAGACAGGCGGTGCTGGACCTCCGGCTGCAGGCTGAGGACAACTTCATACTCAAAGTAAGGCTGAGTGATCTGCTGTGCCTACATCACCATCCATCACTTGGGTTTTCTCAGCCATCTTTGCTTTCACAAAGAGGGCTCTGCATAATGTTCCCCTTGAGGCAAACTTTGATAGAGGTTGTGGATTCTGGGCTCCTCAGTACAAGGAAAGACAAGGAGCTACTGGAGAGGGTCCAGTGGAGGCCACAGGGATGGTCAGGGGTCTGGAGCATCTCTCTTACAAGGAGAGATTACGGGAGCTGGGCCTGGTTAGTCCGGAGAAGAGCAGACTGAGAGGGGATCTCATCAGTGCAGATCAGTATCACAAAGGTGGGTGCCAGGAGGATGGTGCCAGGCTCTTCAGTGGTGCCCGGCGACAGGACAAGGAGGAATGACCATAAACACACAAGCACAGCAAGTTTCACCTCAACATGAGGAAGAACTTCTTGCCATTGAGGGTGGCAGAGCCCTGGAACAGGCTGCCAAGGGGGGTTGTAGAGCCTCCCTCTCTGGAGGCATCCAAAGGGGCAAACTCTTGTAGGCTTAGGGAAGTGTGGCCCCTGGAAAGCAGAGCCTCATCAGCTGTTGGCCATCAGATGCAAATAGTGCTGGAGGGTTTCACCCACTGTCATTACAGAGTAATGAGACCAAACCCAGTGTCAAATCCCTTTGTCTGTGGGTCACATCTTTCTAAAGAAGAGCCCCAGTGGGAGCAATGTCGTAGATCTGAGCTTCAGTTTAGCATCTCTGTCTAAACCTGGGGGTGTTCTTCCCCAGGTGGTGCAGCTGGAGGAGCTGCTGACGGTCCGTCACTCTGTCTTCGTGGTGGGTAACGCAGGCACGGGCAAGTCTCAGGTGATGAAATCCCTCCACAAGACTTACCAGCTAATGAAGCGGCGTCCTGTCTGGACAGACCTCAACCCCAAAGCAGTCACCAATGACGAGCTCTTTGGAATCATTAACCCAGCAACCAGAGAATGGAAGGATGGTAAATGGCGTTTTGTGAAGGAATCTGTAGATACAGGATGTTTTCATGACCTTCCTGAGTAGCAACAGGATGACTGGTTCTTTGTGTGCAGTGGAGGCCCAGGCACTCATAGCTTTGTGAGAGTTTGTGGAAAGGATACACAGGATGTTTTAGCATCATCAAACGGGAAGTATAGCATAAACCTGCTCTATTTGGGTTCAAACAAACGGGACATTTAGGTTGCATATAAGGCAGAAGCTCTTCCCTGTGAGGGTGCTGAGGCGCTGGCACAGGGTGCCCAGAGAAGCTGTGGCTGCCCCATCCCTGGCAGTGTTCAAGGGCAGGTTGGACACAGGGGCTTGGAGCAAGCTGCTCTAGTGGAAGGTGTCCCTGCCCGTGGCAGGGGTTGGAACTGGATGAGCTTTAAGGTCCCTTCAACACAAACCAGGCTGGGATTTGATGATTCTGTCCTGTCACCATTACTATCAGCACTTACCAGTGTCCATTAATATCAGCACTTACCAGTTCCTGAATGGGCAAGCAGTTTTTTTGGGGTTGGCTGCACTGGTGATGGAAGAAAGTTCCCTTTTGCTCTATGGTGTGCACTGGGGTCCCCCAGAACGTGCCATCCCCAAGTTTCTGTACCTGGTAGCACACCTGCAGAAGTGGTGTTTTTCTACTGCCCAATCTCTAGCACACCAGCATTTGCCAGTCTGTTGATCCTGATTGCTCCTGAGGAAAATCAGATGGGCATTAAAAACCTGCTGAAAGGTTACAAAATCTGGAGTGGAAAGGCTCACTTGTGACTAATGGGTAAAGGCAGCTTCGATTTCCGCGTGCGGCTGCTTTGGAGGTGTGGGAGGTAAGGGAAGATGTTGCCATAAATCATCCTTGGCCAGAAGCCTGCCAGGAGATGAGCTGCCACCCACCAGCCCTGGCCCCTGCTGGAGACCTCTCCTGACCTCCTGCTTTGCTCCAGTGCCAGGGTTAATGTCTTTTGAATTGTAATTAGGGACCCTAAATCAAAGTGACAAGCGGGAGGTGGGGGATAGAGCCTGAGCTCTGCGCAGTGGCTGCAGGTCAGGGCCGCTGGTGGGACTGAGCAGCAGGAGGGATATCCTACAAGTTGTCCAGTGGTTTCTAGCCAAAACATTCAAGGGAGCTTATGGAGCTCCAGGCTGAGGTCTCGAGGCGGATATTTTCTGCATGAACCATTCCTGAATAGGTTGTTTCTTGTCAAAAATCAGCAAGGCAATCATCACCCCAGCCTAACGGGAGATGATGTGTCCCCTCCTGGATCAGCCCCTTCTTTTCCTCCTCTTTCATCCTGTCACTCCTTTCGTTATCAGCAGTTGAAAGGGTTATACATGTTAGGTGGTAAAAGGTCCCACAAGGGAATCCTGAAAGTGTTCTTTGTAGAAGTCAGCCCTTCTTTTAAATCCCAAGACCTCCCTGTGGTGTGGATGCACAGTTTTCTGTTGCTGCCGTGGTGTATATGAGGCAGCCATTGATGCTTTGAGCCAGCAGCTATTTCTGATGCTAATGATGTTGGAGCAGCTTCCAAGGCATGTACCCTATGTGTCAGGAGCTGAATCAAGGCAGAGCCAGTGAAATGTGATGGGTTTTTTTGGCCCCTCTCTGAATGGGATACGTGCTTCAGATAAACTGTTCTGCATTTGTTGTGCTTGGTCTTAAGTCATAGAATTCCAGTAGCTGTTCCTGACCTGGATCCCAAAGAAATAGCTTGTCCTGAAGAGAAAAAAAAGGTGTGTTTGTCACAATTCACCAAAAGAGGCTTTTTTTTGTAACATTTGCCTGTTGTTTTGTCATGAGGAGCAGCATCTCCCCAGGCATTCACAGGGAGAGGAGAGCGATAGTTTTGTGGAGTTTGCATTTGCTCTGCAGTGCTGCTGCTCTATTCCCAGCCTTCCTGCTCTTCTTAACGTTCATTATTTACTCCCCTTGAGACACTGTATCCTCTCTGTCTCCTTGATTTTACTGACAGTTTGTTCTGTCATTCAGTGTCATCTTGTGCTTGTTCTCCCCTCAATCTCTGTAAAGCCATGGTCCAGCGTTTAATGCATCTTGATTTCCCTGATACCCTTGCAGCCACAGAAAACCACATAGAAATTTCCAAGGCGTATTCAGGTGGTTTTCTCTGCAGTGTGTAATTCATGCCTCCTTTTGCCTCTGAGTACCTGTTCTTCACTTTCATCATCCCTGATGATTCTTGGTGATAATGAAGCTGTTACATAGGTCTGTGGTAGTTTTCAATGGTCGTAACTGATAATGCTGACCAGACCCAGACTGTGAGATAGTAATAGATAGGTACAGATGTAAAGAGTTTTGAATGCTTAAGAGGAAAACATTAATTAGGATAATTTTTAGTAATCTGCTAGAGAACACTGTTGGAGAGGTTGCAACTTCAATGCTCATCAGCATATTCCTGTCCCACTCCCAGGACTGTTTTCATCCATCATGCGAGAGCTGGCCAACATCACACATGATGGTCCCAAGTGGATGGTACTAGATGGAGATATTGATCCGATGTGGATTGAGTCTCTTAATACTGTGATGGATGATAATAAGGTAATGAATATAAGTCAAAGAGGGGATATTCCTTGATTGTGTGTTGTGATTCAGCCTGGGAGAAATGCAGATGCTGTGATAACACCCCCTAAAATAATGCGATTGTGTTTCTTCAGATAGAACAACCAATAGTGCATAAAGAAAATGGTACACGAAGGAAATAGCTCAAAGCATGTTTTCATTGGAATTCCCCTTTCCTGGGGCGTTAGGCTCATGAGTAACCACAAATGTCCTGCTTGTAACTTTAGGCCCTTTAAAAATAGAGCAGGGTCATAATCCAACACCTTTCTTCCCCACCCTGAGGGAGTGCTGTGGGTCATGGAAGAGAAGGATTGTTCTGTCTGTTAGAAACCACCTGCTGAGCAGCCAAGCTTTTGAATATAAAGTGCTGAATGCTTTTCATTCCTGTTCCTGAGGGAGGAGTTAGTCTGACTCTGTCTGTCTGTCTGTCTGCCACGTGCAGGTGCTGACCCTGGCAAGCAATGAGAGAATCCCTCTGAACCCAACGATGAGGCTGGTCTTTGAGATCAGCCACCTGCGCACAGCCACTCCAGCCACTGTGTCCAGAGCAGGTGAGTCCTGGCCTGAGCTTCACACTGGCGTTTTGCATGGACTAAGTAGGACCCAGTGCCTTTAACCAGTCTTTCGTTGGCCAGCTTGGTCCCTCTTGAAAGTTCCCAGGGTAGGTTCTTGAAGCACATAGACAGGCTGAGGATCCTGACCCCAGATCCATGTGGGAAGCTGTCATCATCTTGGAGATCTGTCCAGAGTGCTCTGACTGTTGATGGGTGACCATGGCTTCAGCGTTGCCGCAGAAGTGGTCCTGTTGTGCAAAGCCCTTTATAGACTGGATGAGGAGAGGGACAGTCTCTATCCGAAAAAGCTCCTGATATTCTGGAGGAGTACATGAAGTATAGGAAAGGGAATGAAGATGTCCCCTAATTGTACATATGAGGCCCAGAGCAGTAACATCACTAAGGCAAGACTGTGTTCTGTATTTGGGGCAGGGTCAAGAAAGGTGTCCTGGTTTCCTGAGTTAGGTCTCTTCACTGTTAATGTTTCCAGCGTGTGTGTGGGGGATAGGTATTGGGACACCAAGGTGTTTTTGATGGGCTTTTATTAGTGTGAAAGTAGCTGAGAAATTCTGCTGGAGAAAAGGAAGAGTTGCTTCTCTGTCCTTACTGTATGTTCTCTCTTACCCTGGGCCTAAAGGCATCCTGTACATCAACCCATCAGACCTGGGCTGGAGTCCCCCAGTGAGCAGCTGGATTGACAGGAGGGAGATCCAGTCTGAGAGAGCCAACCTGACCATTCTGTTTGATAAGTACCTGCCAACTTGCCTGGACACCCTCAGGACAAGGTACCATTGAGGACTAGCTCTGCTGGCAAGGGCAAGGGGACACAGCTGTGCTGTGCTGCACATGGCATGGGTGGCTGGTTTCCTCCTTGCCCCTGAGAGCCCTGAGCATCACTGGTTTAAGTGCAGAGAAACAACAGGCCCTGGGCCTCCTTACCTTGATTTGGCTTCATAGTTGTGCCCACAGGGAAGTTGTTCTTGCTTGTCATTGTGTGAGACAACTCTCCTATACTATGGGGAGGACTGGCCAAAGTAGAGTCCCAACAAACTGAAGTAAGGGATCTTCTGCTATCCTCTGCTTGCTTTCATAGTTATACCTTAATTTAAAAACCCCATAGAATCATAGAATAGTTAGGGTTGGAAAGGACCTTAAGATCATCTGATTCCAACCCCCTTGCCACATACAGGGACACCTCGCACTAAACCATGTCACCCACCTCCATCCAACCTGGCCTTCAACACTGCCAGGATTTTCACAGAGGTTGGAGCATTCACAACTTCTTTGGGCAACCCATTCCAGTGCCTCACCACCTTCACAATAAAGAATTTCTTCCTTATATCTAACCTAAACTTCCCCTGTTTAAGTTTTAACCCATTCCCCCTTGTCCCATTGCTCCACTCCCTGATGAAGTCCCTCTCCATCATCCTTGTAGCCCACTTCAGACACTGGAAGCTGCTCTGAGGTCTCCATGCAGCTTCTCTTCTCCAGGCTGAACAGCCCCAGCTTTCTCAGCCTGTCTCCATATGTGAGGTGCTGTTGAACATGGGAGTTTTCAGCCACAGTGGGAATGTGTCAGAAGCAGCTGCATTAGTGATAGCAGTGGGCTTTTGAAGTAGGAGCTGCTCTCTGAGTGACCAAGCTGGTTACAGCTGTTGGCAGCAGAGTCCATGAGACATCTCCCACTCCATTTGCTAAGCGTTGTGTCAGCCCGTGACAGGCGCAGGATTAGCTGCAGGCAGCCCCGAGCAGGGTGTTTTGGTAGCTTGCTTAATTCAGAAATTGTAGAAGCCACCTCTCCAATAGCTGTCATTACTTTATGGAGGACTTGAGCACTGCTGCAGTATTAGTTTGGAATTCTGTAAGTGAGCCTAAATGAATGTAAAATGGCAAGATGAAAGGTTTTATTTGATGACTCCTCTATTTGACCGCGTTTGAAGTGCTCGTCCGCGCAGGAAATCACAGCCTTTAGCTTCCATTTTACTTCTTTCAAGAGGATCAAAGTTTTAAAATGGTTCAAACTTCTGATCACTGTTATTACGTGTGTACGTGCCGGGGCCAACGGGTCTGCGGGAGGGGAGGGCTGTTCTCTCTGCTGCTGTACCAGGGAGCGAGACACGCACTGCTGACAAGTGAGGTGCCTTGAAAAAGCATTTCCAGCCTTGCCTGCCTGGGTTCTGAATAGCTGTGATGCTGACATTGCCATCCCTTAGGTTTAAGAAGATTATTCCCATTCCTGAGCAGAGTATGGTTCAGATGTTGTGCTACCTCCTGGAATGCCTCCTGACAGAGGAGAACACACCTCCCGACTGTCCCAAGGAGCTCTATGAGCTTTACTTTGTCTTTGCTGCTGTCTGGGCTTTTGGTGGATCAATGTTTCAAGACCAGGTAAGAAGGAAAATGCCACTTCAGCATTTTATGCAAGCCTTTTACATAGTGCTGTTTTCCTGGGGGTCTCATGTAGGTGACCATAAGTTAGAAACCTGAATGCAACAGCTCCTTTTTGTAAAAGACCTCAGGGGAGAAGGGCTGAGGAGTGAAGTGATAAAAGCAGAGAGATGTTTGATTATCATAGAATTCCAGGCTGGTTTGGGCTGGAAAGGACCTTAAGATCATCCAGTTCCAACACCCCACCATCGGCAGGGACACCTTCCACCAGAGCAGGTTGCTCCAAGCCCCTGTGTCCAACCTGGCCTTGAACACTGCCAGGGATGGGGCAGCCACAGCTTCTCTGGGCACTGTGCCAGTGCCTCAGCACCCTCACAGGGAAGAACTGCTTCCTTCTTCCTGTTTCAGTTTGAACTCATCACCCCTTGTCCTGTCACTCCAGTCCCTGATGAAGAGTCCCTCCCCAGCATCCTTGTAGCCCCCTTCAGACACTGGAAGCTGCTCTGAGGTCTCCATGCAGCTTCTCTTCTCCAGGCTGAACAGCCCCAATGTTCTCAGCCTGTCTTTGTATGGAGGTGCTCCAGCCCCGTTATCATCTGTGTGGCCCCAGGTTAATTTATAGAGGCCTGTGGATGTGCATAATGGGATCAAAGTAAGACTGACTTATCAGATGGATCTGTCAATGGAGCAGCCTTCTGTCCCTCTGACTGTGCAGGTAGATGTTGAACCACAAAACCAGTCAGTGCTTTGTCATAGGTTGAGGTTGGTGGCTGTAGGTGCTCAGCTTGAGTTCCCTCTGGCAGCCTGCTGTTTGGAGTCTGTGGCGTGAGCTCCTGGGCTCAGTCAAGCTCTTGGTGGATGGATGCCCACACCCAGGACTGTAGTGCTGCAGGGCGCAATCTAGAGAGCAAGATCTTGGGCCAGGAGGATTAATCAGGCTGTGGTTCACTAGTGGCGTCTCTGATGTTCAAACTACACTCGTGTCTGAGATGCAGAGTCAGACAGGGCAGTACTCTCCATGCTGCTTCCCAGGGTGTCTGTCCTGTGGATTTACTGCTGCTGTCAGGCTCTGAATCCACCAGCTTGCATTAAACAAGGGGGTTGGGGATGGTGGTGGTGGTGGTGGTGATCTCTTGCATTGCAATGTTGTTAGAAGACAGTTTTCTCGAGGTCAGCAGTTGGTACTGCGCATTTTCAGCCCCCTTTCAGGTCCTTGTCCTTAAAACATGGGAGGAGCAGAGACATCTCCAGCCAGGCTGAAACACAGCTGCTTGGTGGGAGCTGTAGCATGTGAACAGCAGCGACCTTGGGAAGGGTATTCTCCAGACTTGCCTGGGAAAAGCAGGGTCAGAGCTGTCTAAGAGCACATGAAGCATGTGAAGACCCAGGTTTTGAGTACCAGGTTTTCAGGAAGTAGCACAGGGCAGTGTGAGTAGCTGCAAAGTCTGCAGGTTGAAATACATTTAGCATCTTCTGGAGCTGCTCACATGTTCTGCCCAGTCCCTGCTGGGAATCTGTTGGGTGGTTGCATCTCCTGGTCAGAGGATACTTTGTCCCCAGGTTTAAAGCATGTAATCCTGACATGTGGGTCTGCTGTGTGACAGGACACTGCTGTTGAGGGCTCAGAGATCTATATCTGCTCTCTAGTGGGCTTGTGTCAAGCTCTGTGTTGTCTGGAAGTGTGTGGGGCTCTCCATGGACCTGACACCAGCAATCCTTTCCCAGCTCAGGTGGAGGCACTGCCCTTCTCAGGGGCTGCTCAAGTGCTCACTGGGGTCTGTGTATTCCCATGTGCTTCAGTGCACCAGCAGCATGTGCTGGACTCCACCTGTGCTTCAGGGTAAGGAGCAGATGTTTTGGGAAGTGATAACAGCAAAGGTCAAGCTCAGCCATCCTGCCTCATGGCTGTTAAATGACCAGTGTAAGACCAGCTTGCTTGGTCCCTGTGGAAGACTTAACCCTGCATTTCCTCTGTGCCAGCTGGGAAATGCTCAGCCTTAGTGGCATCACCACAGGGTGACATAAAGGCAACACAGTGAAGCCTGGGGAGCATTGCTTGTCCTTGCTTCAGCAGTACAAGCTGCTGTCTCATTGTAGGAGCTCACAGCAAGTTGGCTGGAGCACGCTCGTGTAGCAACTGAACCCTGCTCCCTGGGCCACAGCAGAGTCAGTCACAGAGTCACAGGAAGAGCCACGTTGGAAAAGACCTTTAAGATCATCAAATCCAACCATTCCCCAGCACTGCCAAGGCCACCACTAAATCCCTGGCACCTCCGGCTCTGCCTGGCTCCCTGGGGAGGAATGGCACGGACACATGTGCCTGGGATTGTGCTGCAGGGGCACAGCATCTCTCTGGGAGCTTTGTCTTGGAGGCTGGACTCTGCGTTGCTGCTTGTGATGCTCTGTAAATGTCAGGAGTGTGAGCGTGAGGATGCGGCAGCCGGAGCGAGGGGAAGCCTGATGAAAAATGATCCAATATAAAATCTGTTTATTGCTCTCCATTGAAGGTGCCCTTCGTGCTGACCTTTTGCTGCCGAAATGTCAGGAGAAACAGTCTGGAAGGCTTCCTGCTACTCTGTGCTTGTTGGTGGGGAGTGGGGGCCCCTGGATAAAACCAGATGATAGATTTGCTGTTTCCAGCCTCTGAAATTAGCAGAAATCCATATGGGCTTTGTATTAAAGAAGCAGCTTGAGTTCAGCACTGAGCTGGGGCTGGAGCAGCTCCACTGAACTACTTGGCTGGGGGGGGGGCAGCCCCTCACAATGCAGCTGGAGGCAGTTTGCCTCTGTAGGGGTAAAGGCACCCTTGTGAGAAAGCTTTTAGCAGTGCTGCACGTCCCTCCCCACTGCGGGCTGCTCTGCTGCTGGCACCGAGGAGGCAGAGCAACAGAAGGGAGGATAACAGTTATTCTGCTTCTCTGAACAGCACGGGACTGCAAAAGCATGGGTACCAATAATGTGCTTTCTCAAATCCTCTGCTCTCCTGGTGGCTGGTGGCTCAGGAGGCTCTATAGAGGCCACTTGGTTCAGTTCAGCTTCTAATCCACGTTTCCTGTTGGAGGCTGAGCAGTCTATGGGCAAAGTGTTGGTGGCTTGGCAAAGCACATTGAATGGCTATGGGGAGGTGAGACCTGCAGATGCCCCACGGACTGTTAGAACAGCACATTATGTATTTCACAGCCATCTTTCTAACAGCACTTTCCCCCTCTTTCTCCCACCCCTTTCTCCCCAGGCAGGAGTCTGTAGTCCCCACTGTCTGCATGGGAAGGTGCTCAGGCTGAGTGACAGGCCCAGTGTCATACAGGAGACCTGGGGCAGGGGACTAAGCACATTTTGCAAGTCCTGGCCCAGTATTGAGAGCAAAACCGACCCCCCAGCTCTTGAAAAATAATCAGGTGCTCCAAATTCTCCATGGATGGGAAGATAAAATGGGGACAGACAAGGAAGCGCTGATGTGGCAGCACAGAAACACAAAGGGGCAGGCTCCCTCTCTGATGCTTTGGTGCACTGGTGTCTCCAATCTAGCTTTTTCTAAACATTGTGGCCTGAAAAGAGGCCAGAAGACAAAACCTAAATATTAATAGAGGGGTGTGATTTATGAGGAAAGGCTTTAGTATGCGTGCTTTGGCTACCCATGACCACAGATGTAGATGGATGTTGAGTCCTTGTCTGTCAGAAGCAGCAGAATCAATCAAGGGGTCTGTTTAGTCACGGGCACGTATTTCTCTTTTTCAGATTGATCCATCTATCTAATCTCAGACATACCAAGAGTGATCAACACTGAGGATGAATTATTTAGGGGAATAAATAGGAGTGATGAGAAGGAATGAAGAAGATGAAAAATTAGGCTTAATAATAGGGGATAAAATCGTTATGAATGGAATGTGTTTAAGGACTAATCCTGCTCTGGTGGTCTGGGATAGGTAACGTTCTCCAGCACTAGTGAATTTCTCCAGATTAGCATATTTTCTCCACTTACTGTCTTGCAGCTTGTGGACCACAGAGTGGAATTCAGCAAGTGGTGGGTGGCAGAATTCAAGACCATCAAGTTTCCTTCTCAGGGCACAGTCTTTGACTTTTACATCGAGCCAGAAACGAAGAAGTTTGAGCCTTGGTCTAAACTTATTCCCCCGTTTGAATTTGATCCAGAAATGCCATTACAGGTATGTGAACCTCACCTGCATTTGGTCTGGGAGGACTACATGGGTTTTAGTATGTGGGCGTTTCAGTGAAGTGCCATTCAAGCACTTCATAATAAGGATGGCTTCTTTATGAGGTACAACCAAATTACCCAGCTTTTTCTACATGTGAAGATACATCCTCCATCCATCTTCCAAATATGAGTGATGTGCGTGAGGGGCAGGCACAAAGCCACCCAGTGACCCTGGAGCTGGTGTGCCCAGGGTGCAGGATGGGGGAATTTGTCCTTCAGAGAGAAGCAGGATGTGAGACAATGTAGTGACAAAGCCCCTGAGACACCATGTCATCCTTCTGCGTGGCTGAAAATAGATCTGGTTTTGTGATCTGGACACAAAATGAGCCGTTCTGCAGGTAGCGAATTGTGTTTGCCAGCTCTGCTTTACTTGTGTTTTATAAGTGCCACAGTGAGGAGCTGGCTGCTAGAAATTGTTCCCATTTTAGGAAAACATGTGTTTGTGGGGAGATGCAGGTGCTGCTCCGGCAGCGAGCTCTCAAGGTTCCCTCTGTACAGTTTGACTTTAACAGCTCTCTTCCTGCTGCAGTCTAGAAACTGGGGCCGCCTCCCTCATTCCTGGCTCCCCTAATTGGGCTTCTCCCCAGAAGGTGGCTGTGGGCTTGTGGATGGGGGTGCTCATCTGCTCATTCTGCCCCTCTCAGGCTTGCCTGGTGCCCACCACTGAGACAGTCCGTGTGCGGTACTTCATGGACCGGCTCCTGGAGCGCCGGCGCCCGGTGATGCTGGTGGGCAGTGCCGGCACGGGCAAGTCTGTGCTGGTGGGGGACAAGCTGTCCTCACTGGACATGGATGCCTATGTGGTGAAGAAGGTCCCGTTTAACTACTACACCACCTCTGCCATGCTGCAAGGTAAGGAGGTGGCTGAGTCACAGGACTTCTGTCTGTGACTCAGACAGGTAGAATTCCTGGGGTGTCCTTCCCAACAGGAGAAGGCCTGTGGGAGAGCTGCCTCTGTTGTCTATGGGCACTGCATTGACACCCACAGACTCTTAAAACCCACTGTGAAAACCTCAGGTCAGCAGACCCCTGGTTTTGTGGAAGGTGATGTTTTCCATCGTGAGGATTTGAGGGCTGACCACCATGACTCCAGCTCAGGGCTGTGCCAAAGCATGTGCTTAAATCTGCTGCTGTTTTGTATAGCACACAGTACTTGACTTGAGGTGTGTCTTTAAGATGCTTGAATTTAAGCCCATGCTGAATAGGATGAGTCTATTGACTGAGATCTAAACTGTCCTCAGGGTGAAATGACAGGAATTGCATCCCAATTACCAGTGAGGATGGTGCTAATGGATATGCGCAGCCTATAAGCCAGGCCTGCCAGTTCCTGGTGCTGTCTAGTTTCCTGCCACAGCCCATCATGGTCCTGTGGAGTAAGTCCCCCATCCCCAAGGGCACAGGAGTTGCTGCCCCTGTGGGGCTCAGAGCCCCAGGGAATTGCTGCCCCTGGGGAAGTCCATAAGAACATCGCTGATGAGGATTTGACACATCAGTGAAAGATGAAGTTTAAGATCAAGGTAAGGTCACTTCTGTTATGTGTTCTCTTCAGACCTGAAAAGAAAGGAGGGAATTATTGAAAGGTGGTTCATTTTGGAATGTTTTTTTTCACTTTGGGTTGAACTAAAGAGAGAGAAAATAATTTGTTACATGTGTTTATTAACCAGGAATAAACCTCCTTTGTTTTAAGTTGAATGGGTCACTGTGAACCAAGGTGCTGCCTTTATGTAGCTTGGTTTGACCCAAGTATCCTGAAGTTCTTCTACTTCCCCAGCCCCATAGGGGACCACAGAGAAGCTGTGGCTGCCCCATACCTAGTGGTGTTCAAGGCCAGGTTGGACACAGGGGCTCAGAGCAAGCTGCTCTAGTGGAAGGTGTCCCTGCCCGTGGCAGGGGTTGGAGCTGGATGTCCTGTTTGAGCTTAACATTGCCCTCTGGGGCTGACCCACTTCTAGAGAGATGGCAGCCCAGGCTCATCCCATGATGTGTAACCTGGGGCCATGCTGTGGGGCTGCTTTCTGGGCAGGTTTGAAGGGTTTCTGGTCTTGCTGGTGTGCACCCTCCCAGGCTCTGCTGCCCCTCTCCGTCAACCAACGGGATGGTGCCTGTGCCTCTGCCCACAGTGTGAATGCAGATTATTTGGGAATGCAGAAAACTTGGGTAAAATCTCACCTTTGGGCGGGTCCTGCAGCCCTGATTGAGTGGTGTGATGGTTATAACCTGTCTTTCCCCCTCCCAGGCGCCCCTTCTCTTTCTCTCCCTGTGTGGAGTCTCTGAGCTGTCTGTCTGTCCACCCAGCTGCCTGGGTGGTGGAACGTGCCCTCATTTATCTCCATCAGGGCGGGTGAGTGTGTGCAGGTGTTGAGATTGATGCCAGCAGCCCTGGCAGCACGTCCCTGTTTACTCTGGCTGTGAGCGATGGGCTGAGACAGCGACTTTCTTCCTCTGCAGAGGGGAGCAAGTCATCTTGTGAGGGGATGAAGATGTGGCTGTGAGATTTGCATCGGGAAGCATGATTTATACTGCTTGGCCTGGCTCCCCGCTGCTCATTTTTTAGAGTTAATTTGTCCCTTTCTGTGTGGCTTGTCAGTTGGTTTTTCTCCCCAGCAGCACCTCTTTAAATGTGCAAAATATGGATACCAAGCAGGTTTGCATTTCTTTCTTTTTTTCCTTTAAAAAGCTCCTAATTTCCTAGGCAAGGTGGCGGTTGGTGCAGGGATTTGTAAGGTGCAGAGCGCGCGCCCTTCACTGTAAGCACAGGTATGTGGGTCAGATCATCCTCGTGGCTCCCATGGTGACAGCATTGCCATCTGCAGAGGGGTTTTAACCACACTCTGCCCAAGCCTGGGGCCAGCTGGGGGCTTTTCTTTGGTGTTCTGTGACTGAACTGCCCTTTGTGTGGCGTTCGGTGCAGTCCCAGCCCATTGCCCTAGAAGACCTCCAGCCGACTGCTCTCCCTCTTCATGCCCTCTTGGACCTTTGCTTCTCCACCATATGCTTCTCCATCCCTGGCTTCTGTCATTCAGCACCTTCTACTCCAGATCTAACTTGAGAAAACTGCTGTAGATGTTGGGTGGTTTTGATGTTGGGTTTTTTCCCCTCTCGACCAGGACCCAGCAGGCAAGAGGAGCCACACTCCCTTTGAGAGTCCCATTTGCAGTGACTCTTTCAGTGCTGATTTGAGTGTGTCAGGTTCTCAGAGGCCCTTAGTAATACTGTGAGATACAGCTCTGAATTAAAATGCAACTTTCCCAAACATGTCACTTGATCCCCAGTAATTGCATTTCAGTGTGATGAATCTCCTGCATACTTGTTTAACCTCAAAAAGGGCTGATTTTCTATGTTAATGAAGGCCTCATTAAATTGAGATTAAATGCTTATTTGAAACACTTAATTTAACTTGCTACCAGAAACTTCAAATATCGTGGGTTTACGGAAGGGGGAGAGAGGCTCCACCGAGGGAAGATCCATCATTCCCTTCCTGAGCACAATTCCTGCCTTTGTGCAGCAGCGCTCCATGACAAGAAATCAGCTCAGTTTTGAGGAGTGGGAAAGACAAGCTGTCTGCAATGCACTGGAGCAGTGAAAAGTGCTGTGGTCTGAACAAAACGCAGCGTAGAATCATTCCTTAACAGAATTTGCCCATAATCAGGAATGCCTTAAGTGTATGTTTTCACAAGGTGATTTGAATAAGAATTCCCAGTCCCATTTATGTTTGCCAGTCTTCCCTAATGACAAAGAATTGCTCCTTCATGTTCCTCTCTACAGTACCTTAACAGAATCATGGAATGGTTTTGGCTGGAAGGGACCTTAAAGCTCCTCCAGCTCCAACCCCTGCCACAGGCAGGGACACCTTCCACTAGAGCAGCTTGCTCCAAGCCCTGTGTCCAACCTGGCCTTGAACACTGCCAGGGATGGGGCAGCCACAGCTTCTCTGGGCACCCTGTGCCAGTGCCTCAGCACCCTCACAGGGAAGAGCTTCTGCCTTAGATCTAACCTGAACTTCCTCTTTCATTTTGAACCCATCGCCCCTTGTCCTGTCACCTAAAACAGTGTAAATGAAATTCTGCCTCCATCTCCAGGAGAGCACTGAGCCCCGGGGAGTGAGGATGCTCTCCAAGTGAGCGCACAGCAGAAAGCCCATCCCGGGCTCTGGGCAGAGCAGAGCTCTTCTGTTTGCTTTTCCTCTTACTGAGTCAGTAGAGGTTGCTGGAGCTGCGTTCAAGGGGATCAGTAAGCACCAAAGCCCCATGTGCAGCAGTGGGGTGGTTTTTATCAAATAACAGCCCAGCTTTATAAATATTCCCCACATTTTATAATTCAGAGCACCACAGAACCTCAGCCTTGTGCTGAAGGGAATGAAAACCTTCCAAAGCTTTGAAATGAGGAACTTTTATCTCCATGCTTTCTCTTGCTCAAACACGACCCTACTTAAAACTAGGTGGTCATTTGATAACTCCTGTTGGAACTGAGCCTTGTCACGTTACCTGGAGGTTTGGGTGATGCTGGGGATGGGAGCAGGGAACCTGTGGGTATTTGGTACATTTATATAAATAATATTATTTGGTTTGTTCTGAAGATGTGCAGGAATTTACCCCAAAATCACCTACTGCTTTTGTTTACCAGAGGCAAAAAGTGCACTGACAGTCACAAAATCGGCTTTGCTCGTGGGCTTCTGTGCCCAGAGCTCTCCCTGTTCCTCCCCAGTGCCCAGCCACTACTGCCTGTGTCACTGGGGCAGGCAGCAAAGGACGTTCACTGCTCTGCTGTACAGCACAGAATAATACCAGCAAGCAAGATTTAGTTTAAAAAACTTATCCAGAAGGGATTCAAAAGGCTTTTATCTTGCCTGAAAAGCTTTTGTTTGCTCTGAAGTGGATGTGGTTTGGAGCTGTATTGTGTTTGGTTTGCTGTATTGTATTTGGGTTGCTCTGTTTGGTTTGAAAGGAGGAATTGAGAGCGCTCTGATTTGGGTCGAGTCAGACTGAAAAGCTGCCCAAGGGTCCCTGGCAGCTCCACACAGGGCTCTCAGCTGCTCTGTGGCTGCACTTTGGTGACAGCCACCATCCTGAGCTGGTGCTGAGAGCACCTCTTCCTCCTCACAAAGCAATAACCAGCCCAGTTGCCAGCTGGAGGGCTGTGAGGTGAGCCCTGCCTGTCCTGTGCATGGCTCAGGAGGTACAGCACAGCACGGTGCTGAGCTTTGCTCCTCTGCTCCACACAGGGGTGCTTGAGAAGCCTCTGGATAAAAAGGCTGGCAGGAATTACGGCCCTCCAGGCACCAAGAAGCTCGTGTACTTCATCGATGATCTGAACATGCCTGAGGTGGATGCTTACGGGACTGTGCAGCCCCATACACTGATCAGGCAGCACCTGGACTACGGCCACTGGTAGGAAGTTGCTTGGGCTTGGTCATCCAAGAGCTTTTTGTTCATCATCTCTTGGGGATGGGGTTTGAGAGGAAGTCGCATATCCTGGCTCCCTTTCCCACCCTGTGTTTGCCATTGCATCCTGCTGGGCTGGAGCTTGCTGGAGGCTCTGGGTGAGCACTGTGCACCCTCAGGCTTTCCCCTATCCCCAGCAAACAAGCCTGGCTAAGAGGAGCTTTGCTCTGCTCTTGCTGGGGCTCGTGCCTGTGGTCCCAGTGTGCAGCCTGCAAGGGGAGCGTGATGCTCGGCCTCTGTGTGCTGTGATGCTGGGAGCATAGGAAGGCCATGGACTTGGCCTCAGCTGGATGAACCCTGCAGTGAGCACCTAATACTGTTTCCAGTCAGGCAGCAGCAACAGCATTTTCTAGGCAGAGGTAATCTGAAGGGAAACCAGTGACATGTTTTGGAAGGGGGTCAGTGCATGTTACACCATAGCTGGCAGTGCTGTGTTGGATGGGAATATTTGCAGCTATCCCCATAGGGAATACAGGGCAGTTTCCAGTCTCAGCCACATGCATACCTGAGCTTGGCCAAACACTTCTGAGTATGGACACAGTGGAGTAGAGGCAGTGGGTGTCGGGGAAGCCAGGCCATGGGCTGATATGCAGACAAGCCTGTGCCCTGCCTTGAGGAGAAGCACAACTTGACCCCCTGAAGACAAGTGGACGTCGGCGCCTCCTTACCCCAAGGAGAGGCAGTGCCTGTTGCTCACAGGTTGTGGTCACTGCGCTGCTGTTTCCTTCTGCCCAAAGGTACGACAGGACCAAGCTGTCGCTGAAGGAGATCAGGAACGTGCAGTACGTGTCGTGCATGAACCCGACTGCGGGGAGCTTCACCATCAACCCTCGGCTGCAGGTGCATGTCCTAGGGCTTATTTTGGGGTGGGTTATTTAAGCATGAGGCTGGAGGAAACTCAGCACATCACAGAATGGTGTGTGTTGGAAAGGACCTTAAGGTCATCCAGTTCGAACCCCCTGCCATGGGCAGAGATGCCTCACATTAGACCATGTTTCCCAAGGGTCTGTCCAGCCTGGTATCCTGCATATCCTGCTGTCATTTGATCAGCAGAAATGGTGTGGATCTCTGCAGTGACTGTAATTCCTGATGGTGAAGCAACAGACCTTTTCCTTACTTTGTTTTTCCTCACATTCTGCTGCTCAGTCAGTGGAAGAAGCCAGCTGAGAAGTTCCTGGTCAGCTTAACACCTACTTTCAGGACAGTCTCTGGTTCATACAGACCTTCATTTAGCTAACATTTGCCCCTGGAACATAGTGCATAATGCCTTTTGGTTTCTGTCATTTCCTGATGGAGCTGGCAGTATATTCTCATTAAAAAGAGGTGGTGGTGGTGAAACTCAAAGACCTCCCCCCCCGCCAGCCAACCCCAAACCAGTGCAAATGCTGATGGTAACTGAAGTATAGATTTGCTAAGAGATCTTAAACCTCAGGGCTTGATTCTGGGGAGCTGTGAGCCTCAACCTGAGTCATTAGAGCTGGCTTATTGTGTTACTTACCCTTTCTCCAGCCATGAGACAGAGCCTGGTTAGAGGTAGCCTGGCTGTACCCTGTGCCTGCAGATCAAAGCCGCTGAGCAGGACCTGTTGGCTCCCAGGGCAGTCAGCAGCAGAGGGGCAGCGCCCTTCCCAGCAGCATGGCAGGTGTTTGCTGTGCTGTAGGATGCAGCTTGGCACTAGGCAGTAGCGGGGCACACCCTGAGACACAGGTGCCCATGGAAGAGGAGCTGTAACTCAGTGGGGCTGCAGGGACAGATCCTACTCATGGCGCTGTGACTGTTGGGGAGCCTGGATCCTGATCCTCATGGACAAACCTCCTCACCAGATTGAGCCCAGGCTCTGGCTCCTCTTTAACAGGCTGTGGTGTTAAAATGAAGCATCCTCTGGCTGTATGTGGGAATCTTCTCTGTCTGCAAGTTTCACTTCAATAAAGGGGTCTTCTGGGAGGTGACACCTTCCAGGGGCTGTTTCTAACAGAGACAGTGACTGGCTCTCATCAGAGGTCAGTAAGACCTGCAGAGCTCTTCAGTGGGCTGAATTTCCAGCAGAGCAGCTGTGAAATGCTGTTGAAGATCCCTTTGGGGGGTTTGTGCTTTTGAATCCCTGCATCATTCCCAAGCTGAAGGATGTCCCTTGCCAACTGTCCTCTGCTGGACAATCGGAAGAGAGAAATAGGCGTACTGCAAGCTATAGAACCATAGAGCATCCCGGGCTTGGAAGTGACCTCAAAAAATCACCTGGTCCAACCTTGCATGGGGAAGGGATCCCAGATGATGCCATCTAGCGCTGTGTCCAAGCACATCAAGCCTCCAAGGGTGTTCTGCTTGAGAGGTGGTTGGCCATGACGCTGCCCGTGTCCATGTGCTGACCTTCCCATGTCTTCTCTTCCTCAGCGTCACTTCTGTGTCTTTGCGCTCTCCCTCCCTGGCCAGGAGGCCTTGTCCAGGATCTACAGCACCATTTTGATGCAGCACCTGACGAGTGGCGGCTTCCCAGGGGCTGTGCAGAAGTCAGCTCAGCAGCTGCTTACCCTCGCTCTGCGACTGCATCAGAAAGTAGCTGCCACTTTCCTGCCGACAGCCATCAAGTTCCACTATGTTTTCAACCTGCGAGACTTCTCCAATATCTTCCAGGTAAGTGCAGCTGCTGGCACGTGGCTCTTGGAGCTTGTCCCAGTGCTGTGGAGGTCTGTGGACCTGTGTTCCTCTGGCCCAGCTGGCCTGGGTGAGCAAGCACAGTGACATAGCGTGCATGTCCCCCTTGTAAAGGGGGTGACCTTGGCACATTCACTTGCATTCTTCATTAGGGACTGCAGTGATAGGACAAGGGGTGATGGGTTCAAACTGAAACAGGGGAAGTTCAGGCTCTTTCCTGTGAGGTGCTGTGGCACTGGAATGGGTTGCCCAGGGAAGCCGTGAATGCTCCGTTTCTGGCAGTGTTCAAGGCCAGGTTGGATGGAGGCTTGGGTGACATGGTTTAGTGTGAGGTGTCCCTGCCCATGGCAGGGGGTTGGAACTGGATGATCTTAAGGTCCTTTCCAAACCAAACTGTTCTGTGATTCTATGATTCCCTAATTCCTGATTGACTTTGGACAGGTTCCAAAGCATTGGTTTTGAGGAGTATCAGTTAGAAGCTTATTGACTTTCCAGCCTCCTATGGTCAATGGGGAGAGATGGTGATGACTGGTTCCAGAAAGAGGTGCAGGTTTGGGGTGGGTTGAAATGCTCTCTGCCTGTAGGAGCTTTGGCCTCCTGACTTGATGAGGTGCCTGTTGGTGGGGGTGGTGGAGCTGGGCTTGTCTTTGCAAGCCTTAGTTCCACCCTTGGGAATGTGGAGATGAATGGCATGCTCCACCACAGGGAAAGCATTTGATTGCATTGAAGGAGGTGGTGGATACTTTGTGGGCTCCTGGCCCTGAAGATAGGAAAGCAGTAAGTAGTTCAACTGCTCTGCTTAGAGCCAGCACAGCTTGTTGGTCTACACTGGCCCATCCTCTTAGCTTCTTGATAGTCAGGTACCCAACATGTGCATGAAGGATGCCATTTAAATGGTTAATAAAGAAATCCAAACCAGCTTTGACTTAACTGCTGAAACTGAATCACCACTGGAGCCAGTTCCGTACCAAGGGGAAGTAACTCAGCTTTAGCAGCGATTCAATGGTGGAGGTGATTCTTTTTCTCCCAAAGTCTTAGGTTTGAAGCCCGAGCCTTTACTGCTCAGAGAGTAGTTCAGAGTTTAAGGCTGATTGAGAAAGCTGGAGAAAGATCTGAGCAGCCAAATTGAGAGGTTTGAAGCACCAGAACCTGTTGTAAAGCCCCAGGTTGTAATTTGTTGCTGTCCTGATTAATGTCTGTTTTACAAAGTAGGTACTGAAAGTTCGGTGCCTTGTGGTCTGCTCCATCAGACAAGAGCTGTAATAATGACAGGCAATGGGAGATCCAAGAACAGGCTCCTGCAAAAGTTAATAACTCCATTGTGTCAGGAAGGAATCAGACCTGTCGCTTGTGCTCAGCTAAACATGAGCAGCCTTTGACGGTAGATGTGGGTCATGTTAAATCCTGGCTTTAGTTCATCTGCGCTTTGAAAGGCAGAGATTGAGAAAAGCAGCGTTTCAGTGGGAAGCTTTAATTTTAGCTGTGCTCTGCTTGGAAGGTGCTCAGGGTGTGGGATATTAGGAAATGTCCTGCTGGGCCACAGGGTAGGGGCAGTGCCAGGAGCTCAGGTGGCTTTTTGGTGGTCGCGTTGTTGGAGCCTGGCTCCTGGGTCTCACCGTGTTTATTGAAGACACAGTTCAGCTTTTCTTGAAATCCTTCCTTATCTTTCATTATTCATTCTTAGTTATTTCCTTATCTTAAATGTTCCTGGGGGTTTTGGGGTCTCTGGATTTCCTGTTTCTCTCTGCTGGAACACAGTTGAGGGTTCCAGTGGTGTACAAAGGCATGGGCGTCTTGCTGTTGTATCTGCCTGCTCTCTTTTGGTGTCTTGTCCCAGCTGCTTGAACTGTGTTGCTTTGGAGGCTCCCTTGGCTGTAGGGTTGGTGTCTCCTGAGGTGAACCATGTAGTTGTTGTTGACTTGGTAGAACTGTGAGAAATTCCATGTATTCTTGCACAACAATGGTCTCTATTCACCATTCTCACTTGGGTTTTGTCTCTGGACATCACCTTCAGCAGGATGCTGAAGTCCAAGAAATGCCTCAGCATTGTCCTCAGTGCTGCTACCTCTTCTTTGGCATCAGCTGGCCAAGGGCCACAGCATGGAGCTTCAGTTCAGGACCTCACATAGACATAAACTGGTCTCTCCTGTGTGGCAGCAGAGGAATATGTCATTGAACCACCGTGGGGGAATGGTTCCCCAAAGGGCAACACAAGGCTCCAGGGAGGTAGGGACTGGCAGAAGGGCTGTGGGTGAAGAAGGGGGGACCCAAGGGAAGAAGAAAGCCAGCAGTGGGCATTGTTTCTGTGATGAGCACACAAACACATGCAGGTCACTGCTGACCTGGAAACCCAGCTGGGTCTGGATTGCAGGATGCTTCTTCCTGCTAACAAGGAGCTTCAGAGTCTGTGATCATCTTAAACTCCTGAGCTCAAGGGCTGGTTTTGAGCCATTACAGAAAGCTCAGCAAGAACTGGCTGTAATAAACCAGCTCACATTTGGTGTCACATCCCACAGGAAATGTTTAGGTGAGGAAAGGCTGGAAACCACAGTCCAGGAGGGTGGACAAGAAGGGGCTGGAGTAGGATTAGGCAAGATCTGCAGGAATGGCAGCCCTGGTGCCTTGTCCTTGCACTGTATCACTTGCTATTACTGATGTTGCTGGGGCAAGGTCACCCATCAGTCCTAAGAAGCCCTTGGGCTCATCAGAAGGTGTTACCCATTACTTTTCCTCTTGAGCAGGTCCCATTTGCAGCTGTCCAGCACAACTTTACCTTACACTTCTGTGGCATCTTTTCATGCCTCTGGGTCCCACCACGCACTGCAGAGCTAACTCAATTGGTATGCTCCAGGCAATTTCCCCTTGATTAAAGAAGACAGGTCTGTGCAGTGACGGAGATGGGGATTATGCTTTTAGAAACACATCCCCTGCTGGCTCACACTGGAGAAAGCCCTGCTGCTGTCTTTCTTTCCATCTGAAAGGGTTACCATAGTATTATGCTCTAAATTATATCTGTCATCTCTGTAAAATAATAATCACAGGCTCAGCAGGGCTGTATTTTGCTTTTTATTCCCATTTCTAACAAGATTTTCAAGCAGCATGTCACATTAAGATCTGTGGCAGCTGAGGAAGAACAGCCTCTCTCTCTTCCTGACGGCAAGATGATAGCAGTGGCCCCAGCGTGCCTGCCCCATCTGAGCTTTGCCTCCATGCAGGCTTTGGTGGCTGGCAGACTTCATGCTCCTTTGCACAGAGAAGGGGTTTCATATCTACCTGTGATTGAACTCACTAAAGACCCCTGGAAGCTTCAGGCTGGCATGTGCCAGAGGATGCCAGAGTGTTACCTGCTGCTGTGGGACAGGAGCAGGGACAGAAATGGGTGTAAGGCTGGCGCAGGGTCAGCAGCACCTTCGGTTTATGCCTTGCTCTCTCCAGTTGTTTGACAGGACTTAGCCTAGGGCTCGGTTCTGGTCAGCTGAGCAGCCTGGTTTCAGAGCTTCCCCCTCCTCATGTCTTAGTGTCTCTGTTATTTCTCTTCCTAACAGAGATCACTGGCACAGGGTGCCCAGAGAAGCTGTGGCTGCCCCATCCTTGGCAGTGTTCAAGGGCAGGTTGGACACAGGGGCTTGGAGCAAGCTGCTCTCGTGGAAGGTGTCCCTGCCTGTGGCAGGGGTTGGAGCTGGAGGAGCTTTAAGGTCCCTTCCAACACAAACCAGGCTGGGATTCTATGATGCAGATGCTGGTGGCTGGTTACGGGCTGCTCCGTCACACACAGCAGGCACAGCCCTGCCAGCGTGCCAAAGGGGTGGTTGGAGGCCCTCATCTTGCTGGGCTCTGGGTGCATGACCCACACATTGTTGATTGTAATGCTGGGGTTTATTATATATATTTCTATACTACTTTATATCATGATGTTTTCATATCACCACTGTCCTCAAAGTGCTGAGGATGCTCCAGGAGCCCCAAGAGTAAAATGAGATGACTTTTGAAGGTCCCTTCCAAGCCAAACCATTCTATGATGCTGTGCTCAGGAAGGAGGAGCGCAAGGTGCTCAGTCCAACAGCACAGGACAGCTGGAAAGGGGGCACTGCCCACACGGTATTTACACTGCAAAGAAAGGGAAAAAGTAATTTGTCTTACCTTTTAATGCATTGGAAACCTTCTGTCCTGTCACCTGATGGCCCCAGGTGGGAGCAGGGTAAGGCCCCTCATGTTCGCTCCCAGGCTGGTGGCAGAGGAAGCTTCCTGTGCCAGATTGCCCACAGCAACACTAGCAGGAAGCCAGCCAGCTGCAGGGTGCCTTGTGGCACCTGAGCAAGCCTGCTGTCTGGAACTCACACTCTAATGCTTCAGTCCTTGATGACAGGACCTGTGGTACAGGTCAGCAGGCTTTGCCACAAAGGTTTCAGTGTCCCTGGTGCTTTTTATGTACTTATTCATTTTAAACACATTCAACCTCCATTTACACATTGGGTTTGGTGTGTTCTAGGTAGTGGTGTGAAAGGTCTTTGGCTTTCCATGATTGTCCTGTATGTGCAGAGGCTTCTTACTGAGGGCCACAGAAATGCTGCAAGGGCTGGAGCAGCTCTGCTCTGGAGCCAGGCTGAGAGAGCTGGGCTGGGTCAGCCTGGAGAAGAGAAGGCTCCTGTGAGGAGCTTAGAGCAGCTCCAGTGCCTGAAGGGGCTCCAGGAAACCTGGAGAGGGACATCCTCTGGACCCTCTACAGCAGCTTCTTGTCTGTCTTGTGCTGAGGAGCCCAGAATTGAACACATTAAAATGTGAAATCGAATTGAGCCATGATATTTGGCATCATTTTCTAGGGAAGCCTATGGCTTCCTAACCAGCCTCTGGCCTTTCCAGCAAGGAGAGGAAGCTGAAAGATGTGGCTGAAATATAGCCATGTATTTCATCCATCACTCGTGCATCCTAGCTGCAGGCACTATGGCAACTACTGGAAGCTCAAGGTGACAGGTAGAGTATCCCCATTGCTCTTTGGAGCTGCTGCTGGTTGTGCTCATGGAAGAGCCTGGCAGCTCTGCTGAGAGGAGTGAAGAGGGCTGGGTTTGCAACGTGGCAAAAGGGGAAATGTTCAGGTGTTAAGTTAATAAAGTGATGATGGAGGTGTGAAGTATGGGTTTTCCTCTCTCTGAGGAAGCCTTACAGTGCTTGCATCAAGAACACAACCACTTGTGTGGCTTCGGGTGTCTTTAGAGTGACCGAGTGCTGCTTATTTTAACATCAGTTGAGGACCTGATGGGTTTCACCTCTCTCTTCAAGCTGGCACCTCTTCTCACTCAGTTTTCCTTCCTGGAATAAAGAAAAGAACAATTTGGCATCTGTAATGACAAATGTGAAACCCAGATGATCCAAAATGGTCCAGGAGCTGGGAGGCACTGCTTCCTATGGCTTTTAATACATGGTGTATTTTATGTAGGAATGATAAGATGTTAGGGATAAAAGCTGTCTATTTAATCCATGCCGTCGAAAACCCTGTGTGCTGGTTAATAGGTTTAGTTATAGGTGACACCTTTTGGGGATATAACTCTTTAATGCATTTTAATAGAGCTCATGGTAAACACACTGGGATAAGCAGACAGCAACGAATATTTCCTGCAGGCAGAATGCACCTAATTAAAATGAATGGATTTAAAATAAAAAAGAAATACTTAAAAAACATCACCAGTGCCATTACCAGACTATCTTTCTTCTTGACAAGGCACCCATAGCATGGTGTTGGGATGCAAAAAGCCACACATCAGGGCTCTGCATGCTCTTTGCTGCTGAGATCAGGACCACCAGCCCAGCCAGGCTGCCCTGGCGATGCTGTCTGGGGTCTCAAAATGAGTCTAATGAATAGAAAGTGCTTTGGAAGATGGGGGATAGCAAAGAACGTGTTCTCCAGGGGCTTATTCAGAAGTTCACTTGCAAGTTGCTGTAACAACTCAGCCTATCTAGGGTAATAACATGGATGCTGGGGGTGAGGTTTACTGAGTGTCTTTGCTCTCCACAGGGCCTTCTGTTCTCTACCCCTGAATGTCTGAAGCAGCCCCAAGACCTGGTGAAACTCTACCTGCATGAGTCAAACCGGGTGTACCGGGATAAGATGGTTGAAGAAAAGGATTACGGTACCTTTGATAAAATCCAGCTGGAGATGGTGAAGAAGTTCTATGATGTAAGTGTTGAGGTGCTTACAGGAAAAGTGTTCCTTGGGAAAGCCAAGGTCTGCCCATCATCCATTTGCTCAGAGGGCAGTGTTCTTGTAGGAACAAAATCTCTGGCATCTGTGTCCTGGGCTGCAGTGTTGTGATATGAGTAAAGGATGCGCTCCGTGAGGGCACTGGTGAGAGGAGATTTGGGCTCTGTGAATGAATTAAATTCGTTTATTCAAGTGCTTTGGGTCTTGTGTGGCAAAAGCATTAGAAGGGTTGGATCCCTCGTCTTGATGGGAGCAAAGTGCAATTCGGGCACAAATACCTACTGCTTTCCCTATTTCCAAAGTATATGTATATATATTGTCTCTTTTACAGGAAATTGAGGAAACTTTAGAGCAGACCAAGAGAATGAATGTTTATTGCCATTTTGCTAAAGGGATCGGTGAACCCTGCTATAGGCCAGTTCCAACCTGGGAGGAGTTGAACCAGATCCTTGTGGAAGCCTTGGACAACTACAATGAAGTCAATCCTGCCATGAACTTGGTACTTTTTGAGGATGCCATGTGCCATGTGTAAGGGGATTTTCTGGCTTTGTAATCTCATCTCAGCATTTATCTGTGTAGATTGCTTCCGTGGAGTGTCCTGGAGGATGTAGGTATCAGTAATGGGTCTGTCTCATGAGACCCTCCCTGTGGTCCTGATCCAGCTCTGGGGCAGCAGCACAAGAGGGACGTGGAGCTGTTCGAGTGAGTGCAGAGGAGGCCATGGAGATGCTGCGAGGGCTGGAGCAGCTCTGCTCTGGAGCCAGGCTGAGAGAGCTGGGCTGGGGCAGCCTGGACAAGAGAAGGCTCCTGAAGGGGAGACCTGAGAGCAGCTCCAGTGCCTGAAGGGGCTGCAGGAAACCTGGAGAGGGGCTTGGGACAAGGGATGTAGGGACAGGCCAAGGGGAATGGCTTTAACCTGCCAGAGGGGAGACTGAGCTGAGCTCTTAGGCAGAAGCTCTTCCCTGTGAGGGTGCTGAGGCACTGGCACAGGGTGCCCAGAGAAGCTGTGGCTGCCCCATCCCTGGCAGTGTTCAAGGCCAGGTTGGACACAGGGGCTTGGAGCAAGCTGCTCTAGTGGAAGGTGTCCCTGCCCATGGCAGGGGTTGGAGCTGGAGGAGCTTTAAGGTCCCTTCCAACCCAAACCATTCCATGATTCACAAAGCACACAGCCCTGGGAGCACATCGCAGACATAGACCATACTGGCACCTTTGGGGAGAGCTAGCTGAGAGAACTGAAAGCAGGAATTCTAAAGCTTTCCACACAAACCAGAATGCTTTTCTGGGTATAATTTCACTGTCAGTGGGAGTCTGCACATAGGTCAGGAAACACTTGAGCTGTAATAAAGCAGTACAATATTTCTCACAGTCTGATGTGAAAAATTAATTAGATTAGGCTAGAAAAATACTTGGTTAACTGAGCTGGATAAAGGCAGCACAGTGAAGAATGGTGCTGGCATGTCAGGCAGAGCACAGGGGGGTTTCACAGGCAGGATCCTCCAACCACTCCTCACCTGGGGTTGTAACATGGGGATGTCAGCGTTTTCTTAAGGAGAATAAATTGGAGGCAGACAGAGCTTACCATGGGAAACAGACCTGGAAAATAATAGCAAGTTCATTTGAAGAGTAAGAAAAGAGTAGTGTTGATTTGGATAAATGAGAAACATGGATTGTGTTTTTCAGACAGCTTTTCTGCCCTTCTAGACATATATGAACATGTTTTAATGCACAGCAGAACATGAAACTGAACATGAACCCCAAATGCTTGGTGAAGAGAAACGTTTACTGGGCAGGTGTGCTAGAGCTGTGAGTTTTGTCCGCAGTTTTTGCGTGTCTCCCTAATGTGTTTTTCCCTGCAAGCATGTCCAGGCCTCCACCTTAAAATAACTTTGTCCAGCAGGATTTGGCAGGTGGACAAAAATAATTGGACAGTCTGAATTGCCAGCAAACTGTTTTTCATCAGCCCTGTCCTTTGCACAGGTCTCAGCAGAGATGGGGATTGATGGCTGCCACGTCGCTCAGATTGACATTTTTCATCCCATTCACAATACAGATTCTGAGTGAATAAAATATGTATTGAAAAGCAGTGGGCAGAGAAAAAGGAAAATGCTGTGATTAATAAGAGGTTTTGGATGCTTCAATTTAGCTGCCGCATCAACCGTATCCTGGAGTCCCCCAGAGGAAACGCTCTGCTGGTCGGGGTGGGTGGAAGTGGCAAGCAGAGCCTGACCAGGCTGGCAGCCTTCATTAGCTCCCTGGAGGTTTTCCAGATCACACTGAGGAAAGGCTATGGCATCCCTGAGCTGAAGGTAAGTGACTTTTAAGGCTGAGGTGATGGGGAATGACATCCAAAGCAGAACTGGCCCTGAAAACTTCGCCCTGTTGCATATTGGGGCGACACTGATGCTAAAAAGCTCCAAGCACGATATGGGACTGTGGAGAGGAGCAGTGCCTCTCAAAATACCTTGTTGAAGTGTTTCTGCACAGAGCAGACAGACCCATTGTCCCCTGCCAGTCCTCTGAGCTGGCCAAGCCTGAGGCCATCCCAGCTCAAGGCTTAGTGTCAGCCCTGGGCTGTGCTAAGGGACCCTCATTATTCCCTAGAAAAACCTTGGTTTCTAGGTTTAATAGAAATGAAACCAAGATGTGGTAATGAGCTCATCCATGAGGTACCTGTTGTGGGGTAATACCAAGGTGGAGAAGGAGCAGTAGAGAGGAGGAGGAGCGTTTCCCAATCGTATCCAGTTCTTCCTCTGGTATTTTGTATCGGAGAGGGGCTGAGTGGTGGATGAGTCACTCCAGACAGCGTGCGCCTCTGCCTGGGAGTTATAAATTAGCATTTTACAATCTCACTGAAATGGTTTAAACCCATTGTAGCTGCTGGCAAAATGATTCTCATTTAAAATGTAATCACCACGCTCACAGAAACATCGCCCCGTTCTGCCTGGGAGATGTGATGGCCAATGAACCCCGGGCTCCTTCCCCAGCAGTGGCACCACCTGATGACCTGTGTGTGTGTGCAAGTTCTTCTCACCATGTCACACGAGCCTGTCCCGCTATCCATTGCCTGTTTGCAACTCTCCTTTTGTGTTTTTAAGCCCCACTAGTGGGATTTTCTAGCTCCTACGTGCCTATTTCTTGAGGAAGCCTGTGCTCCCAGCCAGGAACATAGCTCAATAATAGATAATAAATTAATACACTTGTTTGCAAAGCAGCTCTTTGCTTCTCTGCCTGTGGAGGTGGAAGATAATTCGCTGTTCCCTTCACTCAGTGAGGAAAGTAACAAATGATTCTTTAGTAGAAGCTTTGCATGTGCTGAATTTGTAAGAGAGCTGCTGAAACAATGGCCTGTGTGTTCCTTCAGGGGCCCCTGCACGTCTTGGATCCTGCTTGGAGGGACAGGAGTTTGAGCAGGATGATGGTGGTTTTCCCATCTCATAAACAACTTGTCTTTCAAAGAGGTGGTGTCCTTCATTAGGAGGACACTGTCCCCATTGAAATGAAACAGCTTTTCCATGCAAGCAGGTCTCTGCCAGCATCACTGCTCACTGAAGTCCATGCTTGGACTCTGGAAGAGAGGAGGAAATACCCAACTGAAGAAATGAAGGGGATATCAGGGACCAACATTTCTCGTCACTTCAGTCTCCCCCAGTCCCTATGGTGCTTTAGCCTCTCTCTGTAAGAGCTCTACTGCACCCATAGCCTGGGGCAGAGTGAGCTTTATGAGCTCCCCTTGCAGACCCCAGTCTGATGTCTTCAGTCAATTCCATTGACCTCTGAGTGTTCCAGCCACAGAAATTTCCTTTGGTGGTACTGGCCGAGGCTTTCTTCTGATTTTTGTGTTACACAGACCTGGGCATAATGTCAAATCCTCCTTGGTAATGTCTTACAATGATGATAGCAATAGTCTTCCCCCATATAACCTGAAAGCCTCAGCATGAGGATGGAAAGTGGCCAAAGGGCTGGTTCATGCTACTGAATTGCAGTTGCTTTGTTCTTGGTTAATGGGAAGATCCTGAAATGTCCTGCGTGTAGGTGTGGTACCCAGCCCATGCTCTGCAGAATGTAGGTGCAGCCCCTAAGTCCTTACTTTTCAACCCCCAGGCAGACCTGGCAAACCAGTACCTGAAAGCTGGTGTGAAGAACATGGGCACTGTGTTCCTCATGACTGACGCGCAAGTGGCGGACGAGCAGTTCTTGGTGCTGGTGAATGACTTCTTAGCATCAGGTACGTCTCTTCCTGCTTTCATTTCCCCTCTCCCCCATTTCAATGTAGTTTTGCTCATGGTAGCATCTGTAGTTGAAGGGTGTGCAGAAGGGCAATCTATGAAGTAAGCTAGAATATGGATGGGTTAAGCTCTAGAGTAAAAGCAGCACTAAGGTTTCTTTGGTGAGGATGCACTCCATCATCTGGTAGACTTTTTTCTTCTTCTGATGTCCTGTACCCAATTTTTCCATACTTCATGGTATATACTCCATATGGTGGTTATGTGTCATATCTGTTGTGATACTGCAGCTGAGGACGGAGCTAAAGGAATGTATTGACAGATGAGGAGTTTGGCCTAAGGATCCCATGCATCCTCACTCTAGTTACCTAATAAAATAAGCTTGTTCCTGGCTAGAATATTTGATTGGAGTACCTGTGGTTATTGGTGCCTTATTTATGAGTTGGGAGTGGGAAGATACCAGCTGGTTCAGGTGATCTCCATGGATGGTGAGGGGTGGAGAGTTGACAGCACAGTGGAGTGATAACTTGTGAGTAACTCCAGAGTTGACATATGTGGCTATAAATTGGCCATCTGGTATCAGCAGCAAACAAGCTCTGCCTGTGATGGTTTTGTAACCAGGAGTAAGAACGGGGTTGTTGTGGAGGGTGGCAAGTAGCTCCCACCACCTCTTGTGTGTGGTGTGGGTGACACAAATATCTCATGACTCGGGGTAAAGCTCTTCAGTGTCCTGCAGCAAGGGGCAGGCAGAGCAGCCTGGCTTTGGGATGTCCCGGTTGTTTTATGGTGGCTTTGAAGGGTGTTCTGTTGTAACTGTGGATTGCTGTGTGGGGGTCCAGGGACAGGGCAGAGTCCTCACTCAAGGTCCAGGGAGGAAGAGACCCTGAAGGGATTGTGACTTCCCAGGATGTGAGCTCCTGCTGCCCAGGGAGTGCTCTGGATGGCTTTGGCTGCTCTTGGCTATCTGCATGCTTGTTTCACTTCTTAGCATCACCGAAGCAGCTGGAACAAAATATACATTTTAGTCTTTCTAATCAGTGAGCAGATTTCTCATGAGTGCATTACCTGAGTGATTAGTGTTCATATTGGCACTATCTTGCTCAATAGCAATGGTTTCAATCAGATCAGAAGCCAGAAAGGAAGTGAATAGGTGATAAATTAAGGCCCCACTATAAAAATCCTGGTTTGGTACATTTTTGGCAATCAGAACTATTAACTTCTAAAAGTTTTTCAAAGATTTGAAGATGTTTTGGTGGTCTGGGAGTAATTTGACCACTGCTGGACATGGTGTTGAACAACCTCAGGAGCTGGATGTGTAACACATTCATTTCCCAACCTAAAATGATTTCATGATCATGTATGGCCTGGTCAGCTTTGAATTATAATGGCTTTGTATTCTAATTAGCACTGTAGATCTGAAAAAAAAGTGGACTTTGTGTTCTTTGACTCTTTCTGCATCTTTTTACCTTGTGCTTTCATGGGGAAGTTTGCTCTCACAAGTGTTTCTTCATCAGCAGAGTGACCTGTGCCACCTTGCTGAGGCTGGAGCCCATGGGCACCTCATGCAATGAGCTGCTTCCCTGTGCTCTGAGACCACAGCAAAACCCAGAGCAGAAAACCAACACGGGTCTTCTTTTCCTAGGTGAAATCCCGGATCTCTTTCCTGATGATGAAGTTGAAAACATCATCAACAGTGTGAGGAATGAAGTCAAAGGCCGGGGGCTGCTGGACTCCAAGGAGACTTGCTGGAAGTTCTTCATAGAGCGCGTTAGGCGACAGTTGAAGGTGAGATGTTCAGAGGGAGTCTGTGTGCTCACCATCGACCTTGCTGCAGGGACACCACATGGGGACCCTTTGGGCTACCTTGTGGGGAGGTCAGACTGCAGCCTGGAAAGGTTTCCTGCCTGGTCATGAACTGAGCTGAGGTTCTTGCCCCATGCAGTACTGAAGCATAGATAGGAAATGCTGGGTGTTGCCATCACTTGTTGGGCTTTAGAAAGTGATGGGGGTTGAAAGGCTGAGCAGCACCAGCCTTCCCATTTTCAGAGCCATGTGCAGGGATTCAGCAGGGGTACATCAGGACTGGGTCTTGCTGCTTGGAAAAACTGCACTGAGGGTCTTCATGTTGTTGGTAATTCCCAACCAGGGCACTGAGTGGGACACGGCATGCTTACGGGATCTCTTCCACTCCAGCCCTGTAGAAAGGCCTTGTAAATATGTCCTAAGATCCCAAAACAGTTTCAGGACTTCCCAGGTATGCCCAGCATGTGGAGAAAGTACAGTGCAAGAGAGTTAGACTCTTCCAAAGGTATTTACCCTTCTGCAGGACTGTACAGCGCTGTGGTGCCAGAGCAGGGAGCTAGCGACCAGGCAGTGAGTGAAGACTTGACTTTTGCTCAATGAAAGCATATCCTCCTCCTTCCTCACTGCTTGGTTGGTGTTGGTGTGACACGTTCACAGAGGTAGGGTGTCCTGTTCCCTTTTTGGTGTAGGTGGGTACACAGTTAGGATGGGGAAGAGCTGGAGAGTTGATTTGTGAGGGAAAATCCGAGGACCATACACAGTATAGAGGCCCAAGGAGATGGAATCCTGTCCTACTCCCTCTCTCTCTCTCGGCATAGATGGAAATTTCTGATGAGCACTGGTGCTGTTTTGTAGCTCTTAGAGCACCTTGATTGTCCTCTGCCTGGTTATATTCCTGTTCACTACTGAGGTACACTGGAAGGGCAGTGTGAATGTGATTTATTTGAGGCTGAGCCCTTTTCCTTGTCTGCCCTTCTCCTGAGCAGTGTGTTAGAGCAGATGGATGGGGTCAGCTGGGAAGTGCTGTTTATTCTCCCCAGCACTGTGTGATGGCATCATGCTCTGTGCAGAAAGCCGATCAAGCCCTTGCTGCCCAGGGCATGCTGGACTTTCGAGAGCAGCATGGCCCAACAGAGCATGAGCACCAACACACCGGCCTCAGGGTCTTGAGAGAGAGCAGGATAAGTGCGGAAGAGGGCTTCTGTACCTGGAGAGCTTCCTGAAAGAGGAGCACAGAGGTGCCTGAGGCTTGTGCTTGAAGGTGTAAAAATGATTCAATGTGTCTGTCCCTTGTGTGTGAGCAAGCAGTGGCCATGTCAGAGGAGCAGTAGCTTTGAGTTCTGAAATGAAAACAGAAGCAGTTTTGTTACAGGCTGGCTTTGACATCCTCTAAAAACCAGATCTTGGCCCATGGTGGAGGTGGTGACACCTTACGGAGATGTCTGGGCTGAGAGCAGCCTGCCCCATGGCACTTGCAAGCCTATGTATGCACTTACCAGCCAGGGCTAACAAGTGGGAGAGGAGTGATGCATTGAGTGAGATGCGCTGCTGCCCACACTGGCCCTTGATCAGATACTGCTGCTTCACTGCATGTTGGCAACTTGTCTGTGTTCTTCTTTGTGCCAGATTAGCAGAGTTTGTAAATCCAAACTGTGACCAATGGTGGTTGCAGGTTTTGGTCCTTGGGCCTTATTTTGCTGTTAAAGCTGGTGAAGGGGCAGTGAAGAGGAAAGGTTCTTTGCCTTGACCTGACTTTACACGCTGATGGGAAATTTCCTTCTGGAAAAGGGAGAGCTCATGCATCCATGAGAGGAGCTGAGCGAACTGGCTATGGGGGGCATGAGGCTCCCAGCCTGCAGGGCAAGGCAGAAGGGTAAGGGAAGAGCCCTGAAGACTGGGGGAAGGCGAAATGGTGCAGGAGGATGCTGAGCAGGGGAGCAAGAGCCCCTTGACCAGAGATTCCCCACAGACCCACCCGCACTGCACCGTTCGCTGCAACTCGGACTGAAATGAAAGCCTGGAAGGCAAAGGACTTGCTGTGCAAAACTGCACATTCACAAATGGGTTTATTCCTGTGCTGCTTTGCGTTGAGAGTGCTCTCTTTAAAAACAAAAACTTCTCATTCTGCTCAAAGGAGGTTTTGAGTTTGAGCCACCTCAATGCTGGCCTTCGGGGAGCAAAGCCAGGAGAGTTTAGATCCATTCGCTTTAATTTCTGCTTGCACCACTTGAGTCTGGATGCCAGTTCCCTGCTGGCTGCAGCTTTGTGTCACTGCTAAAGCAGGGAACTGGGGTTATATTAAACCCCATCTGCAGCCTTGAAAGCGTGCCCATAGCAATGCTCAGCATTTAATTGGGTTCGTTGAGGAGGAAAAACGTGTTTACTGCTGGATTATGCCTTTCCCAGGCCAGGCTTGCTGGTGTGAAGTGCAGGGACTTGAGGACAGAGGTTGCTGGTGGCGGGGAAGTGGGTGGTAGAGCCCAGGCTGGGCTGGAGCCTGGTGCCTGCTCCCAGCCGTGTCTTCTCCCCTTCTCCTCCCCTGGCTCCGCAGGTCGCGCTGTGCTTCTCCCCCGTTGGCAGCAGGCTCCGTGTCCGCAGCAGGAGGTTCCCGGCCATCGTCAGCTGCGTGGCCATAGACTGGTTCCAGGAGTGGCCACGGGAGGCCCTCGAGTCCGTCAGCCTCCGCTTCCTGCGTGAGACAGAGGCCGTGGAGGTGAGCTCCTCACCCGCCACCATCCGAGCTTGGGTTCCTCTGTGGGGTTCCTGTGCTGGCCACCCATGGGTGCACGGTGCTGGCAGCAGCCGCGTGTGGTTTTGTACCTCTCTTCCTGCAAGCAGTGCCTCACACTGTGGGGAGAGTGTTGCAGAGTCATAGAGTCATGGAATAGTTTGGGCTGGAAGGGTTTGCTCACCTTTATTGCCTTCCAACACTTACCCAGGACATCTGGGTGACTGTTTCGTGAGGAACTGCTGGTGCTCTGTTCACCTTCATTGAACCATGCTTCGAATATGGTCCATATTTCATACAACCACCTGACAGGAGGATGGAGCCAGGAGGGGCTGGGCTCTGCTCCCAAGGAACAAGGGATGGGACAAGAGGAAACGGCCTCAAGCTGCACCAGGGCAGGTTTAGATGGAGCTGAGGAACAATTCCTGCCCCAGAGGGTGCTCAGGCATTGGAACAGGCTGCCCAGGGCAGGGCTGCAGGCACCGTCCCTGCAAGTGTTCACACAGCGTGGGGACGAGGCCTCAGTGCCATGGGTTAGGGGTGGCCTTGGCAGGGCTGGGGTAAGGGTTGGACGGGATGAGCTTAAAGGGCTTTTCCAACCCAACTGATTCTACAGTTCTGTGTTTCTCAGAGAGGCCCATGGGCCTTAGCAGAGGTATGGCCATGGGCACCACACGTGTGTGCTTGGATGCTGATGGTATCGCCAGTGAAATGACTGCTTTGCTAACAAGAGGCACCTTACAAAGCAGTCCAGAAATAACCTAATGCTTATGATTATTGCAGGGAACTTTTCTCTTCACTGCCGTGTCTGAGTGTCTGTAATTCTCAAGGGCAAATTATGTCAAGTTCTCATTGATGACAACCTGCTTCTAGACTAAAAGAGATTCATTTCTGTTTGTTTAGCTTTTCTGGGCAGGATTTAGAAAGAATAAAGTCTACACTGCTTCTTTTTCTGAGTTTGCACTTTCCCCATTTGTACAGAAGAAAAGCCCAAATTTATACCTAAAAGGCTGTTATTTTGTAAAGCTAAATGCAAGAAAATCTGCCCGGAATGAGATAAAGCATGAGATAAAACGACATAAAGACAGGCATAAAGTACACGAGCAGTCAAAGTTATTTTAGAGATAAGAAGTGAAAAGGGATCAACTTAGATGTTACATCCTGGATTTTGCTGCAGCAGAATAAAAAGTTAATAAATTCCTTTCTATCCAGCACAGGAGTGTGTTATATATAGTTGTTCTGTTTCAAATAGTTTCTCCTTGTCTTCTTATCTTACCTTTAGGATTCACTGAAAAGCTCAATAAGCAAATTCATGGCCTACGTCCACACAAGTGTCAACGAGATATCCCGATTGTATCTGAGCAATGAGCGGCGATATAACTACACCACTCCAAAGTCATTCCTTGAGCAAATCAAACTATATCAGAATTTGCTTTTGAAAAAGGGCAAGGATTTAAAGGCAAAAATGGAGCGGCTGGAGAATGGTCTGGAGAAGCTCAAAAGCACCTCTGCACAAGTAAGCAAAGCCCTTGGGTTAAAAGCTGGTGGTTTTCCCTGTCTCTGTTAGGGACATCTCTGCATCCTGGTTCAGAGGAGAACTTTATGGGCTGAAACTGTACAAGGGGTAAAATCTATGTTAGATCTTGGCTTGAGCTGGGCTCCTGGAGGAGCAGAAGTGATGGTCTGTACTGGGAAGGAGAAAGAAGGAGAAGACAGGGCCCTCAGTGCCATGGGTTAGTGGTGGCCTTGGCAGTGCTGGGGCCGTGGTTGGACTTGATAATCTTAAAGGTCTTTTCCAACCGCGCTGATTCCATGTGTGTCCGGTCTCTGCTGTTTGGATGGTAACTGTGAGAGATCGTGGTAAGTAAAAGGAGGTAGGGATCCAGTTGGCTGTGTGCATCTTGTTTTGATGGTTAAAAATCAGCTGTGCTGGCAAAATAGCTTATAAAATACAGGAAGATCAGTGATCTATGGATTTGCATCCAGGACATCTACAATAACTTCAGCAAAACCCCTCTCAAACTAAATAGAATATCCTTTTAAAATGAAGTTGATCATTTTCCCTTGCATTGTGCTATCCATCTTTAAGGGAAATTAATGCATGTCTGAAATGTGGATTAGCTGAAATGTGGATTAGCCATCCCAAAATCCCCCTGCTATAAAGCAACAAAAGTAGTTGTTCTGAGTATTTAACTGAGGTCTTTGCAGTGCCCACGCTGCCTTTCAGAGCTTTGCTCTCTACCTCTGTTCCCAAACTCCTGCTTTTCTCTCCATTTTGTATTCTATTCACTCTCACAAATGTTCATTTACAAGCTTCTACTGTGGCAAGCGGGCCTGTCCTGAAGTTGCTCCAAAGAAATGCGGAGGTTGACATGAATGGAGGACTAGCAGGTTCATCCCCTTCCTTATAGATCTTCTGGATAATGCTGGGAACATAAATCATGTCTGTCACACTCAGTAGGACACATGCCTTACTGGAGGGTGATGTATGGGCTTTATTAGTGCCTCTCAACTCTGATAGTCTGCATCTCACTTCAAGCAGTTGCTTCTTTCATGGTAAGGACAGATCTTTAGGGACACAGGAGGAGAGTGGGCATGTTTCATGTCCCCTTTGCAGGTTATAGCGTCTCCTATGTAAGGATGCAGCTAAGGATGAACAGCACCCACCACAACCAGTGATGCCAACCAAAGCAAGGAGTGCATGCCCCCAATGCAAAGCAGGCCTTACACCTTCCTTGCCTATAGAGGCAAATAATTCTGCTGACCTGTGGGACATTGCTGCTTTTGATGACACCCCAGTGGTGGACAAGATTGGTTGGGTCTGTTCTTCATTGGGAGCAACTGATGTAAAAATAACCTTTGAGAGGAGACAAGTTCCTGTAGTGTCAGATATGGGGACCACTCTGTATTCTTCATGTATATCTTCATATGGGTGTTATGTAGGCAAGCGCTCTCTGATGAGCCATGAAACAGATTCTAAGTGGTGGTGGAGGACTGGGAGGAGATGGGAAGCTGCAGAACCTGTGGGTCTTGTAGGTTTTGCTGTTGCAAGGTGAGAAGTGCCTATTTGTGAAGTTGATTAAGATGCAGAGCAGTGAGGACAAATATGTCAAATTTGAATCTAAAATTAACAGTGGGGGCCTAAAATTAAACACCTAAATTATCAGATGTGTGCAATTGTCAAAACTGCTGTTGATTTGAAACCAGAGGGTAGATACTTACCAGTATTGGAAATCATACCAGAATGTTCAATCTTTCATATGGATTTAAAAGCCTGAACTTTATTTTCACCATGGAAATGACTGGTCTTGGTGCTGAGGATGTGACAAGTCTTCGGTCTCAGGCGTGTCATCTCCAGGCTGTGTTCTGTAATGGATGTAATTCATGTATTCAAAGCAAAGGGGGAGGATTTTGATACCTGGGTATGGCCAGGTTGTGTCTGAACTCTGAGGACTAGTGCTCCCATCAGCAGCATTCTCCAGATTCCTGCTGCTTGGATGCTGGGACACGTTAATGATGAGGTGTATGTGTTTGCATAAGCTGTTCAGTCTGGCCTCAGCATGAGGCCAGTACTTTGTGACTTTGCTGTTCCAGTTCAACGTAACCTCTCCCCTTCCTTTTAGTCTGCTCCCCCTCACATGCTCTGTTTTTGTCTTTTGAGATCTGGACTTCTTGATACCATTGAGCAGCTTCCTTCTAAAGAAACCTGTTTCGTTACCTTACGAGCCCAGCCGTCCTTCCATGAAGGCAGTGGCTGTCCTCAGCACTCAGAGAAGCAAAAGCTGGCTTCCAGTTCCTAGGACATAACAGACGTGGAAGCCGTGTGGGATGAGTAATTTGTTTTTCAGAGGCTTGCTCTGAAGAGGTCAGCAGTCTGCTCAGAGCTCAGCGTGAGTAATTTTAGGATGACTTGGGTTAGGATTGCATCACTGTATCCCAGATTCAGGTCTCACTTGCTCTATCAATTAATCGCTGACCTTTGTGAGGTATTTGGTGTTCTTGAAACAAGGCAAGGACAATCAGATAAAATGAGCCTGCTGGGAGCCTGCCCTCCAGCTTTTCTGTTCTTGAATAATTCTTCTTACGCTCTCCTGGTGTTAAGCAAGCACTTCTCCTTCCCTGTTGCAGTCATAGTACATCTAGGTACTATGAATCCCCTGAATCTCTCATTTGCTTTGCTCTTTCCCTTTCTACTTCACATTACTAATTGCTTAGCAGATTGTCATGGACTGAGGAAGCTGCTTACAGGTTTTCCATATTTCTTAGCACTGTCTGGGACAAAGTACTGTTTGTGGCCCATAATGATGTTCCATATGCTAAGGCACATGCTGGATCTGTCTGTTCACACCTTGATCTGGTGCTGCCTATGGGGAGGAGGTTCGTAGCATTGTCTCTTCTTTTTGGGAGGACATTCTGCTATCATTTTCCATGCCACCTCAGGACCTCCTTGTACTGTTATTCCCTTGTAGCTCTTGCTTTCTTCTGCTTACCAGCTGCGTGTTACCCAAAAGGCATGTTCTGCCTTCACCAGTGTTGGCAGACACTGGAAAAGTCAATGGTGGTTTTCTGCCCTCCCCTGGATGTGGTAACAACTCCTTTTTGGGGTGCCTGGGTGGTGATTTACAAAGCACATGTCTGTGGCTGCTCCACAACACAGCGTGATCCAATGGGCCAGCCTGGTTTCGCTGTGGATGTGAGGGCAGCATTAAGAGGAGCTTGTTTGCTGGGGTGGAACTGGAAGAGTAAAGTCCATGAATGTACATTCCCTGTGTCACCTCCAGGGCCTCCCTAAGGCCAGTGAGAGGTTATTGAGGTACAGCTCTCATTTCACTCTTGCCACTGCACAAACACTATTAAATTGTCCCCATCAGCTGTGTTTGAGCTTTAGCCTCACTAGGGGAAAGAGTTGTTTCCTTTCATGATGCAAAGTTCTGCTGCAGCTAGGGGGGCTGGAGGTCACCATGTGTCCCCCAGTGTGGTGAGGTCTGTTGGTCCAGCAGAGCCTTAGGACACATAACTTGCATCCTTTCCACTGGGAATTTAACACTGAACCCAAGCCTGGGGCCGGGCAGGGGCCTTCACAGTAACATACACATCTGGGCTTCCAAATATCTCTCTCAGGCAAAGCCTTATGCAGCCTTTTGCTCTTTTCAGTCCTGACAATGTTGGAGCAAGTCCTTTTCCCTTCCACTGCTCATGTGCTTGGCTGAAAGCAGGTTTTGTCAGGGCACTTCCTGTTCTCACAGGCTGTGCCTGGGCTGAGTTTGCATCTGCTCATTCTGTTCAGTGCTCGTGGGTTTTAATCCCTGGCTTGTTTTGTTGTGGTTGTGTCAACCCCTAAAGCCCCCATCTGCATGTGTACCCAGCACATGAGTACTGATCTGGGGGCAGAAGGTCGCAAGCCTTATCTGTCATCAGCAAAACTTCCATTTCCTGCCATCCCTGAAAGCCTGGAGCTGAGCAAGGAGCCGGCGCTGAGTTTGCCAGCTGAAGGCATTATGTGCCATGAGCCCAGAGTCATTTGGATTTAGAGTCGTGTCTTTGTCCTGGTGAACACAGCATTGTAGTTGCAGGCAGCAGGAGCTGGCAATGGCTCAACTACACAAAGAGACTGCAGAGAAACCGCTCTTCACTTCAAGCTGAGGCCAGACGTCACAAGCTGCAGGTTATAGGATTGCAAATTGTGCTCTCTTTGGGTAGGAAGATGGAATTATCAACAAAAGCAAGTGTCCAACTTCCTTTCTAGTGAGTATTTTATGTAAGTAAAGATGTACCCTGGGAGCTCCAAGCAGCCCTTTATGGGCCTGACAGCAGGGCAGTGAAAGCCTCTGTGGTCTGCATAAAGCCTGTGTGAAGTCATGGGAAGGGGTGGGTTTAGGAAGAGACTTTGTCTTCAGGTGAGAGCTGGTGTGAGCTCCTGCACCATGCAGGTGCTTCCCCCTGTCCCCACCTCTCTGGGTGTGAGCAAGTGCTCGGTGGAGCAGTGTGTGAGGAGCTGCCACCACTGCCATGTGTCCTGATGGCTGAACAGGAGATCTTTTCTCAAGCTCACGTGATATTGCACTGTAAAGCCCCTTGAGCCCTGCGCCCTCTGACAAGGGCTGTACCTGGCAGCAGATCCCAGCCATAATCTTCCTGGTGTGAAAAATGCCCTTCCCATCACAAGTGTGTAGGACCTGATGGTTGTGAGGGAAGTCACGGGGTGCTGCCTCTGCCCTGTGTGTGTGGGGCAGAGGATGGAGGGGTGGGGGAGAGGCAGGGTGCACAGGTACCTGGTGCACAGGTCCTTCACATGCTCCGTTCTGCCAGTGTCAAGGTTGGGAAGCAATAGGAAGGGTAGCTGGGTTGTACCATGTCATCTCCACAGCAGAACACACATGCACAGCACTTGCACGCTGCCTTTACTGGGACTGTGATTTAACATCACATCTCATGTTCAAAGCTGGATGTGCTTGGCTTTACACTGAAAGAACCTTCCTTGCCAATGCCTGGTCTGTGGTGATGCTCCTGGGCTGTACAAAAGTAATCCCAGGGCATAATCCCTGCATCCATTTCAGGTACACCTGAAATTAAACCTTTTGCCTACTTTCCATTGGATTCTGCTCAAAGCCACGTTCGCGTTGCCCTGGCAGCTGAGCAGGGATGGGACAACCTCCTCAACAGCTCATCCTGCTGGTGCTGGTGTCTCCTCTGCTGGGTTTCCCACCACTAGCAGGCTGCTCTGGTGTACAGGCCATGCCCATGGGCACTTCCAGCTGTGACCCAAGCATCATGAGCAGTAGGATCCTGCTTACAGCCAGAAATTCTGCTTTTCTGTGCTCCCAGGGCATCGTCTGCTTCACACACAGGCCAGCCATGCTTTTGGGTACCACTTAGCCCCTTCTCAAGTGTGAGCCTGTGCTGCTGGGCGGGGAGGAGCAGGTTGGTGGGTATCCGTGCTCCCAAGTGTGTTTCTTCCCTCTAGGTGGATGAGCTGAAGGCCAAGCTGGCAGCCCAAGAAGTGGAGCTGAAGCAGAAGAATGATGATGCTGACAAGCTGATCCAGGTGGTGGGGGTGGAGACGGAGAAAGTGAGCAGGGAAAAGGCCATCGCCGATGAGGAGGAGCAGAAGGTGGCACTGATCACCCAGGAGGTGGAGCAGAAACAGAAGGACTGTGAGGAGGACCTGGCCAAAGCTGAGCCTGCCCTGGCAGCTGCCCAGGCTGCTCTGAACACCCTCAACAAGGTAGGGTGAGGATTCCTGTGGGAATCCAGATCTCCCCTCTGCTTTGGGGGGGGGAGAGTACATCTGATGGTTGCGAAAATGCTACCAACTGGTGCCATGAGGGAAGAGGGCAGAGCTCCTGTTATCTGGTCCAGCAGCATGGCACTCACTGAGGACCTGGCTTGTCCTCTTCCCGTGGTGCCAGAGGCTCTTGCAGTAAGGAAGGAAACCAGCACCCCCATGCTGCCCAGGTCTTCCTCAGTGTCCTGGCCAGGACAGCAACATCCTTCCTCCCATTCAGGGTCATAGAGTCACCATTCCTGTCATGTCATGGAAGTGCTCTTTCCCTAGAGAAGAAGCCAGGGTACCAGCTCAGCATCCCAGTTCCACAGAGATGCAGGCTCTAAAGACTGGCTGCTCTGCTGGAGCCCTCTCAGCACCCTGAGCAGCAGCCCCACCACATGTGAGGCTGGGGAGAGCCCATGTAGTATGTGCTGAGCTGCGCAGGGCACACGGGGTGGAGAAGGGCATGTTGGGGGGCTTATCTGTGTTCATGGTTGGCTCCATGTCATTGAGCTTGTTCATAAGAGACATTTTACACTGGATGCTGCGAGGGCTGGAGCAGCTCTGCTCTGGAGCCAGGCTGAGAGAGCTGGGCTGGGGCAGCCTGGAGAAGAGAAGGCTCCTGAAGGGGAGACCTGAGAGCAGCTCCAGTGCCTGAAGGGGCTGCAGGAAAGCTGGAGAGGGGCTTTGGCCAACCCAGTTTATCAGATTGATAGCTTGGAAGCCTGACTCTGTTAGTGGCAAAGCAAAAGGAAAGCCCATTCATTTTTGTCTAACAGCCTCGTTTTCCCCTTTGCAGAAGAACCTGACAGAGCTGAGGTCCTTTGGGTCACCACCTTCAGCTGTCAGCAATGTCACCGCGGCAGTGATGGTGCTGATGGCTCCGGGAGGAAGGATTCCCAAGGACAGGAGCTGGAAGGCAGCGAAAGCCGCCATGGCCAGGGTGGATGGCTTCCTGGACTCCCTGATCAAGTTTGATAAGGAGAACATCCATGAGAACTGCCTCAAAGCCCTTCAGCCCTATCTACAAGACCCCAAGTTCAAGCCCGAATTCGTGACCACCAAGTCCTTGGCCGCGGCCGGGCTCTGCTCCTGGGTGCTGAACATCGTGCGCTTCCACGCCGTGTTCTGCGAGGTGCAGCCCAAGAGGCAGGCGCTCAGCAAAGCCAACGCGGAGCTGGCGGCTGCCCAGGACAAGCTGGCCAGCATCAAGGCCAAAATCGCTGTGAGTGCTTGCCCCGTGGTGGCACCCATCACAGCAGTCACTGCCTGGGGAGAGAGCTCTGCTTTGTTTCTCTGTGCTTGTGGGATTTTAAGGGCAGGGAGGGGATCACAGAATCACAGAAGGGTTTGGGTTGGAAAGGGCCTTAACATCATCCAGTTCCAACCCCCTGCCATGGGCAGGGATGCCTCACATTAGACCATGTTGCCCAAGGCTCTGTCCAGCCTGGCCTTGAACACTGCCAGGGATGGGGCATTCACCACTTCTGTGGGCAGCGTGTTCCAGTCCCTCACCACCCTCACAGTAAAAACTGTAGTTTTTCTCTCTCTTTTATTGCTGCTTTCTACGTTTCATCTGTTCTTCTCCAGCCTTGCTTGCACCTTAAGAATCATAGAATGGCTTCGGTTGAAAAGGCCTTAAAACTCATTCAGTTCCAACCCCCTGCCATGGGCAGGGGCATCTTCCGCTAGAGCAGCTTGCTCCAAGCCCCTGTGTCCAACCTGGCCTTGAAATTAGCCTCTAATTCTCACATCTCGGATGTAAAATAGTACTGGGGAACTTATTCTGTGCCTTTATGCTGCTTGTTTCCAAAGCTTTTAATGCCTGAACTTTATGATGATGTTAAAGCAAATGACAATCTCTGGGTTGGTTACTGGTACTCCACTGGCGTGCTCTTACAAAACTACCCAGTTAGGTGAGTTTTCCCCTCTGCACATGGGTAATGAGACACTGCTCAGTGTGGGAGATGTATGGGGAGGTATATCCTTGCTTACCAAGCTGGGGTATCTTGGATAGCCTCACTGATGTGAGACTAATTCATACCTGCTCACATCAAGGCCCTGAGCTGTCACATACCCCTTTTTTAGTAATAAATGAGACTGTTGTGATTATCAGAAATATTGAGTGCCTTTCCCTGCCTGGGAAATAAGTTTGCTGTGACTCTGGGGAGGGGAGATGTAGAAGCAAGATGTATACTCCCAGTTGCACACAGACGTATGTGTCTGTGGGGTACTGCAGGTGTCATCTGTTCTTCATAGCTCATAGGTACCCATTTATCAGACCGTGCTTGTGTAATGGGATTTTATATATACAAGTGTACGTCTGCACATACATTCTTATGCTTGCAGAAACAGAACCTTTTTGTGTTATTAATTCCAAAGCAGGTCAAGGAGAGACAGCTTTGTGTTCCCCAGTATCCAGGAGAGCTACAGATATCCCCAGTATGATCCTTTTCCATTTCCAGCTTTGTTTCTGGTGTGTAGCTCAACCAGTGTTAAAGTGATTTACAAGCAGTTTAGCCTTAAGCAGTTTGCATTGGGTGCAGATAAAATCAATTATTACTTTTCTTATCAGAAGTGAGATGTTCCAGGTGCTCACGGGAGCTCCTGATTTGGTTTAGACCAGAGTGTGAACAGCTCTGTCCAAGCAAAGGGCTTTTTTCTTCCAGGTGGTTTGGGCCCTTTCTGCCCCTTCTCAGCCCCAAAGCACTTTGCAGCCAACCTGCATGTGAGATGGTCCCAGCTAGTGCTGGTTGGGCTCCTCTGCAGGAACCTCCCAGGGGACACGCTCAGGAGCAGAACAGTTTTATTGATTCCCTTGTTATATTCCCTTCTAGAAATAGGGTGTGAGAGGAATGGCTTGGACATGGTTCAATACCTGCAGCTGCCCAAGGCATCCCCTGGGGACTTGAGCACAACTTGGTGAGGCAGCCTCAAGGGCTGCACTGGGACCAAGGTTGCTGCAGCATCAGGAAACATGGGGTGCTGTTCTCTCAGCTGCCCCCTCACTGTTCAGCTATAGCGCCGGTCATTCATACTTGGTCTTAATGGGACCCCCTTTCCCAGTTTAAATTCACACTAGGGCAGAGCCTCACATAAAGGAGCTTTACGTGTTCTTTGCCTTGGCCCTGTGCTGAGGATGTGAATTACAAGCACATAAAATAACACAGCACATCACCCCTCTGTGCTGGCTCCTGATGCTGCACCCTGGGCAGTGGTGGTGCTGCGTGTGGTGGTGGAGCTTGGCTGGCACTGCCCATGGGGTGAACGGTCTCTGGGGAAGGGTTTTCCTTCAAACTGTGCTCTTCTTGTCTCCCTGTCTGCATGCGCAGCGCCTCAACGAGAACCTGCGGAAGCTCACAGCCAAGTTTGAGAAGGCCACTTCAGACAAACTCAAATGTCAGCAAGAAGCTGAAGCGACAGCGTGTACCATCGCGCTTGCGAATCGCCTGGTGAGTGTCAGCAGATGCAGCTCCCGTGGCATGAATGGGAGGTATCGGGTGCTGCTGCGATGTGAACCACGTGCACGCGGTACGTGACATCCTCTCGTTTGTGGGGAATGCATTTCCTGCCCTGCAGCGAGCTTCAGGAATGGAAATGAGTTTGCCTTGGCTCTTTGCATCCACTGCTCGTGTTTAAAGAGACCAGTTATACTCTCTTCACAGCTCTCATCTCCTTTCTGGTACCTGAATGTGTGATCAAGTACTGATGGGCCCAAACTGGGTGACTTAAACATCGGATGGGTAAAATAAAGGTGGGAATATGCCAGTGGCTTTGCAGGTTCTGGACTGAGAAGCAGTGATTAGCTCCATAAAAGCAGTGTCTGTCCCTGTTCTCAGGCCATCAGTATGCATCACCTGTTGTATCTTCAAAACATGCAGCCCCCTTGTCTTCAGTGGGGGCAATGCCCTTGGCACTGCTTCACCCATTAAAGACTGAGAGATGGCAGCTACGGGTCCCACTGTCCTCTCAGCTGGAGCCTCAGCTCACATCCAGTGCTGCCATTACCCTTAACCTTGTGCTTTGGCTTCTGCACTGGCTGTTAGCTTGGAGCAGGCCACATTTCCTCCTAGCAAAGAAACAGACTGCAGGAGACTGTCCCATGCGTGAGCTCTGCCTGGGGGGGTTGGAGTTGGTTCTAGCAGCCAGATCTGCTGACTCAAGCTCACCCTCCAGCACCCAAAGGCAGCATTGACATCATCTGCATGGAGAACCTCAACTCTTCTGTGCTTTCAAAGCATCTGACTCGCTGTGCCTGCAGGGGCTGGAGCAGCTCTGCCCTGGAGCCAGGCTGAGAGAGCTGGGCTGGGTCAGCCTGGGGAAGAGAAGGCTCCTGAAGGGGAAACCTGAGAGCAGCTCCAGTGCCTGAAGGGGCTGCAGGAAACCTGGAGAGGGGCTTGGGACAAGGGATGTAGGGACAGGCCAAGGGGAATGGCTTTAACCTGCCCGAGGGGAGACTGAGCTGAGCTCTTAGGCAGAAGCTCTTCCCTGTGAGGGTGCTGAGGTGCTGGCACAGGGTGCCCAGAGAAGCTGTGGCTGCCCCATCCCTGGCAGTGTTCAAGGCCAGGTTGGACACAGGGGCTTGGAGCAAGCTGCTCTAGTGGAAGGTGTCCCTGCCCGTGGCAGGGGTTGGAGCTGGAGGAGCTTTAAGGTCCCTTCCAACACAAAGCAATCTGTGAGTCTATGATAAGATGCAGTTAGCAGTAAGGACTCCTATGAGTAGAGATTAGGCAGTGCACTCCCAAGTGCCCTTCCTCCCAGGAGCAGTGGAGATAAAGAGAGTGTACTCAAACCAGTCTCTTTACCAAGAGGCTGTACCTGTATGTCCAGGAGAGTGTCCTGGCCTGTCTGATTGTATTCAGGGATGGGGATTCATCTCTGTCTTGTTGAAGCTGCTTCTGCTGGTGGAGCTGGTGGCAGGTAAGTCACAGTACAGAAGTGATGCTGGATCCAAGTTTCTCTGCTCGTTTTATCAGCTCCTGGCTGTGTTGGGCTGTAATTTATATGTAAAGTATCTGTTTGTACCTATCCCAGTGCAGATAAGGAAAAACAGCAGAGCAGTGAAGCCTATTGCTTGGGATATGGAGAGTTGTGCTCAGTTCTCTATCTCCTACCCTCAAACCTTGTAATGTGACCTTCAGCTTTAGCTGGGATTTTCAGAGCTGTCCAGATTTCAGGTGGGTTTTCATGGGCATGTTGTGGGGCATCAAAGTGCTCCAGGAACTTCTCTGTTCACCCATTACATGCTTAGGTACTGGGGAACTACTAAAAAACCCCTTTTGTCTTGAATTTCTGCATGCTTCCTTTGAAAACAAATGCAGCCAGGACTGTGATAGACTCAGATGTAAGGGGTCAAAGACAAATAGCAGGTAAGTCCCCTCCTGTTCTGATGCAGATCTCTTATGCAACCACCGAAGAGGTTTGATGCTTTCATGTTCTTCAGGTTAAGCCTCACTGGATGCTTCCCAAGCCTTTAATTAAGACAGAGAAGTATCTTTTCCATTTGAAAGAGCCGTTTCTGGGCAGATTTTGCCGGATGAGTTATTTCCCTGTGTTTTTCCACAGCCTAAAAACATCCAGTTTAGCATGGGATGTGAAGGTAGATTGTGTCCCACTTAGGAGTGAGTAAACACTAAAGAAGAAAATGTTTCATGAAAAAGAAACAGAGAAATGATGGTTTCAGTTCTTTTCATGTAAGTATATGTGTGTATAGAAGTGTGCTTTGCCCTGAATAGGGCTTAATTTCACCTCGATTAGTACCACTGTAACAAACAGAACACATTTTCTTAACACTGCCTGCTTAGCATGTGAATTCTTGGCTTAAAACATGAATCTTCAGTCAGGTTCAGCGAGCTGGGGTGGTTCAGCCTGGAGAAGAGAAGGCTCCTTATGGGGAGACCTTAGAGCAGCTCCAGTGCCTGAAGGGGCTGCAGGAAACCTGGAGAGGGGCTTTGGGCAAGGGATGTAGGGACAGGTCAAGGGGAATGGCTTTAACCTGCCAGAGGGGAGACTGAGATGAGCTCTTAGGCAGAAGCTCTTCCCTGTGAGGGTGCTGAGGCGCTGGCACAGGGTGCCCAGAGAAGCTGTGGCTGCCCCATCCCTGGCAGTGTTCAAGGCCAGGTTGGACACAGGGGCTTGGAGCAAGGTGCTCTAGTGGAAGGTGTCCCTGCCCGTGGCAGGGGTTGGAACTGGGGGAGCTTTAAGGTCCCTTCAACCCAAACCAGTCTGTGAGTCTATGATAAATTGTGGAGTTTGGGTTTTTGTTTGGTTTTTTTTTTTTTCTGGGGGGGGGCTTATCTCTGTTAACAAAATTGTCCTTGTAAAGGAAAACAAGCAGGTATTTTATCGAGAGTCACTTGTGATGTCCGTTCGTACATGATGTTTTCAATGTAATTTCCTGTAAAAGAAAGATTTTGGATTCTGAAATCGAGCTAAACCACAGGAATGAAGTTTGGAAAAGCTTCCTTTGGTTGCACTTCAGGTTGGGATGGTGTGTGGGTTAGTCTGTGTTCTGATAGCACTGAATGTGTGTCCCAGGCTGCATCATCTCAGTCAATCAACAAGGATATGTTTGCTTTTAATCATGTTCTTTATCTCCCTCATTAACTGGGCCACGGTCAGGGTCATCCCCTGCTGTACTTACTCATGTGCTTTGCTGGTGCTGAACTATATCCTCAACTGTAAAATACCTCAGTGTGTTTTCCACTTGTTTAGGCACAGTCTTGATTTATTCTGTGTAGCAGTTCAGCTGCCTTGGCTTCAAAGCCTCGCAGTTCCTTTCCTCCTGAAGTGCCTTGGATGCACAAGGTAACCGGTTTTGGAAAGAAACCTTTCCCTTTCCTGGCTTCAGGAGAACAACAGCAGCAACCTTTGAACTCTTGAAACCATGAAAGCCTTTAGGAAGTGGTTGTGCTCAAATGGCTTTGGTGTTGCATGAATGGGAGAAACCCTGCATGGCTCTGCCCGGACATCAGTGGGTGATGGTGACTGCTGCCAGAGTTATTGCTGTCTTTTATAGATACTTAAGTTAGGATGTTTAGTGAGCGGGTTTCAAGTCTCTCATCGAAGCAAATTGAAAACAGTAAAAGGAAACCGGAGGATGCGTTAAGGTGCAGCCTGATCTGGGCATCAAGGGAACTCTGTGGAAGAGGTGGTTTGATGTTTTGGGGCAGATGAAGGACATCACTGGGCTTTCTGCTTTGATTACATTGCTATTCTTCAGCAGCAGCTTGTTGAGGTTTATAAGCATTTTCATTTGATGGAATTTGGACATCTGCTCAAGTATGGGGCATTACTATAGTGGGGGACCATGATCAGTCATGTCCTCCTGTGCTCCCAAAGATGATGTCCAAGGATGCTGGGAGGCAGTTTTGCTCTGTGTTTGAAAGTGTGGAGAGCTTCCCCACGTAGCATCTGCCTGTGCACACAGATGAGACAGGGTGAGCATTGTTCTCTCCATAGTTTGCCAGTGTTGTTGTCTTCTGTGCCCAGATGCTGCCAGGATGCACTCTTCCCCAGGCTGAAACACAGAATCATACAATAGTTAGGGTTGGAAGGGACCTTAAGGTCATCTAGAACACCCATTGCTTTCATCATTAGAGATAAAGCAGGTGGAAACAAGTCTTCCTGCAACTAGGATCACACTAAATGAAGTGTCATACAGCTGGCATAGTCTTTGCAGTGCTGAGGAAGATGTGTGCTGGGCAATGCCCTGGGCTCAGCTAGAAGAAAGCGGTGTGGTTTTTACTGATCTCTAGCTGGTAAACATCATCTGCTGGGTAACGCGTTCAGCCTGATAGTCATAAACACTGATAACAGATAAGAGGCTGAGAGCTCTGGGATGCCAGCGTCAACCCTGAGCTTTTATAAGGCAGAGAAGGCTGGTGTGGGATTGTTTGTGTTCTGGTTTTATCTGTGGCTTGCTGAGAGATGAGGATACGAACAAACACACAACCACACAAAGCGCTACTGAGTCTCCTGTTGGTCTGAACAATGTACAGCCTAAAAAAGGAGTGTGATAGCAAACAAGGGTAGAAAGCCAGGTGTCATCTGCCCTGTTCAGTGTCTGCTGCTGCCACATCTCTGAATGCAAGGATTTGGAACGAGATCTGTGTGCTGCTTAGAGCTCTTGTAATGCTGCAGATAGATAAGGCTCAAAACCTCACTTTCTGCTGCTCCCTCAGTCCCAGCCCCCTTAACCCTACCCAGCTGTTCCAGAAAAACACTGGAGAAGATGCAAAGACGTAGCAGCCCCATTTAGTAGTGCATGAGCACCCCAACCAATGCTTCCCATAGAGACCTCCATCACTCTTGTCTTGGGACTGGAGTGTAGATGGAGGAACTTCACCTCCAGCTTCCAGCCTGAGGCTCGGAGCTGTGGCTACTTTTCTGGAGGGGATTTTCACCTCTTGCTGCCACAGTGGGGGCTTTAACTTCCCTCTTGCATGGAACTTTTTGCAACACAACTAGAAACCCATTGCACAGACACAACCGCATCAAGCCTCAGGACCTGCAGGCAGCATTAGCCCCTGCTGAGCAAAGTCATCCAGACTAAACCCAGAAACTCTTGTGTCTCATTTCATATGGGAGATGAGCATGGGCTGTTGGCTCAGACTCTTGCCTGGAGCTGAAACCTCTGAATGAATACTCCCTGGGCTCCTGTTTGAAGCTTTAATGGGGGAGAACATGGCTCTTCCCAGCAAAGAGAGAAAAGTAACTCTGGATTCTCAGCACACAGCAAGGCACAATTGCCAGGGGTCTCTGTTTACTGTGAATCATGTGGAAATTATTAGGATCAGGGATGATTTAAAAGTCTGGGTAAGGCCAGGGTTACTTCTGCTGGTGGGAGCTTGTTGGGAGAGGAGGAGAAGCACTTGGTCCCTGGAAAATCAGCTGTCTCTGCCTGTGGCTGGGATATGAGCTGCAGCATTTGTATTGTGGGTTAACGGAGAATCTATTCACTTAGAATGGACATCCAAGACATCCAAGAAGTCACCTATGTGACTGTGGGCAAAAATAATTCTCAGTCTTGGAAATAAAGACATTTGAGGCTGTATGAAGGCCACACCTAACTGAACACAGGTAGTGTTGCTTTGGATTAAAAAATGAATCAAGGGGATGAAGACAAGTTGAACCTTAGAGTGCCCTCCTCTTAGTTTGGCATCTCATGAACTTACATGACTTAAGGAAGATGCTCTAGGACCCAAGGGACAGGAACCAGGGAATACCAAGGGGTTTGTGCACCAGAGGATGGCTGCTGGGTGGTATTAGTGAGTGGATATGTGCTAATGCAGCAGATGAAATACCATGATGAGAGACGCAAAGTAATGCGTGCAGGGCAAGTGAGCTGTAATCATGCATTTCCATTGATGGGTTCTAATTGCACTATTGTCACTCCCAGAAGAATTCGTGGAGTCATTGCAGAGAAACAGCAGCATAGCACTGGAGGAAGGAAGGCAAACTGAGTATTAGCAATTGGTAGGAAAAAATCGGGAAGCAGAAGTTAAATGATCATTGATTCGGCTCTATCGTGCTCATCTATCAGCAGCTTTCATGCTGAACCCAGTCATCTTAGCCCAAGTCAGAAGGCTGTAGGCGACATAGAAAACCTACCACAAAGTTTATAATCACTTTCCTATGTGAAGAGGGGAAATGAATTAGAACTCTTCATTTTGGAGAAGAGATGGGACAGAAGCCTATACAATCAGGACTGGTTTGCAGAAGGTGGATAGGGAATGATTGTTCACTATCCCCCATTATCAAAGAGCTAAAGATAATAAAATGAGATGGCCTTTAATTTGCCACTTCCTAAATAAAAAGGATTCCAATGACTTCTATAGGATCTGAGGTGGGAAGCCGGAGGAAGTGGACCTCTGTGCGCTCTGTTCCTGGAGCTGAGATGAATGATAGTTTAGGTATAATCCTTAAGAGTAACTGCTCACTTGAAAGTAGTGCTTTGCTTTTTCAACAAGTAGGATCATGTGAAGAACAGATATGGGGCCTCAGACCAGGGTCTGCCCAGCTTCAGCTGGGCTCCAGCAAATGCCCAGGACAGAGGAGGAGCAGGGCAGGTATATCCCATGCTGCCTGATCCCTGATACTTTCCAGCCTTTATATGCTCCACTTTAAAGAATCCATGATAAGACAGAACTATAAGAATGAAAACATAAAACTAAGAATTCCTGCAGATAAAGGGGAAGCATGACTGTAGTTGAAGTAACTGGATGGTTTGGGTAAGGGAAACACAGGAATAGAATGAAATTTGGTAATACAAGATGCAGACATGTACCTATGGATTTATAACAGATTGGTTGTCTCTAAACCAGGAGCACATTGGTAGCAACCAGTGAGGACCGCTTGAATCTGTTCAGGCTGTAACTGAGGGAGAGCTCTGAGGTTGAATATGGCAAAGAAGACCCCGCAGCCTCTCTGCTCTTGGAAGGAAGCAGGCTGTGAGAAGCCTGGTTCACTGGATCAAAGGGGCAGATTTGACAAGGCAGAAAGGCCACCAGAGGTATTTTAAGAGGTGTCTGTTAGTCCTTTGTTCATCAGAAGAATCACAGCAAGCTGGATGAGCTGGTGTGTAAACAGGTCACACAGCTCCTCAGTAATACCAATGATGGAGGCTGTCTATAAAGCATTGTAAAAATGATACAGAGTGGTGGAGGTGTGAAATGCTGGGCAGATAAATGTGAAGTAATGTCTATTGGAAAAATCAGGTTTCACTTTTCATGCCCTGCAAGGTGATGCTGAATTATCATTCAGGAATGAAATGATGCACTTAAGAGTTCTGTGAATATGAGCTCTGTGCTCCCAGAGGCAAGAAATTCCAAACCCAGGCCAAAATGGAACGTTAGGGCATTTAGGAAAAGAAGAGAGAACAAAACAGAGGAGAATCACAACCTCACAATACAAATACATTCTAAATAAATCTTGCTGTACTTCTGCCTGCTTCCCTGTACCTCAAAGGATGTGGTAGAATGGGAAATGGTGCAGGGAAGGTAACAATGAAAAGAAACCAGGTAATAAAGATTGCATCATTCAGTAAAGAATTGCAAGGAAATGGATTGCAAGGACAATCAAAAGGCTGCTTCCTTGTGAGGAATTGTTGAATAGGGTAAAGCTCTTCAGCCTCAAAAGGAGATGGCAGAGGGGGTATCAAGGGCTTGAAATCATAAGTGGTACAGAGCAGGTGACGTGAAGATGGTTCTTCACTGTTTTTCCACTGTGTGAATGGGTTTTAGCAATTGAAAAGTTCCGGCTGCTCATCAAAGGATGTACCTTTTTAACAGAGAGCATTGCTAATCTGCCTATCTCCTGACCACAGGATGCTGGAGATGCCGAAAGGTTGGTTTGTATCCGTGGCAGCTGAGACTCAATCATGAAGGAAAAAATCAGCAGTAGCTGTTAAGCACACAGATGTAAACTCTGTTTCTGAAGGTCCTTAACCTCTAATTATGGGGAGGTGGGAGATTGTCATGAACTAGCATTACCACACGCTCATTTGTATGGTCTTCCCAAGTCGGCTGCTGAGGGCTGCTGTCAGGAGACAAGATGCCAAAGGAGGTGGAGCTTAGATCTGGCCTGGTAGAGCTGTTCCTGTGATTATGGATTTCAGAAGGGAAGAAAATTAACTTCTTTTGCTTAGCCAAGCAGAGCACATTGCCTGGAAAATGATGGCTGCTTATAAAACCTGGAGGTACCCAAGAGGGTGAGAGGCGAGCTTTTCCCAAGGAACAAGGGATGGGACAAGAGGAAACGGCCTCCAGCTGCACCGGGGCAGGTTTAGATGGAGCTGAGGAACAATTCCTGCCCCAGAGGGTGCTCAGGCATTGGAACAGGCTGCCCAGGGCAGGGCTGCAGTCACCGTCCCTGCAAGTGTTCACACAGCGTGGGGACGAGGCCTCAGTGCCATGGGTTAGGGGTGGCCTTGGCAGCGCTGGGGTAAGGGTTGGACTGGATGAGCTTAAAGGGCTTTTCCAGCCTGGCTGTTTCTGTGATTCTCTTGGAGCTGGAGGAGTCTTTGCAGGAGAACCAATGGTGTAAACTGGCCAGGAGTAAATTCGTGTAGGAAGCCAGAGGGTGTCTGCTAACCCTCTGCAGCAAGATTCTGCTAGAAACAGGGCTTGGTCAACTTTGAACATGTGATGGTGGGATTCAGGATGGATCTGAAGGTGGTCCCTTCCCATCCTTGGGACCCGTGTTCTGCATATCAGCTTAACATGGCAAAATAACCCACTTCAGGGGAACTAGTTATTTGAGGTATTCACGAGGCTCATCGCAGAGGTTTATGTTAGAGATGGTCCTGTTTAGCATCTAACAGCGACCTGGAAGGAAACAGTATAGTATGAGCCACCCCTATCTAAGGAGGTTTGCAGAACAGGATGTAAAGGAAGTTTTAATAAACCTGAAGGATGCATTCCAGTCAGGTTTCCAAGCTGTGGTTCTCGGTTAATCAACCTAAAGCTTGCTCCTTAATTGAGTGTCTGTGCATGCAGAGATCTCTTACTTTACCAGGAGGTGCTGTACCCTCCCCAAAGCTGAGCAGCCCTCACTCGGACTGTTTGTGCACTGGATGCTCATGAAAAATGTCTTTGAGGAAATGTTTTCTGGTCAGAGCCTCAAGGAACAGCCCAGTGTAGACCCAAGGGGATTGTGATCAAGATCCCATCTGCCTGGGGGAGTAATAAATTGCGTGCAATAGCTGAAGGTTGTGGCTGCTGGAGAGGAGTGCACCGTGTAGAGGGTGTAATGGGCTGTGAAGCTGGGAACTGGGGCCGCCTCAGCAATCCTCATCTTTATGTGAATCCCCGCTGCGGAAGCGATGGATCCTCCCTTGATGGTTTTAGAGGAGTCCTGGAGCAGAGAGCTGAGATTTGACTGCAGTCTTTCACTGAATGGGAGGGGGTGAGGAAGGGGGGGTTAGCATGGAATGTTTCCCATCCCTGTTTTAAACTTTAGCAAATGACAATTGACAACAGGAACAAGGTCTGGACTTGGCCAGATCCCGAGGTGTTTCTTACAGACCCACTGTAATGATCAGTTTGACTTGGGAAATTGTAGGTTGGGGGACTTGCCTCTGAGGACGTGAGATGGGCTGAAGCCGTGAAGGACTTCAAACAGCAGCACAGCACGTTGTGTGGAGACGTCTTGCTGATCACAGCCTTTGTCTCCTACCTGGGCTACTTCACCAAGAAATACCGACAGGACCTCCTGGATGGGATCTGGAGGCCGTATTTGCAGCAGCTGGAAGTAAGACAAGACCTGATTCCTCTGAAAACCTGTTCTTACCAGAATTAACATAAATTTTGATGTCCACAGGGGATCCCCCAAGTGAGTGGGTCCCCAAACGAGGGGCATCCCTTTCCCCCACTAAGTTGGATTGAGGAGCAGGATGTAGCCACACTTGATTTACTCCTCTCTGGGGAAGATGTGGGGTCCTTGCTCCATGTGAGTGACCCAGTCCCTCTATGCAGAGGAAAATCTCCAATGCAGCAACCCGAGCATGGGGGTAGTGTGGAGAAGGAATTGCATGGAGCAGGCTGAGCTCACCACCAGGTCTCCAGTAGGCTTGGAAAGCCTCTGGAAGGGTCTTCATGCTGGACACGAGCTCTGTTCATGCGGGACACGAGCTCTGTTCATGCGGGACACGAGCTCTGTTCATGCTGGACACGAGCTCTGTTCATGCGGGACACGAGCTCTGTTCATGCTGGACACGAGCTCTGTTCATGCGGGACACGAGCTCTGTTCATGCTGGACACGAGCTCTGTTCATGCTGGACACGAGCTCTGTTCATGCTGGACACGAGCTCTGTTCATGCTGGACACGAGCTCTGTTCATGCTGGACACGAGCTCTGTTCATGCTGGACACGAGCTCTGTTCATGCTGGACACGAGCTCTGTTCATGCTGGACACGAGCTCTGTTCATGCTGGACACGAGCTCTGTTCATGCGGGACACGAGCTCTGTTCATGCGGGACACGAGCTCTGTTCATGCTGGACACGAGCTCTGTTCATGCTGGACACGAGCTCTGTTCATGCTGGACACATGCTCTGTTCATGCGGGACACGAGCTCTGTTCATGCAGGACACAAGCTCTGTTCATGCGGGACACAAGCTCTGTTCATGCTGGACACATGCTCTGTTCATGCTGGACACGAGCTCTGTTCATGCGGGACACGAGCTCTGTTCATGCTGGACACGAGCTCTGTTCATGCTGGCCATGCCTCTCAGCTGGTTTTACCCATGCCTTAGGACCAAATGGAGACTCTCATGCTTCAAACTTGTTTAATATTTCACTGATCTTTAATGGTCCTCCATGTATTGTAAAGACAAGTGCTGGGACTCCTGCAGGATTGAGCTTTTGCACATCAGTACAGTCACTGTTATAAATCCTGGTGCAATGCCAAGGAGGCTGTAAATAAGCTTACAATGGGGCAGCGATGCCCAGATCAAATTGGTGAGGAAACCAGCAAGTTCCTTCGGATGAGAGAGGAAGAGCTACCTTTTGTAGTTCTTAAAACCAAGCCAAAATTTGGGTTCGTAGGAAAAATTTAGTGAAGAAAAGCAATATTGGTGCAAAACCATGACCTGACTCTGGGCTTAGAAATTTCGGGGAAAAGCCCATTCTGCTCAGATAAGTGGCACAGAGAACGTTCTGGTTGTCACACCTACAAATGGCCTCCCATGTCAGAGGAGTGTTTCTGGACCTCCTGATGCTGTTTTGCATCAGGCTTATGAGGGTGTTCATTATGTTCATGATGAGGAGCTCTCTTCCCAGAGAGCTGGTACCAGCAGGTTTGAGCCCACCTGCCTGGGCTGCGGTCCTTCGAGTGCATAGTGCTGTGCAGGCAGAAGTCTTTGGGTTGCTTGCATGGTTTGGGTTTGGGTTTATTCACAACAGAATTGGGAAACCTTGAGTACTACATCAAAACTATCCTGTAGAATGGGAGGCCGCTGATAAGCATGATTTATGTCTGGGAATACTGTCCTTGCTCAGCTCTGTTGCAGGTCACGCTGGCCACTTGTTGCTGACACACAAGGAAGCATTTCTCCTTTCCTCGCAGGTGCCAATCCCTGTGACTCCATCCCTCGACCCTCTGACCATGCTGGCCGATGATGCTGATGTGGCAGCCTGGCAGAACGAGGGCCTGCCGGCCGATCGGATGTCCACCGAGAACGCCACCATCCTGAGCACCTGTGAGCGCTGGCCCCTCATGGTGGACCCCCAGCTGCAGGGTATCAAATGGATCAAAACCAAGTATGGAGAAGACCTCCGAGTGATCCGGATTGGGCAGAAGGGGTAAACATCAGCCTTATCAGATAATAGTACCTGTTACTGGTTAGCTGCCTACTTGATGAGCACTGTATATTTAACTGCAACCATCCCAACCACTTACACTGAGGAAAACCCTCACATGTATTTGTGCATTAACTGCTTATTCATTAGCCAAATGATAGAGATTTCTTGTTAAATAGAGGTTCTGTTTAGTGCTTGGCTCAGTTACCATGGAAACTCTTCTGAAGCTGAGAATGGAGCGAGCCATTCTCAGCTGGAAGCTGAGCTACACGTAGGACTGTGGCATCCTCCATTGGGCTCAACTTCTAGAATCATAGAATAGCTTGGGTTGGAAAGGACCTTTCTCACCTAGTTCTTTCATAGATTCATAGACTCAGAGGTTGGTTTGTGTTGGAAGGGACCTTAAAGCTCCTCCAGCTCCAGCCCCTGCCACGGGCAGGGACACCTTCCACTAGAGCAGCTTGCTCCAAGCCCCTGTGTCCAACCTGGCCTTGAACACTGCCAGGGATGGGGCAGCCACAGCTTCTCTGGGCACCCTGTGCCAGCGCCTCAGCACCCTCACAGGGAAGAGCTTCTGCCTTAGATCTAACCTGAACTTCCCCTGTGTCAGTTTGAACCCATCACCCCTTGTCCTATCACTACAGTCCCTAATGAAGGTCCCTCTCCAGCATCCTTGTAGGCCCCCTTATGTGTCATGTCCTGACTCAGTTTCACCCAGGGGGGTGAGTAGGGCTTTCTACTTAAAAGAAGAGACTGGGCCAGGCCGTGGAGAGAGAAGCTGCCATGAGGGTCACCATGTCCTCAAGAGCAGCTGGGTGAACCCTGCTCCCATGCTGGCACCAGCTAGGAGGTTCTTATTGCAGCATTTACAGTGATGTGGCTAAATCTTCTATGGGAAGGCTTTTCCCTCCTGGCTCTTATCAGCAGGCTGGTCTTCTGCTGTCTCAGTTTGCCCCTATTTCTACCCACTATGGAGGAGTCCCAGCTGGGATGGAAAAGACCCAGAGCCAAATCTCTGCCTGAGTAGGAGCTCTGAGATTATTTCTTTTAATAAAGAGCAAAGCATTGGCAACAGGCGAGAGGGACCCAAGCTTAGTGCTTGTATGTAGGTTTAGAGATGTCTTGGGGTTGCCCAGGTTGTTTTGCTGCTGTCTCCTCTTCTTTCATCATAGAGAAGAACAAGAAGTTACTAGATTTGATCTTGTGTGGGATGAAAATACAGCTCAGTTTTCATTAGAGCACATTTTTGTTTCCTGGCCAACCTGGTCAGCATGCCTTGCAGTTATCCAAAGCAGTATGTAGCAAGGTAAGGATCCCAGAGGAGGCACCCTAATACAAACCTCCAAGTGGAACAGGAGGAATAGACCCTGTAATATCCATGTGCTGCCATTACAGCTTGGTGGACAAACACAGCATCTCTTTTTCCCCTCCTCCCCAGCCACACACCAGGCCAGCAGGTACTTAAGGGAGGAGTTCTGTGTGTTGCTGTGATGTCTCAGGGCCACTGGCTAAAAGCATCATTCACTGCCCCATTACAGTAAATAAGGGAGTGTTTCAACATCTGGCACATGGTGCTGCTTTGCTCTCAAATGCTTTATGAAGTTTAAACCCACCCCTTTCTCTCCTTCAGGAAAGGGCCATTGAGGAGCTTTAGGGTCAGTTGCTGTCACTCTCTCTATTTCTGTGTATAAAGTCTTTCTGGACTCAAAAAAGTAGGTGCTGCTGATCGAGGATGGGCTTTGCATTACGTCAACATATTCCTTTAAAGGCTGGTTTAAAGGTCACTCTGAGCTTCTTGTCTTTGATCTTTCTGTCACCTCTCGAGGTCCCAAACTCTCTAGCTTAGATGGGGAACCTAAATTTAGCCAGTAGAGTTAGCTGGACCCATTCAGTGCAGCAGTGATGCTGTTACCAGCAGCTGGAGCATCCTCACCTCCTGCCCAGGGCCCTTCTCTCCTTTTTCAGGGAAGGGAGTTGGGTGAAGTGCAGAGCAGCCCTGAAGGAGAGAGCACAAGCACCTGACCCTGCTCTTCCTGGTACAAAGCATCCCAATGCAGGGCATCTCCAATTCCCAGTTAGGCACTGGGCAAAGGGGTCCAATTCCCTCATGAGGAACGAAGCTGTACTGAACGTGACCCTAAACCCTGGGCAAAATGGAGCTGAAACTTGCTCTTCATCCTTGTTTTTGTGCAATATGAACTGCACCAGTGGGTTCAGGGGAAGCAGAGTATTTGTCAGTAACAGCTCCAAGTTGTCCTATCCTTGTTTTCTGAGGGCCAGGATCTTTTCCCAGGAAAGAAGAAACAGTTCCTATTGCTTGTCCTTTGGAGGTCTGAGACCTAATTCTCTTTGGACAGCCAAGACTCTGCCATGCCACTTTTTGCTCCATATGTTGAAACCATCTTCACCTTTGTGCCAGCAGTTGGAAGACAGAACATGCACATAGCTGCCATTGCAGTGTGGAGCATCCTCTGTCCCCCTGGCATCCTCCTTGCTGCAAAGCGTCGCATCCTGCTTTGCTGCAGTGGGTACCAGTGTTGTTTCCCGTAGGTATCTGGACAGGCTGGAACAAGCCCTGGCTGCAGGAGAGCTGGTTTTGATTGAAAACCTGGAGGAATTCATGGATCCAGTTTTGGGGCCATTACTGGGGCGAGAAACGATCAAGAAAGGAAGGTGAGCTTCGGGGAGGTTTAATGGTGCGTGTGAATGGGCTCTTTATGCTGTTGTGCTTTCTCTTCCTGACCTCAGACTGTGGGTGTTCATACACAGCAGCACTAACACCCTGCCTTCAGAAGGGAGGGCGTTTTAAATCAGGCAGTCACAGGTAATTCAGCCATAGGAAATAAACCTCCATGTTCCGTTTTGTTGGACAGTGTCATTCAAACCTCCTGGAAAAGAGAGGCCTGTAATTCTGCTTTTGTACAGTGACCTTGGGGGCTGTATTTGGCTCTCCTGCCATTGAATTATTACGAGAGTAGCTGTTGCTGTTGTGAGAGAAAGTAACCTTGGATTTTAGCAACCACTGCACCTCACTTAGGAATACAGCGACAGGGTTAAGCATCGGGAATATATAAGTGCTTGTAATGAGGTCATGTTCATGGCAGATGCAGGTCACCCTCCAACCCAGAGAGCAGCAAGAGGGACTTCAGTTTTCCCTTCTTTCTGTCTGTAAAGTAACGGAAGCACGTGTCTAGTGTATGCTTCAATAATGGGAACAAGTTAAACTGTGTGCTCAGCGCTGAAGGTGATTCAGGGGCTGTTTTGATGTTGTTTTGCTGGCTTTCACAGAGTGGAGTCTGCCTTTAGAAGGATGTGCATCCTTTGGGGTGCTGGAAGTCTCTGCCATGGACAGCTCTGCTGCTCACAGGAGCCTGGCATGGGCTGAGCTCTGTGCCTGCTGCAGTAAAGAATGAAAAGCTGCTAAGCTCTGCTTTTTATATTGCTTAAGTTCTTTGAGGAGCATTTCCCCACTGGCCTAAAATATGCTGGGGTGATGTGAACTGCTGGGAAAGGCAAGCTGCGAAAGCCTGCACGGTAAAACATCGTGAGGAGCAGGGCTCATTGTGGGGAGGTGCAGGAGGGCTCCTTTCAGAGGTGATGGTGGTCCTAGTGAAGGGGATTGAAACATTTGAAAGTGGAGATGGGGCTGCAGCAGAGCTGGTGTGACTCCTGAGCCCCCTGCAGGGAAAAGCTCCGTCATCCCCTTTGGGGACTGGGTGTCCCTGCCCTCAGAACTCCCTGTGAGATCGCATCTTTCTTAAGAAGATGGAAAATAAGTCTGAAATAAGAAGTCATTGGGGTTTGTAATTCCCAGGACATGAGCCTGGGAATCACAGAACGCCCCCCACAGATGCTGGTAGACCCAGAGCAAGAGGGTTTTCTGAAGTCAGGGCTCTCAGCATTACTTCTGGGTGATTTCTCTCTGCCTCAGTTTCACAGCTGTAAAAGCAGAGGTAGCCAAGAGGACACCAAGGGAGCTGACTGGGAAGTGTATTCAAATTCCCATCATAGGCCAGCTGCATCCCTGAAAGCATTTCCAGTTTCTCTTTTCCCATGGTTCTCATGGGCTTTGTTAAATTGGGGTTCAGAGGATGTTGATTCCTGTGGCCTCCGTAAGTTCTAGGCCTGATGTCAGCAATGCAGAGCAGGAGAAGGCTGGGTTTTCCTGGGTGATGAATTGCAAACAGCCACTACCTCATCTGGCTTCACTGCTCAAGCTCAGTGTGACCACAGAGTTGGCCTGATCTGAGCCAGCAGACTGGCCAGTTTTAGCTGTGGCTACTTAAAATCTCAGTGCTGAGAGGCTTTTCCTCCATGGAGCTCCAGGTTTAAATAGAATGCAGTCTCTCTGAATGCACTGACCATCTTACTGCTGGAAACTGAACCTTCTCTAACACAGTCCAGAATTCAGGGACAACTCTGGGGGTTTTATTGTAACTCAGAAGTGATTCAGGTGTGCCTGAGTTTAAACACTTTCTGCTTTCAGAGTGATTTTTGTGTGAAGAGTGCAAAATCCCATGCTGGTAGATGCCATGGACCAGTGCCACTATTTCTCTTTGGGTGAGATGTCCTGGAAGAGACGTGCTCCTTCTTGTGCTCTAATTGCAGGTACATTAAGATTGGGGACAAGGAGTGTGACTTGAACCCTGCTTTCCGCCTCATCCTCCACACAAAGCTGGCAAACCCCCATTTCCAGCCCGAGCTGCAGGCACAGTGCACCCTCATCAACTTCACTGTCACACGGGATGGGCTGGAGGACCAGCTCCTCGCGGCGGTGGTCAACATGGAGAGGCCTGACTTGGAAGAGCTTAAGGTCAGTGGCTGGGATTTGCCACTTGGAGCAAGTATAAATAATAATCATGATAACAGCATTAATAGTAATAGTTCATAACCATTATTACTGTAATTAAATAGCATTTTATGTGCAAGGCTGCAGAGGTGGCTCTGCTCACCGTAACATCAGGAGGTTTCCCTTGAATGGCAAGCACTGAAGAGTCTTTTTCTTCACTCTTTTGCTTCCTTGGTATTTTGGGAACACTTAAACTGCAACTTCAAGTGTTTTCCTCCAAAAAGTTGGGCAAAAATCTCTTTCTCTTCCTCCTCTTCCCAGAAATGGAAACTGAGTTTCTCAGTTTATCAGGTTTTTCTGGACTTCACAGATTTCATTTTGTAGGTAGGATTCGACTCCCTTCATTTTAGGCACTAAGGGTACAGGATTCCCACTGTAAGTACTGCGGAGCTGGTAATGAATTGTTTCTGTTCTGATTCTTCCTCCCCCTTATTTATAACAGGCCAAAATGTTCTCCCTCCCTCCCTTAGTAAGTATGGCTTCGGTTTCAAGAGGATTTTTCAAGGAAAATCCTTTGTTCCAATGGCACATTTCACAACTAAATTAATATGCCTCATACTAAATGTTTACTGAGATTGGGAATACATTTACTGCACATGTTCAGTCAGGCCAGGCCAGTTCTGTAATAATCTTTTCATTTAATGAGGTTTTTAAGCATTTTAGCTCTGCAGCCTTAATGATGCATTTAGTTTTAACCAGGCTCCTGTGTTAATGAGCCAAAAGAGGGCATCAGAAATACATCATGAGCTGGTTTAATGTGTGAGCCCTGGGTCTGGGCTGGCTCTGCGAGAGACCCACAGCCTCTTGGCCAGGCGCCCCTCGTGCAGGCTGGCCACTGGGTTGCAAATGGAACTGGGGATGGCCACGATTAGCACAGTGGTGGCATTAAGTGCTGGGATGTTAAGGACCGTTCCTGCTCACCTCGGCAGCATTGCAGTTAATGGCTGCTGTCGGGATAAGAGATGAATTCACTGTCATGTGCACTCAACAACATAGCCACGCTCTGGGAAGTGGTAACTCGCATTCCCTCCTGTGCTTGGGAAGAGCTATTAGAAAACACTCACAGTGATGGGAGTTAGGGATCACGTCTCCTGAAATCCCCAGTTCTTCAGGACATGTGTGCTGTGGAAGAAGGAGCCAGGGAAATGTGTTCCCAGATGAGCTATGCCACTGGCATGAGGGATATGGGGCTGAGGTCTTGCTTTAGAAAGCACTAAGCAGATACAGAGTGGTGTGGGATGTAATTTCCTCTTCCTTTAAGGATATTTAAGCCCTTTGTGTTACCAAAGCACGATAATACCAGAGCCCACTATCTCTCCCTCTCATCTGCTTTCCTTCTGCTGCAGTCCTGCTGCCCCTGCAGGTATCAAGGAGGAGAAACCCAGCCTGGTATTCCCGATGTGCTGCTGGATGGGGAACAGTGTCCAAACAATCTCTTCCCTTGGGATACAAGCAAGGATTTGTCCCTTCAGACACAGGGAGGGGGGCTGGCAGTGGCTGACCCCTGTGGTGACTGCTGGCCAGGGGCTCTGTACTTTCTTCTGCCCCCGTCTATTTACTGATGTGAAAAAGCCACTGGGCTGTTGTCTCAGATCCTTGAAGATACAGATTTGGATATTGGATTCCCAGAATGAAAGGGCACTTTCCTGGGTGTGTTTTAATCCATCCTCTCTACCCTGGGACAAAAAGGACGTGTGGTGACTGGGAAAGGTTTAGGGCTCTGGCTCATGGGCAGGTGGAGGTGACTCCTACAGTACTGCACAATAGTTACTGAGCTCAAAATCTTGTCATAGGGAAAGAAGGAGCACACGTAATGTGTGGAGCCCAGAAATTATTGTTAATAACCTAATCAAGATTCATCAAACAGCTATTATTAATCCAATGATGATAACACTAACATTGTTTAAAATGCTTTCTCAACACAGTCTGTTTCCATAATCTTTTCCTTCATTGATTCCCCATTATTCGGTCTTTCTGTTCCTTCTTGCCTTTGAAGGTGTCTTTATCTGATTGACAGGATTGCACTCTTACGACGGGTGTTCAGAGTCTGAGACCACTTTTGCCCTCTCCCATATTTTGCTTGTACAGACAGATCAATCTGTGCAGAAGAACTGCTTGCTCTGACTTGAAATTAAAGCCAGGCTAATCCAGCAGTGACCTGGCTGTGAGGCAGTCACAGCTAGGGGAAGCTGAAACCAGTTTAGGTCAAGGCAGTCGAAGCCAATGCCTGAGACCTCCCCTCTCAGGTCAGTACAAACCCTCTGGCCTTTAACTAGTCTCATCTGCAACTCCCTTTTGCAAGGATGACATGGTCCATGTGCTGCTGGTGCTGCCCATGGTCCATGTAGTCTTACCAGGACTGGTTTCAAGTATCTGCCACCTTCCCCTGATTTCACTGTTTGGACTGAAATGTCTCAAGTTGTGTTTGCTTCACATTCATTGTCTGTTGTGCTGAGAACAGCCTTAGGAAGACTCTTATGGCAGCTGTGTCATGGTGAGTAAGCCATGACTTAGGGTCCTGCCTCGCTGGTTCGTTAGGTGAAGCATGTGAAAGTCCCTGCACATTTAGGCTGTCATGGCCAATGTTGAGCTGCTTTTCCAGGAAACAAATTGCTCTGCAGGAATGGACTCGCAGAACAGGGATTACTTTTCCCCCCTCTGGTTTGTGATGTTAAAACAATACAAGAAACCCAGCAGAAGCAGCAAGGAGAGGAAGCATTGCTGAGCTGGGAGGGGGTTGGCCATGAACACTTCCCTCTGGCCTGTAGCTCTGGTGAACTGTTTTTCCCAATGGAATGACATTTTGAAGGGTCCCAGAGTAACCTGTTTCCCAGAAGTAGCCCTGTTATAGATCAACTGTGAAATAACAGATCATGCTCCACTGCAGAAGTAAGAGCTGATCTGCTGGAAACAGCGGCATGGATGTGGGCTGTTGTGGGGAATCCAGCACTGTGTGCACGTCAGAGGGCTTCTTTCTGCATGGTGATTGCAAGCTATTGGAGCAAAAATCACACACGTCCTCGTGAATAACTTCAGGGTTTGCAGTCCATGGTCTGGAATCCTAGCTTGCAAAATGTCAGTTTCTCAAGGCGTGTAATGTGCTTGAAGGATGGGAACACACAAAATTAGCCAAGTTAGTTTTCTGTTTCAAGACTGGTAAAATATTTACCTCCATGGGCAAGCTCCTGTGTGTAATGCCTCTAGAACATGCCTTTAAAGCCAGCCATTTATAGCTGAAATGCCAATAAAGGGCATGCTTCAGTGCACACTACTTGGGTTGACATTAACATGGAATGAGTGTGTGTGCAGCGAGTGGATGAAATTTCAGCCCACATATTGAAAGATGACTTATTAAGGAAAGAGTTGGTTTGTCTGCTTGAAACTTCTGGCAGCAGCACAAATATTGCTGGCTCCTTTAAGTGTTGTGGGGTTGGAAGAGACATAGGGTCACATTTCACATTCCGGGGGCTCTTCTAGACACTGTAGATAGCTGGAAGTTGTAGGTATGTTTTCCATTGCAATTGATTTGAATTTCTTGATTGTGTCATAGAATCATAGACGTATAGAATGGTTTGGGTTGCAAAGGACCTTAAAGCTCTTCCAGCTCCAACCCCTGCCACGGGCAGGGCCACCTTCCACTAGAGCAGCTTGCTCCAAGCCCCTGTGTCCAACCTGGCCTTGAACACTGCCAGGGATGGGGCAGCCACAGCTTCTCTGGGCACCCTGGGCCAGCGCCTCAGCACCCTCACAGGGAAGAGCTTCTGCCTTTTCTCCAACCTGAACTTCCCCTATTTCAGTTTGAACCCATCACCCCTTGTCCTGTCACTGCAGTCCCTAATGAAGAGTCCCTCTCCAGCATCCTTGTAGCCCCCTTCAGACACTGGAAGCTGCTCTGAGGTCTCCACGCAGCTTCTCTTCTCCAGGCTGAACAAGCCCCAATGTTCTCAGCCTGTCTCCATACATTAGGTGCTCCAGCCCCTGAGCATCCTTGTGACTTCCTCTGGACTTGCTCCAGCAGCTCCATGTCCTTCTGATGTTGAGGACCCCAACACTGTGTGCAGTGCTGCATAGTGCTGGGGGGAATCACCTCCTTCACTTCAGCATTTGAGACATTTCAGGCCAATCAATGAAGTTGGGTGAAGGTGGGAGGTACTTGAAACCAGCCCTTGTAAGACTCTGTCACTTAAATGCAGCCTGAGGGTTTAAAATTGTCACACACTAGTGTTGTACTTTCCAGGGTGTTAGCAATTGGTTTCATTAATGTATAGAACAGCCACCAGGCTTTTACCTTGGCAGCATCCAAGTCAGATGCACAGCTTTTCCACAGGATGTTTTCTGTGATAACAAGAAAAATAGGCATTCACAGGAGGACTGTACAGTGGAATAACAGAATATACCTGACAGCCAGGAAAGATGCCATTTCTCTGGCAAGCTAACACACAGAATAGAGCAATCACATTTCATGGGAGAAAGCCTGCTGTGGAGGATCAGTTCAGGAAAGAGCTAGGTGAGAGTCTTTGTTTTCACCATGAACAGCATTAATGACTGGTATCGCTGCAGGCACAGGGCACCAGGAGATCACCTGCACCAGTGAGATCTGGAGGCTGGAATACACATGGGTCCAGCAATCAAAGAGGGGCTGGGACTTTGTCCTCGGTTCTGAGCCTGAGATGCATTGGGCTCAGCTCTGGATCCAAGTGGCCTTGCTGTTGGTTTTGCCATCAGGTTTTTAACCATGTGGTCCTCATCGCTGCTGTGACTGGTATCTGTGTGTTGTGGCAAGTACAGAGGTTCACCAGGAGGGGTAAGAAGCATCAAGGGATATTTAGGCTGACCTAAGCCCAATAAATAGACACTTCTAAGATGGAGATGCAGGACATGTGACTGAGATGGGGATTGAAGGTCATTTCTTCCTGATTTACTTCCATCATTTTCATACATTTCTAGTGAAAGGGCTCAGTTATCCCTGTGGTTTCTCTGCTGTTTGAGGTTTCTCTGACTTTATAGCTTGCTGGATATGGACTGATTCCCAGAGCAAAGAGCAGGAGTAAGCAATATTAACTATGATAGCTGTCAATTAGAAGCCTGCTCCCATGTGAAGGTGGCTAATCCTTACTTTACCATGTGTTTTGTGTCTAAAACTGCCTGAATGTGTTTCTTGCAGTCATCTCTCACAAAGCAACAGAATGGCTTCAAAATCACCTTGAAAACACTAGAGGACAACTTGCTCTCTCGGCTGTCATCAGCATCTGGGAACTTCCTGGAAGACACAGCGTTGGTGGAGAACTTGGAGGTCACTAAACAGACCGCTGCGGAGATTGGAGAGAAGGTACAAAGAGAGCAATAGCCTAGAGAAAAGCATGTGTGTGGTGTTATCTGTGGGGATTTCTGGATGGAACAGAGAAGAGAACATTCTTCTTTAGGTATGCAGGGCAAGAACATAGTAGAGAATAGAAAGTGGTGTAAATTGAAGTGTTCTCCATTCTGGACAGCTTCATGCCATTTAGTTCTTGAGAGCTTTTGTATGTTAAATGGCCTATTTAAGACCAAGAGAAAATGATGTAAAGACAATAAAATTGACACACGGTACCAAGGCAGCTTTAAACCATTCCAGCATAAGCCTGAATACATCACACTTCCTCAGTTAAGCTGGAGTTTAGTACTGAGCAGGGAGTTGTGATCTCAGGTGAATCTGCAAGAACGTGGGTGTTTCATACGCTTCCTTGGAGTGTGAGTCACCATTTGGATTAGCTGTGCAGTGTCAGCATTGCCACCTACCTCCTTCCCCTTGCTGGCTGGGTGGGGTTAGGTAAATGCACAGTGGTTCCCTGTGCCATTGAGGGAACTTGAGAAGTGTGTTTGTGATGCCAGGATAGCCAAAGGACTCCTGCATGGCCGTTCTCAACAGCTTCCCTCTGCAGTCCTCCCATCTTCACAGCCTGCATGGTGGGATAAATTACCTGGATGAGTTACCCATGGGGTGGGGTTGGGCTGGAGCTGCCTTTCTCTTCCCAGCAGTGTAGCCCCAGTGACTGAGGGGCTAAGTGATCCTCCACATTAAAACCTGGAATTACTTCTGCTGGCTATTCATGGTCCATAGGATGGATTCAGCTCCTTAAGGAGGGTTTACTTGAACACCCAAAGGGGATGAAGGGGAGTTCGACCTCTCAAGCTTGGCATCTCCCTCTGGAAGTGCTCCAATTTCTAAGCCAGTTGTGGTTGTAAAGCTGGTTGCTGACAGCTCTGTTGGTGAATTTGGAGTTTGCTAGAGGCCTGCTACTCAAGTCAACCCTCACTCTGTTCTTACTCTATCACCCAAAGAAAAATGTTCAGCCAACATTTTCCTTCCTGTGGAAGTCCTCCCTGCTCTGTTGATGGAAAGCACCTGTCTTCCCCACCTTGGGCTTTTATTTTAGTAGATTTATTAATCATTTGGGGGATGGGATATCTAAAAGTTAGTTGCCTAAGTCTAAGCTAGACTCTGGGCATCCTTTATAGTCAGTGGAGAGACATGGGTGCTGTCAGAAGGGGAACTTATCTGATGTAGACAGGTCCACGTGGATGCTTGTTTCTGCAGTGGACGTTGAAGCTGCTCTTTTGGGGACTCACAGTCCATCATTGTCCCTGGGGGTATGCCAAAAGATCCCAAGATGTGTTGGTGGAACACCCTAGGTTAAAGTGCTTCATTGGCAAGGTTTGATGTGCTCCAGCCAGATGTGCTCACACCAGCTCAGGTCATGGCAAAGGAGCACCCAATGGCATGTATTTTGGGCTGTGTCATGCCCTGCTGACTTGTACAACATGTGCTGAGCCCTTTTCTGCTGCATCCCTGTTGTGTGGTTTGCTGGATCAGCACTGGCGTGGCGGCATGTGGCTGTATGGCTAGACACTATGACTGTACATAGCCAGAGCCTAAAATTGTCCCCAAGAGGCTTGAGGCTGTCGCTTTATGCTGCCGAAGTGGAATGAAAATGAACAGGACTGAGATGATAATGAGGTGATTTATCTGGCCAAAGGGTTTTCACCACAGCCAGTATGCACAGCAGCTGTGCAGACCCTGCGCCAGCAAGGTAGGGGTGTGTTGAGTGCTGCTGAGGAAAGGCAGCAAAGAGCCAATATGAATTAGCAGTTCTCAGCCTGGGGAAGCTGCCTTGGGAACAGCATGGGGACTGTTCAGCCCTGGGTTATTAATGACCTGCACAGGAGGGGGCAATTAGCAGGAGAAACTCATTGAGGAGAAAAACAATTCCAGTTAGAATTGTAAAGAGCAGGGATCCAGGGAGAAGCCTGGAGGGGGCTCAGGAAAACAGGCTTGGGCACAGGGTGGTAAATGCAGTTAAATGGAGAGCACGACCAAGGAAGGGGGACATGGGGAGCAGGCGGCTCAAGCCTGGCTGCACTGTGGTTCTTGGCCATGGGGGTTACCCACTGCCAGGGCTGATGTCTTTGTGGCAGGTGCCAGCCCTCCCCTGGGCTGCAGGTTCAACTCACAAAGGTGTTTCACAGTAACTTGGTTCTGTGTTTTCCTTCCAGGTCCAGGAGTCTAAGGTGACAGAAGCTAAGATTAATGAGGCCAGAGAGCACTACAGGCCTGCTGCTGCACGGGCCTCTCTGCTCTACTTCACCATGAACGACCTCCATGCCATCCATCCCATGTACCAGTTCTCTCTGAAGGTACTTTCTCTGTGAGCCGTGGGCCACCCCACGGCTGCAGGAGGCAATGCTGCTGCTTCTTGATCTTGCTGAAGTTCACAGTCATCCTCTGGGGTCTCTTGGGGATATTTGAGCTCATAACCTAAACGGTTCTGCTTCTTTGGTTTTATGGGAAAGCTTTGCATTATTTATTTCTTTATATGCCTACTTAACACATTACTCATAGAAGAAACCCAGAATGGTTTGGGCTGCAAGGAACCTTCCACTAGACCACAGGCAGGGACACCTTCCACTAGAGCAGCTTGCTCCAAGCCCCTGTGTCCAACCTGGCCTTGAACACTGCCAGGGATGGGGCAGCCACAGCTTCTCTGGGCACCCTGTGCCAGCGCCTCAGCACCCTCACAGGGAAGAACACTTCCTCCTTTTCGATTAAGGGGATGGCCAGCACCAGCTTGCAGCACGTAAGTTGTGTTGTGCTCCTCTTTAGTACTCATTGGGAAAGGTTTGGTCAGAACCTGTGGCAAATGCTGAGCAGAGCACGTTCCTTGCTGCCCTCTGTGGAGGGAGCAGAGTTTCAGCAGCACCTGCAAAGACCCGGTGAGGAGTGGTCTGAATGTCAAAAGAAAAGGTCCTGCTGTGTTGGGTACTGGGTTTGGGTGAGGGACCCTACTCAGCTCTGAATGTGCCAGTCAGCCTGATGCCACTTGTCAGGCTGGGGTCAGGTTAGAAAAGGCATAATAGGCTGTTCTTCCTTTTGCTTGGATTCTTTCTCAGTAGTTGAACTCTTTGGAAAGACACAGCCTTGCTCAGCGATGCATTAACAGTCTTTGTTACTGAAAACCCAGGAAGTGCCTTTGCAAAGCAGAACCTTACAAGCCACTTGTTCTTTTTCTCTGTACTCAGAGCCTTGGCCTGGAAGAACAAAACACACAATGGATTTGAAAGATATCATATGGGAAAAGAACCAGCCAAGTGCTTTTTTTCTATGTATTTTATGTATTTATGCACTGAGATTTTGCACAGCATTTGGAGTCATTTGCTCCATTGCTTAGTCTTTTCTTTATACTTACATTGGTTCTGTATCTGTGATGTCATCAGGGTCACAGTGCCTGTGTGGATATAGAACCATAGAATAGTTTGGGGTAGAAAGGACCTTAAGATCATTTAGTTCCACACCCCTGCAACAGGCAGGGGCACCTTCCACTAGAGCAGCTTGCTCCAGGCCCCTGTGTCCAACCTGGCTTTGAACACTGCCAGGGATGGGGCAGCCACAGCTTCTCTGGGCACCCTGTGCCAGCGCCTCAGCACCCTCACAATAAAGAATTTCTCCTTTATATCTAACCTAAATCTCTGCTGTTTCAGTTTGAACCCATCACCCCTTGTCCTGTCACTACAGTCCCTGCATCCTTGTAGGCCCCTTCAGCAGCACCTGCTGCAGTGAAACTGAAAGTGCAGACAATCCCTTGCCTTGGCAGAGTAGTCCCAGTCGGTGTGGCCAGTAACACCCAAGGGTTTTTGGGTATTCATCCAAGAGTTCCAGTAGTAATGTTTTCATACATGGAAGGCTTTTTGTTTTTACCACAGGAGAAGGGTGTTTCAGGGGAGGGAGGGTTAAATGAGATGGCATCCTAGGCTAGAACTTCTTCCAGAGAATTTCTTACCTTGACAAGTGACCTGGAAAAAGTAATTGAGAAAAGAATACAATATTTGGAGCCTCATCCACAACGAAGCTTTTCTTCTTGATATCCACAACTCATACGTTGTGATATCCACCAGAAAAATGGACAGAATCCCTTTTGTGCGAGGGTGCCCTTTGAAAGATTCATTCCTTCCACATACATAATAGATCCAGGAGTTCCTGAGGTTTCACCTTTAATCTATGTCTCCTGTATTTGGTTTGGTTTATGTTTCCTAGTTAACATTTGCAGTGTGTATAAATACATAGAAAATTATTGAATGACATGTTTTTAGCTAATAAATTCTGATGACACATCATAAAGCATCGTGTAAAGATGCAGGGAGGTAATTTGAAACTCCTAACCACGCAGCTAAAAGCCCATTATAAATTAGAGCACACAAGATTTATGCATGACTCTGCAGCCTGGTTTAACACAACTTAAAGAAATGTTCAGCAGGAAAATGCATGCCATTATTTAATAATGCAGTAGGTATCAATGTTACTTGAGTTTGTTGAGGCATCATTTTTCCTTTGTAGAACCCTACAAGTAATGCTGCCAACAAAGTCATGCCTCATCCGGCTGGTGCTGTTAATTCAGATTGGCCTGGTTATATCCTGTTGCTGGGTCCCAGTGTATGGAGCCTTTGCATTGCTCATCAGGCCTTAGGCTTTGCTTTTCTTTTTCTACTTGAATTTGATCATTTACTGATGGAGTTTCTTTGGGCAGCTTGAGAAGATTTTTGTCTTGTCTAAATCAGGAACGTTATTATAAGAATCCTTATTATCTTCAATAAGAGCAGCATTCTCAGTGCATACACCCCACCCCAAGGGAACCTGTCTGACTGGTTAATCCCACTTCCATAAGAAGATGTCCAACCCTCCTTTCTCATCTAGTCCTTTCATAGATTCATAGAACCCCAGCCTGGTTTGTGTTTGAAAGGACCTTAAAGCTCCTCCAGCTCCAACCCCTGCCACGGGCAGGGACACCTTCCATAGAGCAGCTTGCTCCAAGCCCCTGTGTCCAACCTGGCCTTGAACACTGCCAGGGATGGGGCAGCCACAGCTTCTCTGGGCACCCTGTGCCAGCGCCTCAGCACCCTCACAGGGAAGAGCTTCTGCCTAAGAGCTCAGCTCAGTCTCCCCTCGGGCAGGTTAAAGCCATTCCCCTTGTCCTGTCCCTACATCCCTTGTCCCAAGCCCCTCTCCAGGTTTCCTGCAGCCCCTTCAGGCACTGGAGCTGCTCTCAGGTCTCCCCTTCAGGAGCCTTCTCTTCTCCAGGCTGCCCCAGCCCAGCTCTCTCAGCCTGGCTCCAGAGCAGAGCTGCTCCAGCCCTCGCAGCATCTCCATGGCCTCCTCTGGCCTCGCTCCAACAGCTCCACGTCCCTCTTGTGCTGCTGCCCCAGAGCTGGATCAGGGCTGCAGGGGGGTCTCTCCAGAGAGCAGCAGAGGGGCAGGATCCCCTCCCTGAGCTGCTGTTCACACTCTGGGTTCCTCTCAGCACACAGAGGGGTTTGCTGAACCCAAACAGTAACACATGCATTGCACTTCTTGGTTTTGTATTTAAGGGAATTGCTTTTTTCCACGTGGGGACGTTTGGGACGTGGGAGGTGTGGCTTCCTCTTCCTCCTGCCTTTTGCTTAACTTCTGCAGAAAATGTGGGCTCTGTAATCCCTGTGAGAGAACACAGCTGGTCAGAGAAATGTTTCCTGTGTGTGTCCTAGTTCAGGCAGCCCACGTTTGCACTTCATCAAACGCAGGAGAGCAGTGTCATAGGGACCGTTGTCACTGCCTGGCTGTACTTGGAAAAGCAGCTAAAGGCAGATACAGGGGCTGGTCTCTAGATGTGGTCCCTTGCCTCCTGGAGCTGGTGCGCCACATTGCTGGGCAGATGGGAATGTTTCATCTGTGGCCCCACGGGTACAGTATTTGAGTGGCTTCACTCACAATGCTTCAGCTGATACCCAGGAGCATGCAGACTGCCTCTAGAAACCCCTGGTTTGTTTCCCCACCTAGGCCTTCAGACTCGTGTTTCAGAAAGCCATTGAGAGGGCACCTCCGGATGAGAGCCTGGAGGCGCGCGTGCTGAACCTCATCGACAGCATTACGTTCTCTGTGTTCCAGTACACAACCCGGGGGCTGTTTGAGTGTGATAAATTGACCTACACCGCTCAAGTTACCTTCCAGGTAAGCGGCACCATTGCATGCAGTGATTTATTTCATAGGCGAAGATATTGGCATGCGGGGAAAGCTCAAACTATCACAGCCGTGGCCTTCAGCATCAGAGCAGAAAAGACAAGGGCTGGGGATTGGATTTTCTTCTCTGCCTCTCTTGCCGGTAACAGTCACAGATGCTGTGCTTGATTTGCATTGTGCTGACAAAGGGTTGTTGGAGAGATTAATACCTACTTGCAGGACCTGAAAAAAAGGGCAAAGTAAGCTGGTCTTGAAGGCCAAAGAAATGCTTGCTAAATAACTGCTGTCTTTGGCTGGTATGTTAGTATAATTTTCAGTCTACGACCTGAGCACAGAGACCTTTGTATATCCCTATGCTGAAATCAAATTCAATCAGTTAATAGTGCTTGGCACGATGCTGCAAAGTTGTTACTTATTTTGTGCAGTGAATGACTGTGTAAATGCCCTGCCATGGAGAATGCAAATATGAAGCAAGTTTGAAGTGCTGAAACGCTGTGTCTCGTTAACCTTGATCCAGTGATTGCCATGATTTTTTTCATTCTACATAACTAGGTGTGAAATGGCAAGGAGGTGTATGTGTCCACACACTTATAGACACACATAAAACAATTGAACACTGTATTTTGTTAATAAATTGCCTGTGTGTAAAAAGTCAGTTCATATTTTGCAATGGCAGCCATAATTCTGACCCAAAGGATGCCATCTTTTTCTAATATAGATCTCTAAACGAAGTATTGAAGTAGCACACATTGTACTTGTATCTACACTAAGCATTAAAAATAGTTAATGGGTCACTTTAAGCTGTAAGGAAAAACAGCTTCTACAGTTCAGTGTGTGGAGGCAGCTGAGTGAGGAGGCCCAGGATTCTCCCATATAAACAAGCAGTTGGATCTTGAACCAGGCACTTGGTGGAAGAGAAGATGCCAGCACACTTTGAATGCCATTGCCAGGAGGCAATAATGAGATAGGGTCTAGGATCTGTGACAAGGAGATAATAAACTCACCACTCCAGCACTGTTCTTTTTTCCACAGTACAGAAATGGTATTCAGGGTTTTGGACTTTGAGATTCCAGAAGTCTGACAGTGCACATGGAGCCGTGGCTCTAGCCAGTGCATGTGGAGCCATGTGGCTCTGGCTGGGCTCTGAGCATGCATCCAGATCTACCTCGAACATTGCTCTGGCAGTCTTATTCCATGTATTCCATGTATTTTAGACTGGATATGAGGAAAAATGTATTCACTGAGGGGATGCTCGGGCATTGGAACAGGCTGCCCAGCACAGTGATGGAGTCACTGTCCCTGGCAGGGACTTCTCAGTGTGTTACCCATGAGCCTGGATCACAGCCCTTAGCACAGAGCTTTCCCAAACTTATGTTGCCAATCTCCATACTCATTCCTGGTTCTCTTTTGGGGAGGCCCAAAGCACCTCTATGGTAAGTTTCATCACACCCTTTCAACACAGGACACTGTTTACCTTTGAGCCACATATTTGACAGCTGCATGAGTTAAATAATGAATCTGATTGAGTATATTCCTGCTCTGTATCCTGGCTGCTCAAGGGTATCTTGTTTGTTTGCAATTACAGGTACTTCTGATGAGTAAAGAAATCAATGCAGTAGAACTGGATTTTCTTCTAAGGTACCCAGCGCAGACCAGAGTCACAAGCCCTGTGGATTTCCTGTCTAATCACTCCTGGGGAGGAATCAAGGTATCTGCTTTACTTGAGCTATGTGAATCAGCATCCCATATCTCCCCTCCATGGGAGATACCTCCTGTATCTCCTTTCAGCAGCCTTCAGGTTGGTCCTTACAACATTTGGTGAACAAAGTTCTGACCCTAAATGAGAAGGAGCACAAAAATGCCATAGAAATAGAGATTTTGTAGGTACAGGACTGTCTCTGTGGGCTCCTCATGACTGTACCCCAATGATGAATGACTTAGATGAAGTCAGGTCGACGGAGCGACTTGCCTTAGTCGATGAGGAATGGGTTAGAGATCAGTTGAGCAATCTGGACGTCCATAAATCCATGGGTCCAGATGGGATGCACCCGCGGGTGCTGAGGGAACTGGCGGAAGTCATTGCTAGACCACTCGCCATCATCTTTACCAAGTCCTGGGAAACGGGAGAGGTGCCTGAGGACTGGAGGAAAGCGAATGTCACTCCGGTCTTCAAAAAGGGCAAGAAGGAGGACCCGGGTAACTATAGACCGGTCAGCCTCACCTCCATCCCTGGGAAAGTGATGGAGCACCTTGTCCTTGGTGCCATCTTAAGGCATATCAAGGATAAGAGGGTTATGAGGGGCAGTCAACATGGCTTCACCAGGGGGAAATCATGTTTGACCAATCTCTTACCTTTTATGAGGAAATAACACGGTGGATGGATGATGGCAGAGCGGTGGATGTGGTCTACCTTGACTTCAGCAAAGCCTTTGACACAGTCTCCCACAGCATCCTCACGGCTAAATTGAGGAAGTGTGGACTGGATGACCAGGTAGTGAGGGGGACTGCGAACTGGCTGAAGGAGAGAAGCCAGAGAGTTGTAGTCTATGGGGCTGAGTCTAGTTGGAGGCCTGTAACTAGTGGAGTGCCTCAAGGGTCAGTACTGGGACCGGTATTATTTAATATATTCATCAAGGATTTAGATGAGGGAATTGAGTGTACTATCAGCAAGTTTGCTGATGACACTAAGCTGGGAGGAGTGGCTGACACGCCAGAAGGCTGTGCTGCCATCCAGCGAGACCTGGACAGGCTGGAGAGTTGGGCAGGGAGTAACTTGATGAAATGTAACAAGGGAAAGTGTAGAGTCCTGCATCTGGGCAGGAGCAACCCCAGGTTCCAGTATAGGTTGGGAAATGACCTGTTAGAGAGCAGTGTAGGGGAGAGGGACCTGGGGGTCCTAGTGGACGACAGCATGACCATGAGCCAACACTGTGCCCTTGTGGCTAAGAAGGCCAATGGCATCCTGGGATGTATTAGAAGGGCGGTGGTTAGTAGGTCGAGAGAGGTCCTCCTGCCCCTCTACTCTGCCCTGGTGAGACCCCATCTGGAATATTGTGTCCAGTTCTGGGCCCCTCAGTTCAAGAAGGACAGGGAGCTGCTGGAGAGAGTCCAGCGCAGGGCAACCAAGATGATTAAGGGAGTGGAGCATCTCCCTTATGAGGAAAGACTGAGGGAGCTGGGTCTTTATAGTTTAGAGAAGAGGAGACTGAGGGGTGACCTTATAAGTGTCTATAAATATATAAAGGGGGAGTGTCACGAGGATGGAGCCAGGCTCTACTCAGTGGCAAACAATGATAGGACAAGGGGTAATGGGTGCAAACTGGAACACAAGAGGTTCCACTTAAACTTGAGAAGGAACTTCTTCTCAGTGAGGGTGACGGAACACTGGAACAGGCTGCCCAGGGAGGTTGTGGAGTCTCCTTCCCTGGAGACATTCAAAGCCCGCCTGGACACATTCCTGTGTAACGTTATCTAGGTGTTCCTGCTCTGGCAGGGGGATTGGACTAGATGATCTTTTGAGGTCCCTTCCAATCTCCAGCATACTGTGATACTGTGATACTGTGATCTGTGTGTCCCCAAGAAGGTGATTTTCTCTTCCAAGATTTAGGCTTTTCTCTCTGCAAGACAGGATGAGAATACCACAGAATCATAGAATGGTTTGTGTTGAAGGGACCTTAAAGCTCACCCAGTTCCAACCCCCTGCCTCAGGCAGGGACACCTTCCACTAGAGGAGGTTGCTCCAAGCCCCGTCCAATCTCTGATTTATGTCGTTATAGATTGTAAAGGAAATGGAGATCCTCACTGTATTTGGGAAGAGGTGGGAATTCAGTGTATCACCATCTGCAGAGATGTGCTGGGGATAGAGGAGTGGCAGCTGACAGACCTTCTGCAGAAGAACACTGTCCTGGCAGTGGGAAGGTCTAACAGCTGCCACATGTTTGGAGTGAGGTGAGGAACTGCATCAAGGACTTGTGAGTTATCCCATCTTTGCTCTAATTTGCCAACCGATGTGAATTGTGCTGGATTTGGACCTGGTTCAGCAGGGTGTGATTGGTTGTCTGGAAGGGGTCAAAATGTTCTTCAAGTTAGGCATGTTCATTGGGGGGATCTGAGATTGCAGCTTTTGGTTTAGTGGGGCTTCTGCTCAGTCTCTGGCCCTTTTTGTAGTGATCTGGTTGTAGCATGCTGCCTTTGTGTGACATCTCTCTGGTGCTGTAAAGTAGGGAGTGAAGACATCCTGCTTTCATTGGGATAGTTCTCAAATTCTCCTCTGGGGCACTGTGGTTTTCCCTTTCTCTCCCTTCTATTGTGCTACACAGAGAATGGATCTGGTTCCTGGAAGGTGGTCAGGCAAGACATCTTCATCTACACCCAAGACATCCCTGATATTCTTTTACTGTTTGAATCATGTAAACCAGGAGCCCTGGCTTACGGTTCCACATGCCAGGCTGTGCCTCGCCTGGCAAACACTGTCTTGTAATGTGGAGTTAAAGCACTGAGTTTCAGACTGCAGTTCAGAAGTCAAATGAAGCCGATGTTTCTGACCCAGGCCAGCCACAGTGATTTCAAATTGTAGCATGGAGCAGTTCATAGCAGGTGTGTCTGTCCTGACCAGGAGCTGTCATTGTTGACTCATTCTGTGCACGCACGTGGCCTAACTCGCGTCGAAAATGTCACAGTCACATTTTCAGCCATAAAATAAGCTTGGAACTTCTCACTAAACCAGCGCTGTTCGTCTTCTAAAAGGCATATTTCCATGATAATGGCGGAACTGAAAGGATTCTATACCCTTTCTTTTATCATCTTCTGTTCAGCAGTGGCATTTTGCTCTTCAGACAGCAGCAGTTTTATTTTTGCCTCTCTTTTGAAGACAAATTAAGTGTTCACTTAGGGTCAACACACATAATCAGGAAGCTCAGCCGTCAAGCCCATGAAATACATGCTTTGCAACAGCACATTTTGTCTTTGGGCTGTGCAGTCTGTAGAGATTATAGTGTACATACACATTACTGCCTGAAATCTCACACCTCTTCAACTCTGCTCTGTCCCTGTGCATGCTCAGTGGGGGGATACAGAGGGTGAATGGTGCATTCCAGTTCCTCTGGAGTCCTTCTGGGTTGGTGTTCTTCACTGCTTGGGAGTGTTCTGCACTACAAAGCTGCTTTCTACTTCAGTCCTCTAAATTTCTTCTGGAAAGGGAACTTCCTTCTCCACAGGTTTCAGAGGTTTTGGGCTCTGGTTCTATTTTTAGAGATTCTTTTTATGCATCTTAGGAAACACAATGCTCCTGTAGTGCCCAAGGATGTCTTTGCTAGTCCAGACTTAGACGTAGTACATTCTCCAAGCAGCCGCCTAAGTTTGCAGTGAGTTTTGTTTCTGGGATAATCCCCTCTGTGCTGGCCAGTTCCATTCAGCGTGGGTGGAATGACTTTCCATGTCCCTTGTGTGCTTCATCATGAGTGTTGCAACAGCCTCATTACAGTGATGAAGTTGGTACAGTTGCCAGCTTAGGGTCATCAACACCAGAAGGAAAACAACTCCCATCCATTCTTCACGCTTTATTCTTACGTCTATTTGACATATCCAGGAGAACAGACAAAAGCATAAGGGATTTTTAGGGTATGGATTCTATATTATCAGCTACTGAACACTTCCGATTTGTCTTCTGTGACAATTGTAGCATTGATTTGGCTATAAATAATATGGCTGGTGTCAATGTTATTAGTGTTTATGTTCTATTAATGTGTTTGTTTATTAGCCTTTGAGTTTCTGGCAACTCCAGTTACTTGAGGCATGGTTTTAGTATAATCACATTTTGTCACAGACTGCTATAATTAGGTTAATTAGTCATGGCTTCTACACAGCTTATTAGCAGGCTAAAATCCCCTTTGCTTTCATCGGCAAGATTAAGTGCTATAATAAATTGTTTTTCCAACAAGGCTTGAGCAAAATACATTTCAGATTCGTAGTTCAAATTCAAAGTGGAATTTAGCATTCTCCTTCGTTCTTCACAGAAACATAGAAAATGCTCCTCCACAAAGTGCTCCTCTTTGCCAGGGCTTTCAGGCCAAGGTAGCGGTGCCAAAAGAAATCAATATTGGTATTTGTGGCCCATTCTGTGCCTCCCATTTTGGGCACATTGACTTCAAAGGAAGCCTCGTGAAATGTTGAGGACTCTGGGCATGCAAGGAGCCTTGTGTGACTTGGCTTAGTATTTACTGCTGTTTGATTTATAATACATAAAGGCTAACAGTCCTCTGCAGTTGTTCTGCTCATGATGTGGGATCTGTCTGCGGGACATGTGCATGATTTAGGCTTCCAGCTTCTTTTCAGTTCAGTAAGACGTTTTACAGAGCTTTTCACTATAACCAGTGAAGCTCAATGTTCACCACTGGATGAAGAAACCCACTTGCCTGCCCGGAAGGGCACAGTCTGTAGGGAAGGGTGATATTCTTATTAGAGCTGCTGATAGACTTGGGAAAAATAGGTAAAATTTCAGGCTTTTTAGGTGCTTCTCTAAGGCTGAATTGAATTCAATCCAAATACAGGTCAAGGAAAACTGCTCTGAGCTTAACTTGATTCTGTTCATCAGATATGGGGGAAATAGTGGTATCTGCAGAGGCTCTGGAGCAAGGGGAGATGGGAGCAAAGGACGCAGTCATTATCCTCAGTGCAAATACGGCCTCTGGGTTAGTGAAGGGTTAGTTA